GTGCTGATTCATATACCGTGGTCTATTGGTAAAACTCGCCGGCATATAAATTCTTGAACCTTCTGAACTAAGATTTTCAGCACTCGCTTCAGATGCCTTCTTTATAGCTGTATAGTTATTACAACGAATCTTTTTCTGATTGAACCACAGATAACGTAGTCTACTGGATTCGATCATGGTATACGCATCCACAAGAAACTGTTGAAATAGTCTATCTGATCGATTGATTGTAGGAGCCTCACCACGTCTCTCACAAATTCTGAATGCAAAAAACTCCCGCATTGTTATTGATTTACGTTTTCTAGCAGATGTTTCTTCATACCCAATTGGAATCTTCAAGTAAAAACTGTCCTCTCCATATGGGAACAATAAAGGATATTGCAGAGGCAGGTATGCAGGATCTAATTCACTAATCCTTTGAAACCCTCCGTCTGTACTGGATTCAATAATGATGTCTCTAGATTCCATGTTCAAAACAAAGTCACCTGGTATCAAAGCTGCAACTTCCTCTGAAGTAGGAATATTATGAGTTCTTCCATCAGCTGATCTTCCTTCTATCAACCTCAATTTGAATGTCACCTCTCCATCAGTCTCATATCTATCTCTAGCTTTCCTAAATACCTTGACGTATGACTTTGTCTAGCATCTTCTTCAATATTTCAAGACAGTAAACTTAAAATTATCTGTCTTCGCACCCATAGTCCTAAGAATATTACAAATACGTTTAGAAAATAAAGAGTATGCACATATTATGTCTTTAGATAGATGATAAAAAGTATTAGAAAATAAATATCATATATACCCGTAAGCAGATATTCTATTGTATAGTTCATTAAGCGTGTCATGGATGTATAGTTACAAAAATTTTGGCATCTCGCCAACGTCTGGAACCATATTACCAATTTTATGATAATTATCCTCATTCATTTTGAAGACATACGGACCACGACCATTGTTAACCGCGTATTCTATTCTTCCGCCTAATGACATGAAAGAGAACATCATATTGTATGCTCTAATGAACTCACGAAAATATTTACTCAATGCATCCCCTTTGCATAACAATTCTATTATCTCCATCAGAGGATTTCTAAGTTTAGGGAGGACAATTTTGCTCTGCTTACAGGAAAGCGTAAATACAGGTATCAATTGTCTCCTAGATTTTCCTATCCGCTCTCTATACCAAAAATATGCTCCACAGTGTCACATTCGAATGCAGCATCTCCATCATCATAATATTCTGCCAACAAATAATTCACATTATAGTGTTCTATATTGAAATAATATCGTACTTACTATTTGGTTGAAAACCAAATTGAAATCTTGATGTTGATCCAACTATATTGGTAACGATTGTCTAACATATATTTACATCTGCCTCCACGTTATCAACTTCAATTCTCATACCCGAAGTCTCGCCTTCGTCATAATTAGGATCATGATTTTCATCATAGTCATCATCTTCTTGATCGCTGTGAGCCTTATATCTATTTTGATAAATTATATTTTAAATACTCTAGCGGTCAGTTTTGTGTACTGAGTAACCTACAAAAAATTACAAAAAATTACACAACATCATATTAATACTTTGGGGATGCTCTCGATTCGGATTTCGGTTGTGGCAATCTGACGTCGTTACAATCAGTTCCATATGTTTTTTTGCCCTTATTTGTTTGAGTAGTGGTTTGAGATCTCGTTCGGCATCTCGTAACTGATAATAAAAATATTAGAGTTGTGTAATATAAATTAGCTTGTCCCGAAAGTTGTTTATAATGTCCATAGAGTGGAGAACAAACCTTGAGAATTTGTGACGTCAGACATAGGGCGTACAGAATCATCTAAGTTATTTAAAACAACATAAATTGACAACACACCCTCTGAAAGAATATTCATATGAGATCACACATACAAATTAACAAAAAACAAATAAAGAAATCTATCTGATTGGTTTGTTAAATCGAACAATGTATCAGTATTTTGTTATTTGTGTGGGTGATCGTAGATGAGTTAACAATAGATGGTGACTCGTGCAATTTCCTACTTCTATCGCCTGGGGAATATGTAAGGTAAATAATGGTTTAAATGTGTTCAAAATAATTATAGAAATGGAACTCGAGTGGTTATATATGTGGAATACTACTCAGATTGATAATACATTACAATTTTGTAAGGGTGGTGAAGTTTGAAAAATCTTAGGTCGTCCACCTACAAATTAGAATACATAATCATTTAAATAATTTTTCAGATGATAAATATTAAACATAAGAGATTTTGTTAAAATGTATAAGGAAAATTTGAGTACCAGGAATAGTACTTACGTTTTCAAAAGGTTGGAGAATCATCGTCACGTTGAATGTAATTGTTTCATTGTCATTTTACGTTTCAGTAGAAGATTGTCCAATATTTAAACCCCTAGGTGTCCCACCTGATTGTAAATGAAAATATTTTAGATTTAATTGTTGTATATAAAAAAATTAAGGAATAATAGTGTGCTAATGTCAAGATCAAACATACTTTTGGTGGAGTTGAAAGAGTTTGATATTGAAATATCACCTAAAAAAACACAAAAAAAATCATCTTAAATTATTGCCATAATTATGTGAATTGGAATATAATATATTGTGATCTCACCTGTGAACTCTTGAATATGGACAAAGCGCATTAGACAGACAACGACAGATTCTAGATGTTGTTTAATGTACTCAACCATCATCAATGCATATTCTCCCCATAGTGTACATTTAAGATGAACATTTGAGCATAAAATAAATCAGAATTGCATGGTAAAAATATGTTTCAAAAATTATAAATAGCATTTAAACTTACTTGGTATCACGCAGTGTAATCCACAGTTTGCCAGTTCTTTTGCCTTTACTTTGGAAAATTTCCATACTCCCCACTGTGACAATTTGTCCAATAACATCTTCAATAAGAAAGTCTAGCATTTAATGATAAAGTAAAATATGGACGTTTTATTATGATTGAACAATAAGGAAATATATCGATTAGAATATTTCTGTCCATCTTGTCCTCTTTGATACTCTTAAAATCAGTCAAATATTTTTCAGCAACGTTTGCTGGAAAATCATAAATCTCATTCGCAAGGGTTGTCCTGCAGAAATAAATTTTGAATGGCAAAGAAGTAGTCCTAAAAACACCATAATAATCTTTCAATTAGAAGCATGTAATAGAAATAGTTTTCCCTTCAATATGAAGGTCCTTGTGTTTTTCGAACAACTCTTCATCAACCGTGGCTTGAATCCTTGATTCTTGTTAGAGAAAAAATATTATCACTACTTGAACTTAAAATTGACATAATATGATAAAAGACATTAAAATGTCCAATGACATACCTCCTCATCCAATAAAACCATTTCGATTCTAATACGTGAATTTTTGTTAATCACTTTCCAGATGTAACATATATTAGCTCTAACTTGCTGAATGGTAGTAGGATCTAATTTAGGAAAAGAAACAATATGAGCTCCACATATGCATATTATAGACATTTTGAGAAAAGAATAGTATCGTTTCAGGCTTTTTGGTATGATGTTATATATATATTGAGAACAAGTGAGCAGAAGAAACCCTAAAGTACTAATATTTGGAAGGATATTTGGTAATTTAAAATATGGAATGAAATTCAAAATTGAGAATATTCGTATTGTGGTTATAAAAAGTTGTTATAGTTCCGGAAATGCTTTTTAATTCAAAGATTCAAATTGAATGAATTGTCATAGATGAGCGGTAAATATGGATATGTAATCTTCCTGATTAAATTGATTTTATTATCGAAAGATCCTATATATGTTGAAAATGGTGGTAAAATATACTGTGGATAGTTGGTAAAAGTCTTCAGTCTTGGGCCATAACATGTTTTTGAAAGACAATAAATTAAGTCAGTCGGGTATAAGGATCTGTGTCTTTATCCGTTTTTAATTTTCTTGGATTTTAAGTTTTTTAATGCAAAGAAAATTGCAGAAATAAAACACGTGAAAAATTGTGAACCAATGAAATGTAGTCGAGCAAGCGTCCTTGCCATGTCACATTTTACGTGGATTGAACATCATCATTTACGAGGCACCTTCTCTCTCCTCATTTTTAACCAATGAAATAAAAACAAATCAGCCGATTTTCATTAAACTACATTCTCATTTAATATATAGGATATGGGATCACCTATATAATGCTTAGTTCATCTTCAAATTTTAAAGCTAAACTAGTTTTGGTCTGGTTTAATACAATAAAAAATTATATTTAGTCACACAGAATTTAGGCGAGTTGATGTTTGTTATTTTGCTAATAATTAATATTTAATAACTTTTGTTAAGCATAGGATGAAAACTACAAAAAAATGGTTCATAAAATACATTTGTGAAACTTTGAAGAATTATTAAGTTTTTCATCCAACATCGAAACTTGATTTACTACAAAGATTTATTAAGGTTCGTTTATAGTTGAATTTTCTTAAATACCTAAACTAAAAACTGGATAAACCAAACCAATATTCACACATTAAACTATTTTGTGTGTAGATTTGGATATAAACTCATTTAACATATGTTTATTATTTTAGTTCATAATATTTTGAAAGACCAATAGACCAATATTTTCATGTATTTATTGCTTTATATAGTTTAGTAAAATTAGATAAATGATTAAAATTTCATAACCAATTTTTGCACAATCATTTTGTTTTGTTTCTAGTCTTCTAAAGCTTAAGAAGGATCTTTATTAGTCTAGGTACGACTATAACTGCTGTTAAAATTTTTATTCATATTCAATGTTATCTCGAGTGAAACAACGGTCGTGTTTTTAAGAAATAAGAGAATGACATGTGTAGCAAAACTCTAAACTAAGTAGAGATTATATACCATTAGGTTGGTGAACATAAGAAATTCTCTTCTTCTTCTCTTCTCGGATCCTAAAAGAGAGATTAAGATAAATTTGTTTCTTTCTTTGGTTAAGTTTTGATACTTTCTTTCAGCTTTCAACTTTTGTAATACTCTTTCTTATCAATCATCATATATGATAGATCACAACAAAGAATGTATGTTGTCCTTACAAAAACAATATCCAAGACTTGGATCATCACTAAAAATCATTACTTATAAACCCACAAAAGATTAATACTTCTTTCTTCTTACCAAACAAATAAACAGATGACATGAAAAACATAAGTGTGGTTTATAAGAGAATACTCAGAAAACAAGGAAATATTAAAACGTTTCCGATATTTTAACTCTGCGTAAGACCAGAGAAGAAAGAAACTACTTTGTAGCCTGAGCAATTATATTACTTATGGAACTAGCCTCCTCTTTCGCAGCCTCCACCAATTGATCCTTCAATTATCAAATAACACACATCTGTTAATACAAACCCTTAAAGGACTAATCCTTTTGCTTCAGTGAGCATTAGTAGTATTAAGAAACCATACCTGAGCTGATATTATCCTCGCCACTGTTTTCTTGCTCGACTCTTGAAGCTCACCGGCGATCAACAGCTCATCCAATATATAATACGCCTATAAGTTGCCATAATGAAGTAAAAATAAAGAGAGTATAAAATCATTGCTTTTCCCTTAGAAGGTTCTGTAGAGTTGTATGTATATGCATACCTTGTGGAAGTTAAAAATCAGATCGAGTTCACACACCTGAAGATCATAAAATAAACAACTCTAAAATCAAAATCTAGTCGTTTTGTAATGTTATGGTAGAATGAATGAGAAACTTTTGGAAATGCGTTTACTCACACTGCCAAAATAACGGTCAAGAATCTCGACGTAGTGATGAATAATCTCTAGTACTTCTAACTCGTTATCCGCCTCATCAATGCACATGCAGAAGTACAGGCTTGCATATCTGAACACATACACAACCATCATGTTCACAACCACTAAATTTTAAGTAGCGAAAGAGTAATCATTGACTTAGGGCTCTCTTTTTACCTTTTGTAGACAACCTTGTATCCTCTCCATTCGATAAAATTGCAGAGCTTGGGACCTCGGTTCAGAATTACGCCGCTGAGTTCGCGTATGACCTGTCCACATCATATAATTGTAAGATCAAAAGCATGCAGAGAATGAGCAGGGATTAAGCTCAACCATTTGATCTTCGTAAAACTTGAGCTGTACATACCTTAGACCTTTCCTTCTGTGTATAAGGCGAATACCACTTGGTGAGCCTTACTTTTCCTTGCCGACTAACTAGGAGCACAAAATGTATCTGGAAATACAAACATCAACCCAAGATTACTGAGCCAACTTTTGAATTTGTCTTTTCTCAGGATCATCTCACTAAAAACTTTTATTTAACAAGAGTCCTAACAATTTTAGAAAGCACTACCGTAGATGGTGTTCACCCAACTAAATCATTATGGATGGCAATCTATAGCGAACAATTGGTTTTTCCCAACTCCAATCTCATCAGTTTCTCACCCATGTTAAGTTATAAAGCATATATCTACAACTACAACTTTAAGAAGAAGAGAACTTTGCCAGCATACAAGGTGGCTCTTTGAGTAAGCAAGCCTAAAAAGGACCAGTCAGACGAGCAGTATATCACCATTTCTCGCAACTCGTAAAGTTTTAAAAAGCACCTTCTATGCTTGCAAAATCTCTTTTTCTCAAAGTTGTAGTTCAAATGTGCTTTATAACTTAAAAAAGAGTGAATTGTGAGAGATTAAGTAACAGAACTTGAAATCAATCTACTATCATTCATCTAAACTGATCTTAAAAGCATCTCAGGAAAAGTTCTAAACCCATTTATAAGGCATTTCAGTTTCCAACACATAAAAAAAGCGAGACATATAAAGATGAAAGAGATCCACCAGATTCTTCTGCCAATTTCAGAAACCATAGGAACGTAAAGTGAGATGAGGCATAGATTCAAAAATAAACTCGAATTGAGTACTGAAACATAAGATTTCAAGCTCCACGAAAACAAGCCAAATGCTAGCAATCGCTTGACAGATCCAAGCAGAAATCTACGAAACCGGCCGATCAGATATAAATTCACTACCGAAGCAAATCATAAACCCAAAGAGAGGATCATAGATGCAAAATTCATATTCAAAATTCGTTGTTAACGAGCAGTGTTATCCATAACAATGGCACAAGATCGAAGACAGATCTAAAATCCAAACACATAACACAGTAACCGAAAAAAGAAAAGAAGAGTACCGATTGTTACCATGTCTATTCGAATCTAAAAATTGAGAAAATCTGCAACAGCGATGCTCGATTCCCAGAAGAGATCTCCAGAAGCTGAAGACGATGATCGTCGAATGTATCGTATAATAAAATGCCAGGGGTATAATAGTAATATAATCGTTAAAATGGATCTTGGTCCTGGTTTGGGCCGGGTCGTGTCGGGTCAGGTCCGGTCAGGTCGGGTCGGGTTGGGCTCACAATTTTAATTTTACAAAATGATGCATCGGAGGCTTTTGCTCTCCTCGAAGTAGAGCTCAAGCGACGATTTCTCCGATCTCCAGAGTTGCATATTCGATAACCCTAGAGAATGGGAAGGGTCCGAAGCGAAGAAGAAGGTGAAGCAATCGAAGCTCTGGGCTCTCTCTTCAAGCTTACTCAAATTCATCTATGGGACGATGGCTCGACAGATACTCATTTGGTTCCTCTCTTCTATGAACACAGCGATGTGAGTGACCTTCCTGTGTTTTTCCATGCTTGCTTTGGATTCAAGTTTCAGTTTTTAATTCTTGTTCTTGTTGGAATCGCAGGTATTTCCAAACAAGAGTATTGATGATACTTCAAATAAACTTTCTGGAATCGCAAGTATGTCTTACTTTTTAGTTTTTTTTATGTGTTAAAAGATGTTTATTGTTCTTAGTGGAGCTATTCTCTTCAATATTTCAAGGATTGATGATTGAATCTTTGATTTTTTTTAAAGACCATAGGTCTGAGGATATGGGTTTGATAAAGGAGATGAAGGCTTTGGGTCTTCCGGTTTCTTTCCAAACAAATAAGGAGTGGAAGACCAGAACTCGAGGCCACCAAAAGAAAGGAATCAAGTTTAATACGCTGCTCAATGAAGAAGACTATGATGTTGCATCCCCTCTGAATTTGGTGTCTGATTACTCTTCAGATTATGTTATCGTTAGTGAGGAGATTGACAGGACTTGTGTGGGAAACGATTGTGTTCAAGAAAGTGCAGTCGAAGAAGAGAATCATGAATTTGGAGGTAGAGATTCTATGTTGACATCAGAGACATCAGATTCTCAGAGGTGCAAAGTCGGTAATAACAATGATGACTCTGATGAATGGAAAGTCTACTGGGATTCTTTCTATGGAAGAAGTTATTTTTACAACATCAAGACACAAGAGTCTACATGGAATCCGCCAATTGGGATGGAGCATCTAGCTGCTAATAGTTACAACACACATAACTTGAATGAATCGGCTACAGAGACAACCGAGAAGCCACATGATGACTTGCTCGGAACTGAACCTGCCAGTGATCTTGGTAGAGTTTGCCAAAGTCAATATGAAACAGGAGCCCTAGAGGAAGTTAGCAGTTTGATTGATAGATACCAAGAAACTTCCATTGGAAACCAATCTCTGGATATCACTCCTCCTGAAGAAGAAGGTGCATATGTTGTCACTTCCATTAGGAAGGCTAAGAAGAAGACAAGAAGAACGCGAGCCAGAAAGATATTCTCCAGTTTGAACACAGGGGCTCGAAGGGAACGTGTTCTTGAAGAATATTCCGATATCCTTGGCAAGTATTGGTGCCAAAGATATCTCCTTTTCTCCAGATTTGACGAAGGCATCAAAATGGATGAGGAAGGATGGTTTTCCGTCACTCCTGAACTCATAGCTAAGCATCATGCCACACGCTGTAACGAAGGAGTGGTCATCGACTGTTTTACCGGAGTTGGTGGAAATGCTATCCAGTTCGCATCAAGGAGCCACTACGTGATTGCAATTGATCTTGATCCAAAGAAACTTGATTTGGCAAAGCATAATGCTGCCATATATGGTGTTGCTGATAAAATCGACTTTGTGAAAGGAGACTTCTTCGATTTGGCGCATAACTTAAAGGCAGGCACTGTATTCTTATCGCCTCCCTGGGGAGGCCCTGATTATGTTAAAGCGAGTGTGTATGACTTGAAGACGATGTTGAGACCTCGTGACGGAGACACTCTATTTAAGGCGGCTATGAACATCGCGTCAACAATCATTATGTTTCTTCCAAGAAATGTTGATATCAACCAGTTGGCAGAGCTAGCCTTATCAACGTCTCCTCCATGGTCACTTGAGGTAGAAAAAAACTACTTAAATGGGAAGCTGAAGGCAATAACAGCGTACTACTTTAGACAAGATGGTTGTTAGAACTAAGAAGAAGACGAAGATTCTTCTCACTTGTTCTTTGCATTTGTGTCAGCTTGTCGAATTCATATGAATGAAAATTGATTTGTGATCATAGGTGTTAGGCGTTTGTATATGCAAATTAATTGTGTTCTTGTAAGCTTTGTGTTTTCGATTACTCAACTTCATGTTACTCATTGCTTCAGACTGAAACTGGGGAATGAAACTTGGGCTAGGAAACTAAATGTCGCTAACGTTAAAACTTTAAATAAGATTTATAAAACATAGAAAATTTGTTAAATGTCACATTGATCGAATAACTCTTCTATAGCTTGGATTTTTTCGGTTCTTTTGGACGTATTTTCCATTTTTACATTGACGAATCTAAGTTTCGAAGAGTGATTCTATTACTGGTCTACTTGTAGTGGAATTGGTAGCTTCACTCGACTCCATCTTCCCCAACTGCACTAGTTTCCATATCTATAGCTTCACTTGTCAAACTCCCATATCACTCCTCCATCCTCTGCATCACACACAAACTAACTCTGTCATGTACATCACAATGATCAACTTGATGTAACATAAATCATGGCTCAAATCTCACACCAATAGAAACACTACCACAATGATGATATCAGCATTATCACAATCATGATATAATATCACATCTTGAAACCCAGAGGCTTATCCTGGTTACACTAATAGCCAACATGACCAGAAGCCAGAAGGAAGTATTATACAGGATCATTGGACCCTAAGGGATCATCGTTTATCTCATTGCTACTCAAATTATGTTCATTTCCTCCAGAAATCAAACAAAGAATCAGAAAATAAACTCTAATTACTTCACTCTATAATCTATATCCATGATTTATGATTCTCAATCAAGCATCAAGTGGCTAACAACTATAAAACTCAAACAATGATCAAGCAAGTATGAACATTGGAACCAGAGGAGCTCATCGCTTATTCCATTGCTACTCAAAACATGTTCACCTCCTTTGGAAATCAAAGAATGAATCAGGAAAATGCCTCTGGTTTCATTCAATCAAGCATCAAGTGGCTAATAACTAGAAAACTCAAGCAATGAGAAATGAAAAAAAAAAAAAAATAAAGCTTTAACCTTTGACTTTCTTGTTGATCCAAGCCTCTAGAAGCATACCAGCACCAATCCCACCAAGGATAAAACTTCCATAGAAGGCAAGAGCAGAAGGCCATGGCTTCCTAGGAAGGAAGTAAGCTTCATATTTCTCCTCAAGTCCCCTCGGAATTTGTTTTCTCGCTCTAGTCGCCATTTTAGCCCCCGCGCTTGGCTTATTCTTCTTCTGATTCTCACTCCCCCACTCTTCTCCTTTCCATGGATCCTTGGCTTCTTCACTTCCCATCTTTCAAAATACATTCATCCAAAAAAAACATTCCAGATGAGACAATCGTATGGATTTTTAAGGGTCTTAACAATAAGAGAGGTGAAGAGACTTACCGGTCAGATTTAGGGTTTAGGGATCTGGTCGCTTCGACAGTCCCGGAGATTCTGGTGAGGTTTGACGAGAATGGGGAGAGAAGAATCGGATGGCTGAGAGACAATGAGACTTTTAATGAGACGAAGTGGATTAAAACTCGTTTGATTTGTAAACGGTAGTTTACTATAACTAAAGAGGGGTTTCAAATATTTTTAGTAATCAAAGATTATGAATGCTATAATAAGCCATAAAGATGGAAGGACAAAATTGACTTTACATAATAAATAAAGATAATTTGGAGAACTTGGGAGTACACACAGATAGAAAAAAAGATCGATGAAGAAGAAATCGAATGAGGTTAAAAAATTACATCAAATCTAATTTTGGGTTTTATTATCTGTCTCGTGCTCCATCATCATCTGTTGTTGACCTGAGACGAAGGGCCAATGTCTCTGCTTGATCTGTTGTACTTCATGTGGCTCTTGACAAGCTGTCCAGCTGCAATTGCAGACATTAGCGAAAGCTCTCCCGCAAGAACCGTACCAGCCACAACTCTCGCCAATTGCCTTGCGTTCGAGCCAGCTTCCTCGGTGTTGCTCGATCCTTTTACACCGAGCAGATTCAAACAAGCTGATTGTGACGCAAGCTGTGTCCCACCTCCAACAGTTCCAACCTGTATCCACATCATTACACAACATTTAAGAAACTAAATGACTATGTTTTCCAGGATAGAACATGCAATGCATTTATTACCTCAATGCAAGGCATTGAGACAGAGATGTGAAGGTCGTCGCCTTCAGCTACAATCATGGTGATACAGTGTGAGCTCTCCACGTTTTGAGCAGGGTCTTGGCCAGTGGCGATGAACACAGCGCTTACTATATTGCTGGCGTGAGCATTGAAACCACCAAGAGAACCAGCCATAGCTGAACCAGTGAGGTTCTTGAGCACGTTAAGCTCTACAAGAGCCTCTACGCTTGTCTTCAACACGTTCTTCACAATCTCGCCCTTAATAGTTGCTTCACAAACAACATGCTTTCCACGTCCTTCTATCCAGTTTATAGCCGCAGCTTTCTTGTCCGAACAGCAATTCCCTGAAAACACCAAATATTCAAAAAGAGCTGGCTTTATCTCAGAAACTGAGACAAAGAAGAGAATACAAACCGGAGATGCCAATAACATCCATGTCAGAGAACTCAGTCTTGATGAAATCCAATACATTCTGAACTCCTTTGGAGACCATGTTCATCCCCATAGCATCACCGGTACTACACGAAAACCTCGGATACAGATTCTTTCCAGCAATCCTGCATGTGATACTCTGAAGCCTAGCAAATCTACTCGATCTACATAAACATACAATGTCAGGGCAAAACAATGTCAAAAGTCATCATCTTAGCTAATGTTTGAAACTCACTTGTTGAAAATGAGGGACAATCTCTCGAAATTTGCAGGATCTTGTAGATAAAACATGGCAAGAGCAGCTCTTCTCGCCGAAGGGAACCTTACGACCGGAGCTCTGGACATGGCGTCGTTGACGAGAACACTGAAAGCACCACCGGACATGTGAATAGCCTTGCAGCCTCTATTAGTGCTAGCAACCAAACAACCCTCCGTCGTCGCCATTGGAACCGAATACTCTACCCCGTCGAGCAACAGAGGTCCGGCGATTCCCACCGGAATCTGAACATACCCCACCGGCATTTCGCAGCATTGCCCCAAAATCGAATTGTAATCGAAACCTTCCAATGGAAGACCCGCTAGGGATTTACCTGTTATCCTCTGCACCGCTTCTCGTCTAATCGCCGCGGCTCGCTTGCAGTCTCCGAGCTTCGTCTCCAGTGAATAAGACGGGATAGTTCCTTCGATAACCGATTTGACGATTTCTTCGTCTTCCTCGGAAGACAGATCCGATTCGCGAGGAGGATCGATGGAATTAGGTTTCATCGGGAGAGAAGAACAATCTAGGGATTGGCCGCACGGCGGGATCGGGATCTTCTTCCTCAAATCTTCGTTGAGAACGAGGTGATCGTCGATCTCGTAAACATCATCTTCGGAAGAAGAACGGAAGAAGACGGATTGAACGAAATCGACGCCGAAGAATCCGAGGAGGTAAATGCACGACGCGACGAAGCCAAAGAGTGCGGAGATCTCCGATAGGTCAACGACGTGGAGAGGCGTGGAGTTACGGATCTTCTCGCGCCATCGGCTGAGAAGGAAATAGACGGTGGCGAAGAAGAGCGCGAGGAAAACGGTGTTGGTTAGGTATAACGGGAGAGGAAGCGCGTCGGAGGCTTTTCGAGAAGTGACTTCGACATTGGAGGAGGCTACGTCATTGTTTTGAGAGGGAAGTTTGGCCGGAGATCTTCGACGACGGACATCCATTGACGGTGGTTGGATGATCGGCCGGCGAGATGGAGACTCGGCAGTTAGAGATTTTCGGTTTAGAAAGTCTGCATTGGGAAAAAAATAGGGAAGAGTGACTATTTATAGTGGTGAAAGTTGGACCACATTGAAATCAACGTCAAATGTTTAATGTTGTTGTGAGATCATCATGTGAGAGGGATATCATTTGGTCTCTGTTTCAATCTAAAATAAAAGATATATCATTTGGTCTCTGTTTCAATCTAAAATAAAAGATTGAGGCATTTATTTTAGAGAAAATTAGAAATATAGAACAAAAAATGAAGGTACTTCTTTCCTTAGTACTTTTTTTAAAAAAAATTGTCTTTTTAATACTTATGCTAATTATAATCCTCTTTTACCCCTTAAAAACGAATTATTTGATATTCAAATAATGTTTTAACTATTATTAATTAAGATATTAAATTAAAAAAAAAAACAACTTTCTAAAGTAAAAAAAAATTCAAAAATAACTTTAAAAAAAAAAGAGTCTGACACTTTCTTCTTCTCATCGTTTTCTCTGTCATCGTTTTCTTCTCATGCAAATCAAAGCTTCTTCCTTGTATTTCTGAATGACCAGTAATTCTAAGAAGTTTTCGTTCAAGTATGTATCCAGTTGTCTGCTTCTTCAATTTATTCAACTGATTTTGGTTATTAAGGTTTGAAAATCTCAAATTAAATCTGGATATTTTTAGAGAAAATTTGAAAAAATACATTTAAAGAAGATTATATTTTGAAAACTACACCTTTTTAAAAAAAAAATTGAAAACTACACTTAAATAAGTAAAATGACTAAATTAACCTAGTAAAAATTAACATTCTATTGTTATTTAAACTAAAATTAAATTAAAAATAAACATAAAACTAAAAATAGTTCGTTGATATTTAATTAGAGTGTTAGTGGAATTTGAATCGTTTATAAAATCTCATAGACATGTGAATTTCGAACTGATCGAAATCGATGATGAATTAATATTAATAAATGAGGGTGTTAGATAATTTTTCAAATCTTTCATTTGCAGATTGACTTTTTTTCAGATAATTTCTGAAGCACGGGTAACTTGCTGAACGTCTTAAGACTCTTAGGGCATCTCCATCAGCGCCTCTTAAGAGGTTCATGAGTTGTTTTTTATATTTAATTTAAATGAAAAACTAAAAAAGTCGGACGAGTCGGGTCGTCTCGAAGAGTTTTTGGAACCGAATTTGGGCGAGTCCGTCTGTGACGTGGCAACAAAGGATTGGTTATTTTTTTTTAGCCTTCTCTCTTCTCTCTCTTCACGCGAGACTTCTAGAAAACATTTCTCGTCCTTCTTCGTTTTCTCCGAAAAAAACCTCTCTTCCTGCGAACAAATTATCGAAAATCGGTGAGTGTGGAAGACAATTTTGGGGTTGTGCTCTGTACAAATCGTAGTCGAGGTACGTTCCTGAACAATTTTAGTTGTTTATCGTTTTGAATTGAAGCTTTTAGCTAAATAAAAATTAGGGTTTTCGATTTGGGGGTAAAATTTTGGGATTTGAGTTTGTTTCAAATTAGGGGAGGGGTTGTCTGGGTGTGTGATTCCGCCGGTTTAGGGCTGTGTATTAGACGATCCTAACCCCAAAACTCTTATTCTCAGATTTTGCGATTACGTTTTGAAGTTTTGCGGTTTATCAAATTTTGTTGATTTGAGGTTTTCCTTTGATTGGTGTCAACCGTGTGGTTGAGGTGTTGTTTAGGTTGTTATATGGGTTTATTTGGTTTCCAAAGTTGTTTAGATGCGCCGAGAACATCAAATCAAAAGTTTCTAAGTTATGTATATGTGTGATTGTGAGTTTGTTTGTTTGCGAGTTATAAGTATATGTAGCTTGGTTATATGTATTGCTCTTGTCATGGTTGTTGATGATTTGCGAGTTATAAGAAAAGCTTGATAGGTTATAGGGTGTTTGATGTATATGTTGAATGGTTTACAAGTACAGGGAGTTTGATGGTGCTTTGACATTTGCAGATAATGCCTATTAGCTACTCAGAGTCGTCATCTGAAGCACCAGAAGAGGATTTGGGATGGGCTTATGCGGATGCGGATTGAGGAATCCGTGAGAAATGTTTTTGTGGACGTCTCATGAAGATTGAAACTGCGAGTGGTTTAGCTTCAGGGAATGGTGGCCGCAAGTACTACAAGTGCCCTGTTTGGGTTAAAGAGGTTTGACTTCTGTAGCTTGTGTGTATGTTTTCATGTCTTTATTGGTTTTAAATGTTCGCTAACACACCATTTACGTAGGGGAGGGGAGAGCACATCTGCAAATGGTGGGACGAGGGGGTTACCGAAGAGATTGGAATCCTGCAGGGAAAGGTCGCAGACCAAAAGGAGAGGTTGGCTACGCTTGACAGACTAGTTGCCTTCGATCCACAGATTAGAGAATTGAGGGATGAGGTTGCACTGCTTAAGGATGAAATCGTGATGCTGTTGGACGAAATTGCCATGATGAAGGAGGAAAATGCGATGATGAAGGAGGAAATTGCAAAAGCAGGTGATGGGGCTTTGACGCTGTGTGTACTTGCTGTTTTTACTGCCATTTCTTATCTATTTAAGTAGAAGAAATGATTTGCAGCAACTGCTATGGTTAGGAGTTATATGTTCTAGTTTAGGAGGTTTAAATTTCAGTACTTAAGACTATTGTGCTAAGTTAGAACTTGTTGTTTTTTTATGATGCATTCTCCGATGCGTAAGAACTTGTTTGTATTGGTGGCAATATATGCGTAAGAACTGGTTTTGTTCCTTGGATTAGTTTATTTGGATATGTGTTTTTTGATTGTTGTGGTGGAGACCAAGACAGGTGGATTACACGCGGTTACTCTGTTCTACTTAAACAGTTGTCAGAAAGGTAATTCAAAATTTAAGGATAGGTTGTAGTTCTGAAAATCTTTAAGTCTTTAATTCCTTAAATGTCTTTAACGTAATTATATTGTTTGGTTGGTGAGGTTTAATGGGGAGACAAGCAAGGATATTGAGATGCACGAAGACAGAAGGTCAGTGATGGGATTTGCTTTTAATGAATCCGCGAAAAGGTTAGTCAGTCTCCTAACCTTTAGTTAGTTTACATAGTTAGAATGCAATGGTGTCATTAAGTTGTTAGGTACTGTTAAGCATAAATGCTAAAAGTTATGAATGCTTGGTAGGTTTAGGAGTTAAAACCGGTATGGCTTTCTATTCAATGGTTGGTAGGTTTAGGAGTTTAAAGCAATAAATCATTTAAACCCCATGTTAACAACTTCAATAAATGGAATGTAAACCCTTAACGAAATATCCACAAACACCCAAACCTCATTTGAAAACTCTTCAGAAATACGAAAACAGTTCGAAACTTTCACAACCCCCTTAACCCCTAAAAGCATTATTTCGAAATCAGTAAATGGATTCTCCTAATCCATTTACCAGCTCTTAGGGTTTCGTGAATCTCCTAACTAGCCAAGTAGACTACCCTCATACTTTTCCTGCAACAATTGACCTTGCATCCTCAGACCTCCCTCCGTTTAGCAGCCAAGAGTCTGTTGATCCAAGCGGAAATGGTGAACCCAGCAAGCAAAGGAGGCAGTGGACGCCAAAAGAGGATGTTGTCCTCATCTCTGCTTGGTTGAATACCAGCAAAGACCCAGTGGTGTCAAATGAGCAGAAATTTGGAGCGTTTTGGAAGAGGATAGCACTGTATTATAACAATAGCCTTAAACTTGGTGGAGCCGATGCTAGATCATGGAATCAGTGCAAACAACGATGGGGGAGACTGAATGAACAGGTTTGCAAGTTTGTCGGTTCGTTTGAGGCTGCGAGGAAGGAGCAAACAAGCGGGCAAAGCGAGAATGACCTGATGAAGGCCGCACACGAGATCTTCTATAATGACTATGGTGCCAAATTCGTCCTGGAACACGCTTGGAGAGAACTGAGGCACGACCAGAAATGGTGTTCGACTACATCAACAAAAGATAGTGAGAAGCCAAAACGCAGGAAAATGGAGGACTCCCCGGTTGCAGATGATAATGCAGAGTCTAGGTCGATTGGTGTTAAGGCGGCGAAAGCAGCTCAAAGTAAGAGAACTGGAAAACAGACATCATCTGTTCAGGAGGCAGCAAAACTGGTTGTGGATATACACGGTGTCTGGGAGATCAGAAAGCAGGATATGGAGATGAGGGACAAACTGTCGGACAAGAGGATTCTTGAGGGTTTACTTTCTAAACCCGAGCCACTTACGGAAGCAGAAGTGGCACTGAAAACCAAACTCATTAATGAATTGTTCCTATAACGTTTAGGTAATATAGTTTTGGTTATATTGATAATGAAGTGTTGCTATAACGTTTGACTGGGTTTACCTCGGTAATCATTGTGTTGTTGTTATTGTGGCAGGTTGTTGGAGTATATCAAGGATCCTATCTGAACTTGGAGGTCACGGGATTTGTTCTCTTCGAGAATTGGGTCCTATTTCTGTAACAAGGGGCCTTTCTATTTTGTTTGTTTCAATTAGACCCTAACTTTTTGAACATGCTTTTTTATGTGGTACTTTTGTTGAGGTCACGGGTTATCTTTGTTGTGGCCAGAAGTTTTTCTTTTGTATTCCGCACATTTAAGTTTCAGAAATTTGTGACCATATGTTTTGATGCTTTCTAAACCATATCTTTTCGTACTTGTTCACTCGACATGTATAATAGAGAACCCAATGTTCTCATTATTTCACAAGTAAAACTCAAAACAAAACTTCTGCTCTCTAAACACCACTCTCCTCTTTCTTTCTAAAACTTTTAAAGTGCCATCTTTTCTTCCATTCTCATATATTCATATCTTCTCTTATTCATTAAAAGTGGCATCATCATCAAACGACCCTTTGTCTGATGAAAGGTTTGATGATCTTATGGATCAAACGATGGATCATTTGTATGACGCCCTTTCAGAGATTCAAGCACCACCAAAGCCAAAGAAGAAAAGAGCATACATAGAAAGAGAAAGAGAATTGGGTCACCAACAACTCTGGAACGACTACTTTAGTGAAGATTGTACATACCCACCACATGTATTCCGACGCCGGTTCAGGATGAATAAGCCGTTGTTCATGCACATTGTGGATCGATTGTCCAAAGAAGTTTCTTATTTCAAACAGAAAAGAGATGCTGCAGGAAGGTTTGGTCTTTCTGCACTTCAAAAGTGCACAGCAGCAATTCGCATAATGGCATACGGTTCTGCTTCTGATGCGGTTGACGAGTACCTCAGGCTCGGTGAAAGTACTACACTTTTATGCCTGGAAAAATTTGTGGAGGGCGTAATCAATGTATTCGGAGATGAATACCTGAGAAGACCAACGGCTGACGATCTTCAACGCCTTCTTGATGTCGGTGAATCCCGTGGATTCCCGGGGATGATTGGAAGCATTGATTGCATGCATTGGGAGTGGAAAAATTGCCCTACGGCTTGGAGAGGACAGTATACACGTGGTTCAGGGAAGCCGACAATCGTCTTAGAAGCTGTGGCTTCTTATGATCTTTGGTTCTGGCATGCCTTTTTTGGACCTTCAGGTACTTTAAACGATATCAATGTTCTTGATCGTTCACCTATTTTCGATGATATTTTTAAAGGTCGAGCTCCAAAGGTTACGTACTGGGTTAACGGACGTCAGTACGATTTGGCATACTACCTCACTGACGGTATATATCCCGATTGGGCAACGTTTATACAATCTATTCCACTCCCACAAAGTGAAAAAGCAAGACTTTTCGCTACAACGCAAGAATCCGTCAGAAAAGATGTCGAACGTGCCTTCGGAGTCCTACAAGCTCGTTTTGCAATTGTGAAAAACCCGGCTCTATTTTGGGATAAGGTAAAAATTGGCAAAATTATGCGAACTAGTATCATCCTACACAACATGATCGTAGAGAATGAACGAGGAAGTCAATCACTTATAGATTTAACAACTTTCGAGCGCGGTGAAGGGAGCACAACATCACAGGTCGATAGGTCGTATTCTACGACTATGCCTACTAATTTCACTAATTTGATTGGCAACCGAAAAAAAGTAAAAGACAAACGGATACATGATCAGTTGAAAGCTGATTTAGTTGAACATATTTGAGACACACTTGGCTAAATTCCATATAACTATTTTATGTTTTCAATATTTTTATTGTTTATGTATTTAAAAATGTAATGCAAATTATGAATATATGTATTCAATATCATAATATATTAATCATTATTTTCGATTTTAACATAAAAAAAAAATTCCCCTAAAAACTTTTGCAGAAGTTCATCAATGGAGGCAGAAAATAGATGGTATTCATCGTTTTTATTTCACCAAATTTTATTGATAAAATATTCATGACAAACCCCATATGGGGTTCACCAATGAGGTTGCCCTTATCACTGTATAAGTTATTGATGTGATCTCCAACGTGTCCTTCTAGGTTTCTTCCGTTAAGTCATTTTCAATCCATCGTTCTTTAAACATGAACCGATTTAACCTGATATATTATTGGGATCTAGTTTTTTAGTACTGGAGTTTCTTGTTTTTTACGCTGATTTTGTTAGAATAGTAATAGTCCTTCACCATTTATAGTTTGGGATTCTCATGATTATCCTTCCTTATATTCTGAAATTGTTTATATTTTTCCTCTGAAGAAAAATGGTGCATATAGCTGGAACCACAAAACTAGCATAGATCTGTTCCAAGTTTTGACTCTGTTTCTAAAGGAGAAAATAGAGACAAATCCTCAAATGAAAGTACAAATATATGGCACATCCTCGAAAAAATAAGTATCCGATTTTAACAAATTTTTAAAAAAAAAAACTAAGGAGGAAGTTCTGTGAAAACAACTTCGCTCAATTCTCAAACATAGCATTCTGCAAGAGAGAGGGGAATAGAGATCGAGAAGATGAAGAAAGCAATCAAAATAAAATAATTAATATATCTTTATCCTACACATAATCTTAGTACAAATAATTTCGAATTTTTTTATCTATTAAAATAATTAGTTTTTAATATAAATTACGATTAAACAAGAATTTCAAATATGCAAGAAGAAGTGTAGTTTTCCAAAAAAAAAAAAAAAAAACAGAGTATTTTGCCAATTATCCCTATTTTTTATGCAGCATGAGCAGTTACCCAATTCTTATTGGGAATCATTCTTATTGAGAATCGATTTTTATATACCACATATGACATAAATATGCATCATAATTGAATAACCAGAACAGAAACATAGAAAACTTTAATTAAAGTGTGGGAGCTCGTGAAAATGTAGTCAAAGAGAAGAAAAAAAGAAAAAAAAATCTTCAAAAATATGTAAAAAACGTGTTAAACAAAAAAAGAAAATGAAATATTTTCAAATATTTCATTTTTGTTGGCTCACACCTGATCCTAGATTTTCTCAGATTTTAATAACCGTTTAGTAGAATACGAATTCTATATTTACTATAGAACGAAGACAAATAAGTAGAAGTCTAATTTTAGAACACATAGAATAAATAACGATTTCTAGAATACATATTCTAGAATATGTAGAATATATCACAAATTCTAGAATACATTTTCTAGAATATGTAGAATATATCACAAATTCTAGATAACGTATTCTACATGATATTATAGAAAACAAAACAAATAGTAGAATATGTATTCTATACTCGGTGGATCTTATATCAAATACTAGAAAACAAATTCTATAAAACACTAGAATTGTAGAAGATAAATAAATTTTAAATATGTGTATTTCTTTAAACGATGTTTTGGAATAATATTCTTTCCTTTTTTGGAATTTTCGAAATTTAAATGTATATATAAATATTTATTTCAAAAAATAAAAGTATTTAATAAGGTTATTTTTGTCCAAAATTGCCAAAAGTTAAAAAAGTACTAAGGGGACAATTACCTCCATTTTTTGTTCTATATTTCCAATTTTCCCTTTATTTTAATCAAAACTTTCTATTGAAAATGGTACTAATAATAACATTTATTTTTCTCTTTTTTGATTGAAACTAGGATATGAAGCTAAAATGAGTTTTTTCCTTTGAATAGGATTAATTAAAGGGAGAATTGGTTTTATAATGCTAATTGAATTAGAATTTGTCCCCTTAATATTTTCTAGATAAAATTTGTCTCTTTAATGTTTAATTTAAATTTAATCCAATTATACCCTTTAATTACAAATTAATAAATTAATTTCTTTTTAAAATTTTTTTATTAATAAATAAAAAAAACAAGTAGAAAAGACTTTCTACCAAGCGTAAAAAAAAAGAGAAACCCAGATATTCTATCTTCTTCCCCGTGTGTCTCCATCTTCTCCAATAAGTCACCGGCAAAAACAATTTCATGTAAGTTAAAACTTATTTGTTCTTCTTCCTCTTCTGTTTCTAACTCTGCGAGAGTCGTATTTGATTCAACAGCAACTAATCTAGCTCGTTTTTCTGCATCAGCCAAAAAAACCCACTTTTTATCTGTTCCTGATTTCCATGAACCACAAGTCATATATGTAGATATGTAGCATGTTTGAAGCAGAGATATGTAATTTTAGCGAAAATCTGCTTGATCAATATGAAAGAAGAAGAAGAGAATGATGATAGCCAAAAAAGAAAAAAAAATGTCAAAACTGATAAAAAAACGTTGAAAATTAAAAAAAAAAGATTTTCGAAATTTTTAAAATCTGGATGTTAACTAATTTTCCTAGATTTTCTCAGATTTTGATAGAAGATGTATTCTATGTTAATGTAGAATGCAGTCTAACAGGTAGAAGATGCATTCTACGTTAATGTAGAATGAAGTCTAACAGGTAGAAGATGCATTCTACGTTAATGTAGAATGAAGTCTAACTGGTAGAAGAACCGTTCTACAATAACGTAGAACCTGGTCTAACAGGTAGAAGATGTATTCTACTAACATGTAAAATATAGTCTATCTAGTAGAGTTATAATCTATCAATCGGTAGAATATATAAAGACCTATAGAAAACGACTTCTACAAGCTGGTAGAATATGTGAAGAACTATAGAAATGGGATTCTACGTGGACGTAGAACATTGAACATGCATTTTACCAAACGTAGAATGAATTTTAATAATATAATAAAAATCTTTTTTTCCATAAATGATATACGAAAATATTTTTAATTCCTTTTTAGATATTTTCGAAATTTTTAAAATATAATTTCAAATTTATATTTAATTATAACTGCCATAACTGATTTAAAAGGGCAACTATGTCAAAAAATGACAAAAAAATAGAAAATATTAAGGGGACAAATTCTAATTCAATTAACATTATAAAACCAATTTTCCATTAATTAAATTTATTATTCTATTCAAAGCCATACTGAATGGGTGCAGGTTTAAACTTACTTTTTGGACTTTTAAAATAATTATGAAGAATGAGACCATAATTAATGCTAAAACCAATTATGGGTCTCTTATCTATTATTTAAATACTAGTAAAATGAAATGTTGTTACCTGTCATCTTGAGACGTTAATCATGCTCTTATAATGAAATTGACAGGACCAATTTTCCATAAATATTATCAATTCTGCGAAAAATGAAATTGAAAACAGTTTTAAATTTTACTAACATTTTGGTATATTTTATTGGTGTTTGTAAAATTATTTCCTCACAACAGTACTAAATTAGAATCCAAAATAGAATTTAATGCAAAATTTTATTTATTCTCTCTTCATATTTTACCCTAAAATAGAACAATGAATATGATTACTCCAAATATGGAGTAATAAATAGGTTTACTTTATTGAGTTTATTTTTCTTATCATTCTATTTTGGATTAAAAATAAAATATGATTAGAGTAAAAATCAATTATATTTTAAAAAATTCTAAAATAAAATAAAAAAAGTTAAATCGATGAGTCTAGTCGGATCTTAGTAGAAATTTATGAAATATGTGTTTTGGTCTGGTAAAATTAAAATAGATTTAAGAATAAATTTTTCAAAAATATGTTAGTCCAATTGGTTCAGTTGATGAGTTGTTTTTTGAGCGGTGAGTTCAAATTACGACAACGAGTTAGAGAATTTAAATGAAGAGTAAACACAATTAATGGCGAATCCAGCCGATTAAATGAAGATATGGAATGAAGTTTCGGAGTATAAAAGAACAAAGGGGAAATACGAGAAAATAAACTCCAACACAAACAACCTAGAATACTTGTACCTGTAACTCCAAACTCAAATACTTGTACTTTTTATTCTTATTGCACTCCAAGCTGAAATTTTGTACTCATTTAACTCTTTTTATTTTATTCCGACTGAATATATTTCATCTATACGTACACTTTTGGTATTCCATAGAAAGTCACTTTTGTCTTTTCTAATTTTCGATCCTTTGTCTTTAATGACAAATTAGATCTCTAAACTAATCTTAAAAATCTGTGATTGCTGATCTTTTTGCATCAACATACCTCAAAATAAAAAACCACTTTTTGTAGAGAAAGCTAAAATCATGATGAATTTTTTTGTTTTGTTTTTTTACAGCAACAAAGCATGGTGAATTATTGAGAGTGGCTTGTAGCTGTAGACTTATAAGTCATATCCATATGGCAGTTATCTCTATATCAATTTATTACTAACACGTGGAATGCTGCATTAACAAAACACGTTTTCGTGCTACCATATAAGTAGTGTAGAAAAACAGAAAATAACAAGTTTATTTTGCCGTTTTGCCAATAAGCTATGGGACTAGGCTTTTCGTATTTTTTTCCTTAAATTGTTTTTTTATAAAGAGTTTGGTTTTTAAATGATTTCAAAAAAAAATGAAGTTGTTAATGCATATACCAAAGGAACAGTCATATTAAGAAAACTCGAGCTTCCAACTACATGAAAACAACACTATGTTTCAAACTTTCAATCATTCTTCTCTCTTTTTTTTTTATTCTTTCTATGTTTGTTTTACTGAATTTTGGTTTGTCTCAAGGTGTAAACAAATTAGATTACTTCATAGCCAACATCGAAGGTATTTTGGGATTTCGAAAATTGCATCATATAATTTTCCATTATACAGCAAAAGAGATCACCACTAAAATGAAAGTTGTTTTTTGGAAGCACAAGCATGATGATCTGTTTGAGATTTTCGCTTATGGTTGTGTGAAGGAAAATAGATGCAGATAAATTTCTTATGGTGATAACATCTTTTGTGTGGCAAAAATAAATCCACAACCACAATCAAATCAAGATTTAAAAAGAAGCAAAAAGAAATACTCTATTATGTTATTTGTCTTTAGTCACTACAAAATATGCGGCTTTTAACGTCATTTTAATTAAAGCTTAACGTCGGTTATGAGCCGACTTTAACAATATGGCGTCAGTTTTATTAACGATGTCTGAAAGTGTGACGTTAGTTTATTCGGCCTCACTTACAAAATTGATGTTATGTTTAACGTCAAAAAACTAACGTCACTTTCTTTTATATTAACGACAGTAAAAATAGTGATTTTAATTAAGTTCCTATCATTTCTCAAACCGACGTGAGATGCATTTCTTAATTAAAAAAAATACCTGTAAACTATAAAATGGACAACAAAATAATATAACCAATAAAATCATTCATTCAAAGCAAGAGTCAAAACATAATTGTATAGAAGATTGTCAATTACAATATTTTGATGACTGTCGAATTATAATGTCAATGAACAAGTATAAATGTCAAAGTACAAGTATAGCTCGTCTAAACAGAGACTGAAATGCCCACAAACACCAGCTCTTCTTATTGAGAAGTAAATCTGCATCAAGAACAACATGATAACCAACAAATCAGTCACTGAAAAGTAAGAAGTCTGTGTCTTATGAAACATTTAGTTGTTACAAAAACTTACTGAAACATATAGACATAGCAGAAGCAAAGCAGAACATGTAAGCAAAACTTGTAAAATTGCAATAGAAGTCAAGATGCAGCCATAATCTACTAGACAAATTCCATGAACAACTTAGCATTCTAAGTAAGCTACTAGACAAATCCCATGAACAACTTAGTCTTCTAAGTAAGCTACTAGACAAATTCCAGGAGCATAACTAGCTAAAACATAGCTAAACAGATTCCAACACTATTTTGATAGACTTAGAGACAGGATATGCACGGACATACCATTTTCAAAGTCAAGTCTTTGAAATGCCACTATCCTGGTTCCTATTGATGCTAGATGATTGAAGAATGTTGATGTTAAACTTTGTGTCTTCACCTATTACCCGTGAAAAATACATTTTTTGTTACCTCCAGAAAATGATAACTTTAAATCAATAAAAGTTGTATCTTACTTGGGAATGATTTCTTGATCGAACAAGAGGTACAAGAGCATCAGCTACGACATCTACTTTGTCTTCAAGTCTTTTCATGCGGGCCTCTAAGATCTCAGAATTAGATGGAGTCGCTAAATACTTGGATGGTGTCGGGCCACGCCCTACATATCGAACTCGTCCCGGATGCTCAGGGCCAAAGACTTATTCAAATGAATCTTTCGGTTTAGGCTCATTAATTGTTTCACTTTGAATATTCTGAGTCATCGCTTGTTTCAGTTGATCCTGCAAAATTTGATGAATACCATTTTAAAAATATCAACAACTAACAGTTTGGTAACATTTAAGAAGTGAATCAGACAGAAAACTTACTACAGAGATTGTTGCTTCGTTGCAAACTAAACTTCCATCTGACCTTGTACGTGATGCAATAAAAAGTTCACCTCTATTTGGTTCTACGCCTGTCTCCATTTCCTAAGAAATGAATATTGGCATCTAAGATAAGAGGATACACAAAACCATAAACATAATGTGAATCATAATGTATGTGATGCAAACATAAGTTTGTAAGTTACCATCTCATCAGACTTTCTTGCTAAACTCTTTTTTCCAAGTGCATGTGGTATCTTATGTTTGCTTCGACTTTTAATATTACGCTCTCTCATTTTCTATATGCATAGTTATAGAATTAGCCTTAGCAGTTAAATGTATTTCCACAAATTCTTTGCAAGTGCAGAGTTATATAAGTTTTACCTTAGCCTTATCTGTGAATTGCATTTCCACAAATTCTTTCCATTGATCCTCTGGAATTAGTCCTGGTCGTGCTTCAAATGCTTCTTCTAAAGTATTTCGCCTATGGTCCTTCCAAAGACGGTGCTTCAAGTCCCTACATCTAGCTCTTAAAGCAGATAAAGCATACTTCTTCCTCCTTGTTGGATCATCAAACCAGAATTTTTTCTGTGTTTATACAAAGCAGATAAATGAAGATAACCAGAGAATAGTAAACAGGACCAATAACACAAAAGGCAGGACACGTATCTATGCAAGAACAAACCAATGAAACCAACGCATATTCACCACAATGCAACAGATCTAAACAACGCATATTGACCACAATGCAACTAACCGAATGTGAAACAAGGAAAAAGAAAACAATTTAAAGTACCTGAATCACTTTCCAAGCCATCTCTTTCCTATATTTGGGTACTTTCCTCCAATCACTGTAATTTATAGGTAGTATATTAAGATCATTACTTAGTGAGCCTAACCACGAACCAAACAAACCTCCAGAATCCTTAATAGGCCGTCCTCTTCTATTGAAATCAACCATAACCCGTCGATTCAGCATGCTCCACATTTTTTTCCCGAAATCACTTCCTCTGTAATATTTTCATCAGCATCTAAACAAAACATAAATGTTATGTTTCAATATAACATGTTAGACCAAACATAAATGTCAATAAACATAAATGTCAAGTTCAAATCTATGACACGAACTCTCCATCTTCCAAAAGTTAGTTCTGGTCCAAGAGGAGGTGGAACTACGATATCTTCAGCTAGAGCCATATCTTCAACTAGCTCCTAAACCTGTAAAGATAGTAATTAAAAACTCTTAAGCCATATTTCAGAATTAAACTCATCAGGAAATATAAAGCAGATAAATACCTCCATATTATCATCTAAATTACATGAAACCTGAGAATTGTCGATATCTTCTAACTGCCTAACTAATCTAATATTAGAGACATTATCAGATATATTCATTGAACTTTGAAGAGGAGGATCTTCAAAGACAGTTTCAGGAGGCATTCCATCTGAAATAGTAGGATCACCCATATCATACAAGTCTCTTGGTTGGACATGTACAACAACATTCCATCCTTTTTCTTGTGGATCTTCCACATAATAAACCAGTCTTGCCTGAGAAGCCAACACGTAAGGTTCATCTTCCTCACCATTTCCGGAGTGAATCAAACGAGAAAAATTCACCATAGTGTGACCAAACTCATCTTTCTTATATCCTCGAGCATCATAAGTATCAACCCATTTACATTTGAACAACACTACTCTAAATGAATCATAGTAGTTCAATTCCAGAATTTCAGTTAGTTTCCCATAGTAAGAAACATCTCCACCTCTAGGATTAAAATCACGAGAACTTGCATAGCTAATGGTTTCGGCTGAGACAAAAATTCCACTATTCTGAGTTCTTAGTTCTTGATCCCTTCCTATAGTTCTAAACTTGAATCCATTGATATTATAAGCTGAGAACTTTAAAAACTTATCAGATGGACCTTGTGCAAGACACTGAATATCAGCAGAAATACCATTAAGACTATTATTTTCTACTTTTTGCTTAAGCCATTGACTAAAATGGAGATGCACATGTCGATCTATATCTATCACAGTTCCTCTTTTTTGACGCCGTAATTGTGATCTTCTTAGTTCACTCTTAAATATCCTATCATATTCCAAAAGAAAGTCTATATCAGACACAAAGAAAACCGTACAAAAATATAAAAGTAAAGTAGAAATCTTACCTGCGATATTCATCTAAAAAAGAGCTATTTACTAGGATATATCTATGTGCTTGTTGTCGTTCAATGGGACTGAGTGTGCCCAGTATAGAAGCACCAACAGATCTCCCAAGTGAAGGAAATATAAGAGGAATCTGTGATTCAGAACCTAAGTCATGCTCCACCATAGGGTGATCATCCACTCTCCCAATACGATTGAATCTTGTCTCCACTCCATCAAGATATTTAGAGCAAAATGTAAGACATTCATCTGCAATATATTGCTCACATATGGAACCTTCAGGTCGAGCTCTATTTCGAACATAAGATTTAAAACATCCAAAGATCATATAGGAAAAAAACCAAACTTAGATGAATACTAAGCTATCTATAGATGAATACTAAGAACCAAACTTATACCTTTCAATTGGATACATCCATCGAAATTGAACTGGACCTCCTAGTTTCACTTCTTCTGTGAGACGGATGGTCAAATGGACCATTACGGTGAAAAAAGATAGAGGAAAAACCATTTCTAAATGGCACAAAGTAAGTGCAATATGATCCTGCAGCTTATCCACATCTTCAATATCAAGTACCTTTGTACTTATATCCCGAAAAAAGTAACATAACTCTGTTATGACAAACGAAACTTCTCGGGGTAAAACATTACGAATGGCTATAGACAGCAACTGACCCATTAAGATGTGGCAATCATGACTCTTTAAGCCAACTATTTTCCGTTGATTTATATCAACACAGGAGGAAATATTTGAAGAATAACCATTTGGGACCTTTACACTCTTCAAGATATTAAGAAATCTATCTTTCTCATGTGTAGTCATTGTAAAACATGCAGGAAGATATCTACCATTCTCATCAGACCACAACTCTTTACGAATACCAAGTTCTTGCAAATCTTTTCTGGCACTAAGATTGTCTTTTGACTTGCCTTTGTCATCTAGTAATGTAAATATGAGATTATCAAAGGCATTCTTCTCTATGTGCATCAAATCTAGATTGTGTCTCAAGAGAAGATGTTTCCAATAAGGCAACTCGAAGAATATACTACTCTTTCTCCACTGACTTTTTCCAGCCTCTTGTCGATGCCTCTTCTTTCCAGTACTATCTACCTTCTTCCCCAAAGTAACATCAACATCTTGAATTTTCTGGGGAATAACAGTTCCTGATGGTGTAATAGGAGCCTCCCTTGTTTCAATAAAACCATCAAAATGGTGCTTGTCTTTTCGAAAACTATGATTCTGAGGCAGAAACCGACGATGTCCCATGAAACAGTTTTTCTTCCCATGATGTAGACGAAGCTTTGTAGCATCATAATTGCAAGAAGGACAGGCTAATCCTGTATGTATATTCCACCCAGAAAGATTTCCAAGCCCTGGAAAATCACTAATTGTCCATAACAAAACAGCACACATATTAAAAATTTCTTTTAAAGAGGCATCAAAGGTTGGCACTCCATCAGACCATAACTCTTTTAGTTCTTGGATAAGCGGTTGTAGGTATATATCTATATCATTACCCGGCATGTGTTTACCTGGAATTACCATTGAAAGAATCATTGATGTTTCTTTCATAGACATCCAAGGTGGAAAGTTATAAGGAACTAAAAGGACAGGCCATACACTATAGTTTGTACTCATAGAACCAAAGGGATTAAAACCATCAGTTGCTAATCTTAACCTAACATTACGTGGATCTGATGCAAACTCTGGAAATTGCTGGTTAAAGGTTTTCCAAGCCTTTCCATCTCTAGGATGCCTTAATTTACCATCTTTATTCTCAGAACTATCATGCCACCTCATATACTCAGCACTCTTGGATGACATAAAGAAACGCTGCAGGCGTGGTTTCAGTGGAAAGTATCTAAGGATTTTAGCAGTTGGTTGCTTCTTTTTCTTCTTCTTTTTATCCACCATATCATCTGCTGTCGTTGATGTTGTTGATGTCTTCCATCTTGAACTTTCACAAACCTTACATGTGTCTCTAGATGCATCATTTCCCCAATACAGCATGCAGTCATTAGGACAGACGTGAATGGTCTCATATGTAAAGCCTAACTTACGAATAATCTTCTTCATATCATTAAATGATCCAGGCAGCTTTGCATGCCCAAAAGCTTCTTTTAAGAGGTCAATTATCATAGACATTCCTCTGTCACTTATCCTAGACAAACACTTGATGTGATACAACTTCAGCATGAAGGACAGCTTGCTGAACGATTGACACCCATCATACAGAGCTTCATTACATTCAGAGAACAGATCATCAAATGCCTCCTTTTGTTTTGAATGATTCTCTGTGGGAACACTTGCAGATTCAGTGAAACTATTGTTCATACTTGGAAAAACATCTCCAAGTAGATTCATAATCGAGTTTTGATTCTGATCAGAATCAGAATCGTGTTCTAATCTAACGCTCTGCTCAGGGATATCTAATTCTTCACCATGAAGATATCAATTTGTATAAGTAGAAAGAAAACCATGACAGATTAAATCACCCTCAACCTCGACCCTATTCTTGTATTTAACAAGACAACAACGCTGACAAGGAAACTTTATCATGTCTGTTTGAATGTTAGCAAAGACGAAATCCAGAAAATCTTTAACTCCACTCAAATAGTCTTGAGACAAACGATGCTTATGCATCCAAGACTTGTCCATTTTAAAACCAATTCTACGAAAAAAGTAAACCATTTCTCAACCAATATGTTTTAAGAATCCAAACAATCACTTGTACATTTTAAGAGACTAGAACCGATGCATATTTTAGTTAACAAACTAAGTGTTTTCAAGTCTAGTATATATGTTCATTTTAGTTAACAAACTAAGTGTCTTTAGAAACAAAAACAGTCATTCAAAAGAGGCTAATAAGAAATGATTGCTTTAAGAAAGCTTACCTTATCTGTCTCTGAAATTTGAGATTCTCTAAGTTTTAGATTTGTGCAGATGAATGTCTGTATACAAACCTTGCATTGTACATACATCAAACATGAAAGTGAAGATCATGTTAAAATGAAACCTTAGCATGTTATTGAATAAAATTACACTGAACTCAATATTAGATCTAGAAAGCAAAAGAATAACACTGAAGATTTGTGCAGCTAACACAAGACAAATCTTACATCTAGAAAGCAAAAGAACACACGACTCAATATCAATACCATAAGCAATCGTTCATCGACATGATACAGAGTCCACGATACAGAGTTTCAGGTTCATAAACATTCTACACAAATCCTTCACAAATCATTCACGATTCTTCACAAATCTCTTCTATACTTCAATAGATTCATAATCATTGCTCAAAAACAAACTGATATCGAGAGATAAGGTTTCGGAAAATACCGTACAAACTGGGATCGAGAGATGAACTGTTTTTCCAAGTTCTTCGATGCTGAAACTGTTGAGATCGAGAACGATTTTTTCGATTTTGATTCAAAGTAGCGAAAACTGATGAGATTCGATGAAAATTTTGAAACTGAGAGTCAACAAAATTCGATTTCGGTGTTGAATGATGATAACACCGGATTTTGACCGTTTTTATGGATCATTTTAATATCTTTTACAGGTGTTTTTACTCCATTTTCGAAGGTTTTCAAAGGATTTCTATGTTTTCGGATTTTAAAAGACTTTTCAGGTAATTTGGGATAAAGAGGCACAAAATGGAACAAAAAGACTCTTTTGGATAAATGCAGACCGTCAGAACTCTCATGGAGAGACGAAGACCTTCTCACCGTCTGATCACCCTCAAAATTGGACAACTTATAGAAGAATCAACCAGCTTTCAAATGCACTTGGTTTGGAGACATTCCAATGGTTGGATCTCAAGATATTTCATTAGCCCCGGAGCCATTCGAAGTCGGTCAGCAACTCACCCGACCGCGGCCAACAAGCTATTTGCCGCGGTCAGAAGCTTCCCGACTGCGGCCAACAAGCCAATTGCCGCGGTCACAACACTCCCGACCGTGGCAATCAACCTCCGACTTAAAGCCCACTTATCTGAAGCCCAAAGTCATTCTCAGCCTCAATTCCGGAACCCTAGAGACCATGGAGTATTGGAGACTATAAATACATGTCATTTAGGTCGTTTTTAGAGAGAACCCTTGATACTTTACAGAAACCCTTTTCCTTTAGCCGTTTTTATGAGATTTTTGTAGAAGATTGTTCAAGTCCGAGTTCTTCAATAGAGAAGCTTTCTTTATCTCTTTTCTTTACTGTTTTTCATTACTTTTATTAAAACCAATTATGATGTCGAACTCAGCCATGTCTGAGTAGATCCCGAGTTGGGCTTAGGGTTCCCGAAAGGGGCTCTCATAATCGATTAAGACATCTAGGTTTATAGATCTGGGATTTCGACCTGTTCTCTGTATATTCTTGTTCTTATTGCATGTATGCTTGATTGATCACCTAGTATCTGATCTAGATAGTTAGTGTTGCGAAAGTTTTCATTAAGTATCAGCCCTAGAATGAAACAGGCGATTTTTCCGTAGGAGTAGAAACCTACCTGCGGCGAGATCGTGAGTATTGACGAGTCTTGTGCAGCTCTTGCGTTCTCTCCCTTCCAGGGCCAGAGTGGAAACCTACTGGTCAGGGTTGCGAGAAACAGTTGGTTATGATCACGACAGTGACGTAGTCATACCGCCGTACTCTAGCTCTAGAACCCATATATCGTTATCTGTCAATCCCAATCTATCTACCTGAGTGTTAAAACCGATTATGATCCCTTAGAGTTCCCAAAAGCTCAGCGTTTTTAGCCATAGTTTACAATTCCATCGATTTTTACTTGTTTTCTTAGACCTGCATTTCAATTTCCTTAGTTCATTATTTACTTGCTTTATTTACCTTTCATGCGATATTTTACTTGTCTTATTTTTGTTTAGTTCGATATTTTACTTATTTCATTTGCATTTCATTCGATTTTCTTTACTTGCTCTTTAGGATAGATTTATTTGCTTTCTTTTGCTTTAGTTTAATTCGAGAAAAACAACCAACCTTTAAAACTAATTTAGTCTAGACATAAAGTTAAAAACCGTAGAAGAATACCAGGCACACAAATCTCTGTGGATTCGATCCCTAAATACTACAACTGATTAGTTGTGACCTTGCGGCTTTCATTTATTTTGTTAAGGGTAAAACTTGTTCCCTCACGTAGTTGACACGAGCACGCATCAAAGGAGAAGAGAATAATTTTGGTGTTGAAAGAAAATTGATTCATGGATTTGGATTTAAAATTGAAATGGGCTTTAAAAGCGTTGGACACATAGTTCAGACGCTTGCCTTGAGATCCAGTAATACACTATATTTTGATTTAAAATTGAAATGAGATTTAAATTTGTTTCTTTGTGCCGACTAAAATGTGTACAAAGGAAATTGTTTGAACAAACTCAAAGTTTTAAGGAGATTGGTGATCTCAATCCAAAACCAAACCCAACCCCAAACCAACCCAAAGTTTTAAGAAGTTTGGTGATCTCAAACCAAAACTAAACCCAACCCCAAAAAAACCCCAAATTACATATGCTTCTTCTCTTCTAGACGACCCTTTCCACGGGATGAATCTCCTCTTTCTTGAACCCCACGTCTCTGTAGTGCAAGCTTTCTCTCCTCCTTTATCATCCTTTTTATGGCTTCACGGTACCCAGGTTCGATGTCGTCTTCGTCTTCCTCAATGCGCAGAAGACTGCTCCCTAAAGATCTCCTAAACTCTGCTCGTGTGATCTCCTTCACGTCATCATATGCTTCTTTTCGTGTAATCTCCTCCACATCTTCAGCGAAATTCACGTCATCTACTTCTTCTCGTGCATGTTGGCGGACCACTGGTCTGAGTCCTTTTGCAGGGAGTCCGCAAACAATCACTTTCCTTCCTTCCATTGTAGAAGAGATCAGCCTGCATAATAACACAACAACAGAGTTGAGAGATGGACCTTTTCATTATACGAGAACACAATAACACAAGAAGATAGTATATGAGACATAATCTTTTCATTAAACAAAATATATTACATTAAGCAGACTTAGAACATCAGGGAAATAGCTTAAGCAATCATAAAACAAGAACAAACGATGACACAGCAACTACCAACCTAATGATTACACAGCTTACACACCAAAAACCAACCTAACCGATTACACAGCTTACACACCAAAAACCAACCTAACCGATTACACAGCTTACACAGCAAAAACCTTCCTAACCGAGAACACAGCAATGAGCTTGTTCTTTAAATGACTTCAAGCTTCTTCAGGACATCAAGTTGGCAATGAGCTTGTTCTTTAAACCTTCCAATGAGCTTGCATTCATCACAACTAAGCCATTGATTATAACTAAACTATATTCCACAACTAAACTAAGCATTCATCACAGCCAATTCCACAACTAAACTAAACTATATTCGAAATCTATCAGTGGATTAACCAAAGCCCTAAATTGAAGCAAAGGAATAAACCCAAATCGATGAAACAAGAGATCTTCCACAATTTGTTAAAAAATCCCTAATCGATCAAACAAGATAAAAACGATTTCAAAAGAGACATGCAAGAGCAACCACAAACAAATTCGGATGCAATACATCAAGGAGAGATATCAGAACTCAAAGGAATTCGATTTTGAGTTCAATTCACTCAAACCACAAACCATCAAATTCATTTAGAGGGAGATAAGATAACAAATCGACGAGACAGGACTGATAGATGAAATCGCTTACCTTCAATATAGCTCCGGCGGACGTCTCTTTGACCGGAAGTGGTGAGAATCGGTGAAGATGCGACGGTGAGCCGATTTGGAGGCCCAGAGTCGAATGGTTTCGTCGGGGAAGAAATGGAGAAGAGAAAGGGAAAAAATGGAGAAGAGAAGAGAAAGCCTTTTTCTATTTGTTTTTTGCGCCGAAAATGTTAAGCTTAACGTCACATGTTAAAGTCGTTTTGTTTAACGACGTTAAAATCCTTCCTTTGAAAAATGTTAAAGTCGATTTAGGAAATAGCGTTAATTTACTGACGTTACACAGCGAGTTTCTTGTAGTGAGTACGCTGCATATCAGTGCCCAAAAATTTTGGATTTTGAATTTTATTGTATGAATATCAATGCATATCACTAAATGTATGCATTTCTTCTTAAACAACTTCAAAAGATGTGTATGTTCACAAATTTATGTGCATAACATGTACAGATCATATTATATCAAAACATAATGATAAGATAACAAATTTGTTATTTGGTGTGTTAATAAAGTAATTGTTTTTTATTTAACTAAAGAAGTTCTAGTAGTTTTTTCTTTGAAAGTTATTCATTGTAACAAAGAACACAAGATATAAAAAATAATATAAAATTTTTTGCAAATTCTTTATTTGAAAATCTCTTAAACCTACTTCTTACAAGTTGTTTAATCAGAATTATGTAACATCACCACTGAATTTGTCATTGACCAATTTGTAATCTACGTAGCAACCAATTTGTAATCTGTGTAACCATTTGATTTGTTATTGACCAATTTGTAATCTGCGTAACCACTTGATTTGTCATTGACCAATTTGTAATCTATTAAAGATCTGAACATTCTTGTTCTACCGTTCTCAATTTCGATGACTAACCTAAAATTTTGGTGTTACAAGCTTTATATATTCTCAAACTTCTCACATTGAAAATCTTCCTTTTCCACTTTGTGATATCCTCAAATATCTTTTTATTTCTTAGATTTGAGATCCCCCAATATAATTTTAATTTGATGACTCCTTTAGCTCCACTCATATCATGCCACATCAGCTACTTTTCACACTCTATTGTTTCTGGGTTAATGATTCCTTTGTGCACCACCTCATACCTTGGTACTAACATTAATGCATTCATATTTTTTAAAAAAAAAAATCTGCATTGCTTATGATTTATTTTGATATTTTACTTCAAGAAATTGTTTTGGATACACGTTGGATATGGCTTGAATGCTTGATGCATCTGGGTGTAGTTCATTTTCAAGGCACCTGTTTCTACATTGATTTCAGTGTCGATTTTGGTTTTGTCTTCTTCTTATTTTGTGGGATTTTTTATTTTTTATTGGTTTGACCAAGGAGAAGAATCTTTGAGCATATGATGATGATTCGAAAATAACACTCTACATTCACGTGAACTAATTACCAACAAGAATATTAAAACCATGATCACTCCAAGACACTTTTGTCGAAGTGTGACTATGCATGCCATCTTGTCCGTCTTTCGTGCACCGGGCTACAAAATCAATGTATGAATGGACTTTCTTGAACATTCATTTATGAGAATGAAGATATTATTTGCAATCTACTTATTTGATATGTAAACCGAAGAGGAAACAAAATGTTTGTTTTATTTTATTTTATTCAGATCTCCAGATTTCTGTTTATTTTGTTCTTGAAATATACAACCTTCAAGTGCTCGCCATTGACCTTCTCTACCAACTTCGTCATGATATCTTGCATCTTGACTAAACACAAAAAAAAACCCCAAGAAAGAATTGGTAACGTGGTCACCAAGAAAACCAATGAAGTCATATAATATCTTAAGTAAACAAGTAAACGCATTATGTCATCATAACTAGATTTTGTGATACGTACCTTTACGTTATATTCATTCATTAAACCGTGAATAGAGAGAAAAAGAGTTGTATCACAGTATCATTGGAAACATCCCAACTTTTATTTTAAGGGACTTCACAAAATTGCATCATTCTAATTTCTGAATGCTTAATTCTTCTTCTAACTATCGGCTATATTCTGCCAGTGAGTCCCTGGGAGCTGGGACTGTCCCGCCTTTTGTCAGACACATTGCGGTAGGCAAGTGTTGATTATGAGAAAATAAAAAGTGATGTTTCGGCGATTTGGTTTTAGAATAATGGGCTGCGAGTGCTAATGAGTTAACGAGCTAAGCAAATTTGACAGAGACCTAAAAGATGAGCAACGGGACTTCCCTAGTATGTATATCTATCCCTAGTATATTCATAACAAGGCCTCTAAATACCAAAAGGCAATTCAATAACTATCAGAAGAAACCAAGTCGAAGTTCCAAGTCATAATTGATAGCACAAAAGATCCAAAAAATAGTTCATAGTGATCCCAAAAGACAGGTAAACTCTAACAGGCATAAAAAGAAAAGGCTTTAATTTGTTCTGACAACTGGGGAATGAGTGTATAGTTTTAAGCAGCTTGTTGAGCAGAAAGTCTCTTCCTGGCTTCCTCAATGATGGTCAGCTTGATACCTTTTCCTTTGGGAAGAGAAACCCATGGCTTTGTTCCTTTACCAATTGTGAAAACGTTCCCCAGCCTTGTAGCAAACTCATGCCCTGTTGAGTCTTGAATGTGGATGGTTTCAAAGCTTCCCTTGTGCTTCTCACGGTTCTTTATCACACCAACACGCCCTCTGTTTCTTCCTCCAGTCACCATCACTACGTTGCCCACATCAAACTTGATAAACTCCACAATCTTGTTCTCCTCGAGGTCCAGCTTGATTGTGTCGTTCGGCTTGATGAGCGGGTCGGGGTAACGGATGGTGCGACCATCATATGTGTTCAGGTAGGGAATGCCCTTCTGACCAAACTGGATAGATCTCACCTTGCATAGCTTGAACTGCACAACAACAAACGAAGATACTTGTTGGAACATGTAACAAACAGGTAATCAAACATGGAAATTTATGAGAGCTCTGAATACAAGGCTAGAACATTACATACAGACTTGACTCTGTTCGACTGATTCAGCATCTGGCACTTAAAAAGGGATTTAGGAGAACAAACCTTTGCTTCCTCGTCCCTGATGGAGTGAAGACGGAAGCGTCCCTTGGTATCATACAAAAGACGGAAGTTTTCATTCGTTTTTGGGATAGACACAACATCTGCATATAACAAAGCATTTTCAAGTCAAAATCACTCAAATCATAGAAGCAGAAATAAAAGGTCAAGAAGCACAAACAAACAAATATAGCAAGACTCACCCATGAAACCAGCAGGGTAGGTCTTGTCAGTCCTCACTTTCCCATCAACTTGAATATGCCTTTGCATCAAGATCGAAATCACTTCTCTATATGTCAGAGCATACTTCAACCTGTTTCTGATGATAAGGACAAGGGGTAAGCACTCCCTAGACTTGTGTGGACCAGAAGACGGTTTGGGGGCCTGCGCGGAAAAACAATCATTATAAGCACCGATCGAATAATGAAAACTAAACTAATAAGATTCAATCGAATAAGTGACTTACAAAGGCACCACCAAGTTTGTCAAGCATCCAATGCTTAGGGGCATTAAGCCTCTTCAGATGCTTCTTCAAACCTCTCGCCTGCAGAAACGAAAAAGGATAAACACAAAAATCAAAACACAGTATCTTCATAAAAGCTCAATCACTTAAAGTCCCATTTTCCCACAGTCCACAAAGTTTAGCCAAAGTAACATCATTCAAGACCTCAAGTGGTATCTGGATAATCGAACCCTATTTTTTAAGATCTCAACGAGGCCAGTACTTAAATCGATCCCAAAATCATATTACTAACACTCTGAAGCTGAAAAAGCAATTAAATTTAGAAACACTAACAAGAACCCAGAACTACATCAGCAAACTATCTAAATTGGCACAGCGATTCTACCCAGAAAGAAGATACAGATTATCGTTCCACACAGAGCGAATTCACGGATTGGAGGCAAACTATCTGAACAAAATGAACACATGGACCAATCGATTGTGAGTACGAGGCTAAGAGAGAGAGAAATAAATGACGAACCATGTTTGCAGAGAATGCGTTCCGAGTCCTCCGCGGCTAAACAAGCCAGCTCTCTCTGCAGTAATCTATTTCACTAGGGGTTGAAGAACCAAGCATAAAACCCTAATTTTAACATGCGTAATCCCAAACTTATTTGCCACACGTGTAAAGTTATGCAAGCCCACTCTAGGCCCAATAGCACTCCCAATTTTTTTTTTTTTATTGACATTTTCATTTAAGCCCATAGGACCACAACCACAAGATACATGTTTGAGGTCCAACAAGAAAACGAACCCATAAAACATACACTTAACAAATACACGTACTCATATACGTGTAATCAGATTAAGCAGATAAAAAACACGTGTTGTTCATTAAGCTCGTCTGCAATTCATAGCTGCTTCCATCGTCACTCTTCGCCGCCGGCCACTACAACGCCATCTCACGACCAAGCTTCACTACCGGCAACGTCGACTTCCACAGCAAGAGAGTATGCATCTTGGAGTTTATCTTCTGTTAAACTGCTTGTCCCAGATAAAATCATCGAATAGAAAGCCGCAAAAGAGATAAAGATCTCTTCTAAAACTACAACGCCATCTCACGACCAAGCTTCACTACCGGCAACGTCGACTTCCACAGCAAGAGATTATGCATCTTGGAGTTTATCTTCTGTTAAACTGCTTGTCCCAGATAAACTCATCGAATAGAAAGCCGCAAAAGAGATAAAGATCTCTTCTAAAACTGCTTCAAATAATTTTTTCTTCAGGAAAGCTCCGCCGCTGGTCAGACCCAATGTATTGGTTTGATCTGGTGTCCGTCGTTGCTCTGAGTGATGAGCATGAGGATGAACAGCGAAGAAATTACTCTGAGAGAGAGAAATCTTGAAACAAAATTTTAAAAGAAAAACAGCAAATTCCGATGAGAAGAAGTACCGCCGGAAGAGAGAAAATAGAAGGCAGATCCGGTCTTAGCCAGAAATTATTGTCCGAACTAGATCGGAAATTTATTAATCCGAAGAATGGAAGAGAAAGCCGATTAACATCAGAAATTTACAAAAAAAAAGTTAATCGGAAGAGAAAAGTTCTCTCTTCGTGAAGGACAGAGATGAGATAACGAAGAGAGAGAAAAAAACTCCTCTTAGTTTACACTCCCATTTAAAATGTGATACCGATTTTAATGCAATAATTGTTTTTTCCACCGCTGTCAGCCTATCACATCCCCACTCACTTTGTTGGAGAACAATAAATTGTTAAGAGTTCATAGCTAGGTTTCATAATTCTCTTTTTTTTTAAAACCTAAAAATTCAGGTTTCATAATTCTCTTGATCACGAGTTTTTGGATTTATGATTCTCTGAACGCTTTGGATTAATGATTTGTATTGCACACCACTAGCTGACACCAAAAGAAACCAAGATCGGCACCTTTTTCTTTGTTTAGGTTAGGCCGGTTTTACATTTATTTTGTTTTTAAACTTGAAAATGTTAAGAAAACAACAATTATGAAGTAAATCTACCAATGCGATTTTATTTATATATAAAAAAATCGGCCATCTAAAATATTTGAAAGTTTTAATACTTTCTCCGTTTCACAAAAAATGTCGTTCTGACACTTTTTTTTCAAAAAGAATGTCGTTTTAGAATTCTAATGTAAATTTTGACATAAAATACCATTTTTAACCTCAAAAATAAATTCAGAATGTTAGTTATAAATATAATTCCAAGAGTCATTTTCTGCAAATTAATAAGGGTATAAAAGACATTTTATCTTATTTCTTAATCTGTGTGAAGAATGTCAGAACGACACTCTTTGTGAAACGGAGGGAGTATATGATAACATTTATACCATATTGACCATATTGATTATAATATTTAATACCATATTATATTCACAATTCAACTTTTGTTTTGTCCATCATACGCTATTTAAAATGATTTATTTTTCCACGTGAACCATATTAGAGCTGCTTTCTCCGTTCTGATTCACTTGTTCCACCTCGAACGATACACTGTTATCATTTCAAATCATATATAGTTTTTTATAGAACCATATATATATATATATACAATTATAAATTTTAGCATATATTTATGTATTTAATATTTTACAAATACAGTTCTCAGTATGTCATATAGCTTCACCATAATAACATGTCTTATATATGGAATTAGGGTCATATAAACTAAAGTATCCATAATTTAGATCACAATGTAAATTGATATGCTACTGTTTTATTTATGATATATATGACACACATAAAACCCATCCAAAATTTTATTATTCAGCCTCAAAAACAAACTAAGTACAAATATACATTAAAAAAATGGATAACTAATGAGATCTTTTAAAGAGCAAAAATAAGAGAAAACTCAGGACATAGAGAAAATGAACTTGGTAACTTTCCAATATAATCTGATGATATCACCTCTTTTAAGACTTTTTGCATTTCTGATATTGTTCCACCTATTTCCGATAGTATTGTTTAGGCCAAGATTTACCAAATAAATTTGTCACTGTCCTGAATTTTCACTTGAATACCATTTTGAGGTATCATAACTTCCGTCTTCTTTACTATGTTGTTGACCATCGATTTTGGTAATCACAACCGACCGTTCCAACAAAGATAGGTATTTGTCAGAGTTGTGCTTATGTTAATTGAGGTCCTAAACAAATTTTCAAAAAAAAATGAAAAATTAAAGGAGAAAAATTTACAAACACTATTAGGTAGAGATTTAACATCTTATCCTAATTTTGTTTTAACTATTTTTTATATGAAAAATTTGTAGAAACTATGTTGGATTTTGAAAAATATCTATTTTTAAACTTAAAAGTATAAACATATTTTTGAAACTATGATGTATCTTTTGGTAAAAATAAATAGTTTTTCTATAATGTTCAAAAAAAATTTGGCCGTAGACCAATGTTTCAAAATCTACAACGTAGGCACGGCTTTGGTATTTGTTAATGTTTTTTTTTTTTAATCATCAGACTAGAATCTATTTACTGAACTTTTAACTGTTTTAGAAATATACCTGGGAATGCTTTAAAAATATTAAAATATCAACTCGTATGTTTATACATATTCTACATAGTTTCTACTTGAATACCATTTTGAGGTATCAATAACTCGTATGTGCACAGCACGAGTGATTATTATCATTTACACTGAAATTATAAAGTATTATAATGTGTTGATTAGTAAGTAATAGTTGATTTAGTTGCGCATTTTGTAGTATTTAAAATGGATTTTATTTTAAGTGTATGTTTATTTTAGTAACAGAATGAAATTAGCAATATGAACTTTATATGTGTGAACTAAATGTTTGTTGTTTTGTTTTGAAGTTCTATTTGTTTTTTATAGTTTTCCTTTACTAAATAAACAAAAATGAAAGAAATTTACCGATTAACAATCTTATTTTATAACTGTCTATATGATGATGCTAAGTATAATAAATGATTACCAAATACATTGAAGTGTAATATTGAAAGCAACAAATATTAATATGTTCGTTTATTAAAGTTAATAGTAAAACTTCGTATATTATTTATGTAATACAACAAATACAAACAGATATAAAAATAGACAAATATGTGTGTAATTACTAAATAGGTCTCATGTGAATACAAGATAATCTTGCTAAATTTAACATAAAGATTATAAAAAACACAGGAAAACTTCGATGACATCGAAGATTTACTCGATGCGAAAAAGGAATAATCGTCTTCTCAAATATTTGGCTTTCTGGAGAATCATTGTTATGTTTGCAGAAGCTATCAGAGGTAAATATATGATATTCAATAATATATTCCGAATGTTTCATTATATAAAATCGTCTGATGAATCTGTATTACTCCAAATCAGAATTCAGATGGTTATATCATAGTTTTTAGTTGAATCTACTTAACTTAATTGAACTATCTATTTGATTTTAGTATCTTACAGGTGATTCATAGATTGTAGAGATTTCTAATGTCGATTATAATCTCAGACAAACTTTATTCGAAAACAGAATCAGCTATGTTTAGCGACGATACTACACAAATTAGAAGCAAAATAATCAGGTTCTATTCTATAACCCTCTTCCATTTTCTACATAACTATGTTGTTTTATAACAATTAGATAAACTAATATAGTTTTCTATTATCTAAACTACAACAATTTTCTAAAACAGAAAACAAAAAGAATTTCAAAAATAAACATTGGTTCTTAATAAGTAGTACATTAAGTAGCAAATATCCATAAGGTTCCACAAAGCATACCGTAAGTTATAAATAAGTTTTAACGAAGATGGAAAAGTTGAAAATCACACCATAAACTTAGAAATTAAAAATACTTAAAACGCAACAGATGTTGATGTATCTCTAGTCGTCATTATTGCGCAAATTCCTGGAGTTGCAGACAAATCCATCATCTTTTTGGTAATCCTGCAAAATATAAATGAAGATTCATTTGATCATGTATATATATAAAGTTTGTGTTTTTTCTAAGATAGAAACAAAAATTTTTTAAGGCTTACTAACTTGTTCTGGAATTTTGAAACTTGGTCGATTGGTGGAGCAATTAGAAAGCGAGAGAAGCCAGTATTTTCATGTTCATGGATAGTTAGTTCATCTAGACATATATTACATATCCAATGAGAAATTGCTAGTTACTCCAAATCAGTAATAATTTACAAAATGATTTAGCATAACTATATACATACTGATATTCTTCTTAACTGACCAGTGATTTAAAACGCAAATAGCAAAGGGCCCTGTGAATCCTTGACATCTTTCTTTTATATTAACAACAAAGTCACCATATGCAAAGTATTTGAAAGAATAATCCCTAAGTTGATAAAAAATAAGAGTTAGAAATAATAAAACTTACAATACTAGAAATAAACTAAAAACTATTCTGCATCCTTAATGGTAAACTCCAGAACTCGCTTTGTTTCTCCATCTAAAAAACACTGGGTGTAGACTTCGCCAATAGTTTCAAGACTTCCCATCAAATCTAGTTAGATAGTCAAATATTTTAAATACTTAAACCAAAATCTTATAGAATAATAGGTTTTGTATGTGTACACAAACTTAAAAATGTAAACAGAACATGCAATACAGATTTATACATATTTATCAGCTAAAATTAGTTCCTTGTCTGCTGTGTTTATTTTAACAGTATTAATGCTTTTTTGTTGCTCAAAAATAATAATAATAATGCTTAAAAAAATGTCTATATTTAGTAACTCCTATGGATATATTCTCTATGTTAGCATATGAAATTTTTCTGAAATTACAATTTTCTATGTTAAAGCAATTGTTTATTTTTATTTTTACAAACTGTATATATTTACATCAAAATTTTTTTTAGTCCTTTACAAAAATATTTTCATATATACAAGCTAAACCTATTACTATGTCCTAAAGAAGCATAAAATATAATTATAAAAATTTATTTTTCAAACATTCTAAAATTATGCATTTATCTTATTTTTCAAATCTATATAGTTTCTTTACTACAACTCCAATTTTTTTAAAAAAATTTAACATATTAATAACAATAAATCTAGTTATTATTACACAACATGATTATTATAAGAATTTATTGAAAAGTCACAATATCATAATCAATACATTAATTACTGAAAATGTAAAAGTGTTATTATCATAATAATGAATTGATTTTTTACATGTTATTCAATCATGAATTTAAACCTAATTCTTTAGATTTTATAATCTTTCAAGATTAATTGAAAATTGATATCAATATTATGTACATAACAGTTTTATACAAGTATCATATTAAAGTGTATTAAGATATGCACTATGCTCACAAGAATTATCACTTTTATTGTGAATGTTTTATCACCGACACAGTAGATTTTATCTCTGGATATGCGTCGACTGTGTTCCAGCGTTGCCCAATAGAAGCACGAAAGCAAGGTGAGAAGCAGAAAGTATGATAACTGCTCAGAAATGCAACTGCTCAGAAATGCAACTGCTCAGAAATGCAACTACATTAGGAAAAGTCTGCATATTTATCCAAAAATGTGAGATAAAGGCGGCTCCAGATCTCACTCTTTTCAAAAGAAACGTTACTATATATCTAACACGCTCTTGGTGTGTGCTCTCAACGGTAGTGATTATACAATTTATATAGATGAATTGATTGATTTGGTGAGTTGGTTCGGTGGCAGGACGACAAAGAAGCATGTCTATCAACGCTGTATTACGGAAAATACGAAAACACAACCATGTGGTAGGGGTTTAAAATATAATTAGGGATCCGAACGAAGCGACAAAGTTCACTGTGGTACAACTTATATAAAGACATTTGTGGCTTAAATCCACCAGAGTTCCTTACAAGGAATCTTTGACTACATATTTACATTATCCTTTCTGTATGTGATGTTAAATTTAATTGACATGTACTAATTAATAAACTTTGTTAAGGTATTTGAAAAGTATTATCTACAAAAAGATATTCGTAGCTTATCTTTCAATTTCGTACGTCCATCATTGAAGCCTCATATGCAAATTGAAGTTTATTCTATTTTAGAGTCTTGGTTCTCGAAATTCGTTTGTATGATTAATAGATGGTGAATTATCTGGTTTTCTTTTTACAAATACACGTTCTACAAAATCCATATACAAATCTGGATTGCTCAAATGTTCTTTCCACCGCCAGCCTGTCACATCCCACTCACTTTGTAAGGAAAACAATAAATTGTTACGAGTTATTTGTACTTTTTACATTGATCAAGATTACTTGTCAACCCTCTTGACCAATCATTCTTAGGTTTCATAGTTCTCTTGATCAAGATTTCTGGATTTATGATTCTCTTGACGCTTTGGATTAATGATTTGTATTGCAAATAAACAAAGATCGGCGCCTTTTTGTTGTTAGCTAGAGGTGTGTTTAGGTTAGGCAGCTTAATTTTACATTTATTTTTTTTATAAAAAAAATTTCGGTCATCCAAAATATTTGAATTTTTTAATAAATTGAAACAAGAGAACATCTATACCATATTTATTATAATATTTATACCACACTTATTATATTCACCATTCAACTTTAAATTGTATGATTTGTTTTATCCACATAAACCATATTAGAACTGCTTTCTCCGCTCTGATTGACATGTTCCACCTCAAATGATACACTGTTACCATTTAAAATCATATATAACTTTTTTTATAGAACTATATATATACAATTACAAATTTTAGCATCTATTTATGCATTTAACTTTCTACAAATATTTTGAACCCCCAAAAAAAACTAGCTACATATACGTTTCTCAGTATGTCGTATATAGCTACACCATAATAACATGTTTTGCATATGGCTTTTAGAGTCATATTTTGTTTTGGGTCGAAACGTTGGCTTTTGAGATCATATAAGCTAACATATTCATAATTTAGATCACAAATTCACAATGCAAACTGATATGCTTTTTAGTTATGATATATATCGGAAAAAATATAAATGATACACATAAAACCCATCCAAAATTTCAATATTCAGCCCCCAAAAAAACTAAGTAGATAGATATGTTAAGAAAATAAATAATTAATAACAGAGATCTTAAAGAAACAAAAACAAAAGAAGACTCGGCATAGAAAAAATGAATTTGGTATCTTTCCAATATAATCTGATGACATCGCCTCTTTTCAGACCTCTAGCATTTCTCATATTGTTCCACCCATTTCCGATAGTATTGTTATGGCCAAAGTTTACCCAATTAGATTTGTCACAATCCTGGATTTCCACTTGAATACCATTTTGAGGTATCACAACTCCCATTTTCTTTACTATGTTGTTGATAATCAGTTTTGGTAATCGTAACCGACCTTTCCAGCAAATATCTGTATCTGTTAATGTTTTTTCAATCATCAGACTAGGATCCATTTTACTGAATCTTTAACTGCTTTAGAAATATAACTAAGAATCCTTTTAAAGAAATTGAAATATCAACACATATATTTATACATAGTTCTCGGCCAAAACAACGTGCCTTGTCTTCTGTATTTATTTTAGAAGTTTTAATGCTTTTTTGTTACTAAAAAAAAATAATGCTTTAAATTTTTTTTTTTACATTTAGGCATGTTTGTTTTTGCATCCAGATGCTGCATCTAGATGTAAATGCTCAATTGTTGTTCGTTTGGACACTTTAAAACTAACATTTGGATGTTTCCTGATGCCGAATCTGGATGCAAATGCTCAAATATAGATATTTTTCTTTATCTATATTTACAAACTCATGTGGATATATTCTCTAAGTTAGCATATAAGATTCTAAATTTACAATTTTCTATGTGAAATAAAGTGTTTCTTTTTATTTTAAATTTACATCAACTTTCTTTAGTACTTTACAAAAATATTTTCATATATACAAGCTAAACGGCTAAACCTATCACAATATCTTAAGAAGCAAAAATCTATTAATATTAGAAAAATTTATTTTTCAAACACTCAAGATTTACACATTTATCTTATTTTTGAAATCTATATAGGTTTTACAATAACTCTGAATATTTATAACCAAAACTATTAAATATTCACATCCTATCAATAGCGAGAAATTTAGTTATAAATACACACCGTGATTATCATAAGAACTTATTGAAAAGTCACAATATCTTAATCAATATATATTGAATACTAAAAATGTAAAGTATCAGTATCATAATAATGAATTGATTGTTTTTTTTACATGAATGAATTGATTATTATAGAGAGTGTTTTCAATCATGGATTTAAATTTAATTCTTTAGGTGTTATAATCTTTCAAGATTTGAAAATTGATATAGTTTTTAAGATTTTATGTGCATGTGTAGATTTTATAATCTCTGCAATATATCTTTGATTTTCTTTTTATTCATACTCAAAACTTCTTGATTTTTTTTTTAAAATTACTCAATATATGAATATTTTAAAAGTCATGTAATCTTAACACTAATCTTTAAAATCTTTTAAGAATCATTTACAAATAAATGATCCAATAACATAAGATTTTCTAATCGCATATATACTAGAAATAATAAATTTATAGAAACAAATAATATATAAAAACAGAAAAAAATATTTATGATTTATTAAAAAATTATATCTAAATAAAATAAAACACAAATTATATTACAAAATTTGATAAATTAAAAATAGTTCGCGTGCGGATGAACATAATAGAATCTAGTAATAGTGATGTATTAAAAGGAATAAGGGGCCATAAACCCAAAGCTTTTTCTTTCATGAATCATGTTCCTAGATTGTATTCTATCGTGCCATTGTGGTTAAATGACTTAGATGAGGCAGATAAACAGGTGTAATGAACGTTTGTTGGTCTAATGAAAGTAGTAGTTGTGCCAAAAGAAATAAGGGGGCCATAAACCCATACATGATCACACTATAGTTAGTAGAGAGAGTCATACGAGAGATATGAGCTCAGGTTTTTTATTTTTAAATTTTAGATCGGATTTAGCACTACAAGAGTTAGCAAGCTGATTGAAAAGATGATGTCTTTGGAATCTTATTTTTAAATCACAAAAAATGGGATTCTTCTGTATACTGTATTCATGTACAGTATATGCAAATCTAGATGAAGAGATCAAACCCTAATTTTTACATCCTCTGCCTTATGTGTGAAGTTACGAAGGCGCACTAGAAGGCCAAATAGTTATTTTAAAGCCCATTTAAAACCCAAATCGTACATTTAAGCCCATATTATTTCCAGAATTTTATTTTCCCATCTCTTTGAAAGATTAGAAGTAAAGAAAAAAACTAAACAAAAGGTCGTGAATGTCTCTGTCCCTCCCTCAGGTCTCACAGTCTCACGCAAGCTCCACGAAAGCTCCACGAGAAAGGATCGGAATCCACCATAATCTCGCCACCGGTGAATCGCCGCCGTAGTTTAAAGACGGAAAAGCGATAGCGGTTTAGGAAAGGAAGAGTTTGTTATTTATGTGTAGAAGCAGTTATTGTGAATAGGTTTAAGAATTTTATGAACGATGTCTCTGAGGATAAAATTAGTGGTGGATAAATTTGTGGAGGAGCTTAAGCAAGCTCTTGACGCTGATATACAAGATCGAATCATGAAAGAGAGAGAGATGCAGAGTTATATCGAAGAGCGCGAGCGCGAAGTTGCTGAGCGAGAAGCCGCCTGGAAAGCTGAGCTTTCTCGCCGTGAGGTATGTTTTCTGAAATTTTCATTTTTAGGGTTTTTGTTTTTGGGAAATTCGGATATTGATTTTCTGAATTTTCCAGACGGAGATTGCTAGACAGGAAGCGAGGTTGAAGATGGAGAGAGAGAATCTGGAGAAGGAGAAGAGCGTACTAATGGGGACAGCGTCGAACCAGGATAATCAAGACGGAGCTCTTGAAATTACTGTGAGCGGTGAGAAATATCGGTGCCTTAGATTCTCTAAGGCCAAGAAATGAGGGTTTACGAAATAGGTACCAAACATAGGACACAAATGGCCATTGGCAATTCGATAAGGAGAAGATTTGTTCTTAGTTTATGGTGGATGAAATGGGAAGTGGAATTGTTGGAATTATGCTTTGATTGTGTAACTGAATTCAATGGAAAAAAGATGTGTTTTTATGCAAATCGAGTTCTCTTATCACTCCACTGTGCATCTTGTTTTGTTTTGATCGGAGTAATGATTTGTTGATTGCTGTGCCTGTCGTATTGACATGTAGGAGTTGAGGTATTTGGATCACGGCCTAGTTTGGTTATTATAGATGTCTATGGGAAAAACAATGGCAACACCGAGGCGCATCTTTCCATAGTCTTTTGTTCTAAAGGATTTTTGTCAGGTGGTTTCGTTTGAATGTGCAAACATCATAGAGCGTGAAGAGAACCAAAATTTCAAGAGTGAGAGTGAACAGTGTTGATTAGTACTATTATCACGATGAGTTGATAGTAGACAAAAGTTTTGGGGTTAGGAAGAAAGTAGCAATTTATGGTACACTCCTAGAACCCATTGATCTTCTGAAAAACTAGCACCTAGTAGCAGGTTTAAGCCTAAGGAGTTTCAGAGCATATAGAAATAAGTAGAAGGTTGTGTCTGTACTCTGTACGCAAACCGTGCTCTTGTTTGTGTTCAAGCCGATAGCAAACAAATGAGATAGGTTCCATTTTCCTCTATATTACAACATTAATATTTGATTGTCTTGCAGCTGTGACTAGCATTTTGTGGTACGTTGTACACACATATTCCCAGATTTCATACTGGTTTCTAAATCTCTTTACTTAGGCCTTTCTAGTGGAACGAAATGAAAGTATATGAGGCCTCAAGTGTTGTAGATCTAATGTTCCCAAAAGATAAACTCTTTTCTGGTCCTGTTAGATTTGCTGGACCTGCAGAAATGTGTCCAACATGCTATATCTCTGAAGGAAAGATCCATATGCCTTCCTTCAGTTTGCACGTTCTCTCTTTCATTAGAATCTCAATTTCAAACAAACATATATTCAGTGGATCTATTCGAGGATTAGATGTTGTTTTTGCGTTGAATTTAGATAAGTGACTGCCTAACTTACTCCCTTTGTTCATCAAGGTGCCTAGGTGTAGTCATATGATAAATTTCTAGCTGATATCAATTGTGAACTCCTGCAAACTGGAATTTCGTTACGTTATGTTATCGAGCTTGATTAGCTTACCGAACATCTTTCTTCTTAGTCCAAGAGGGCAATAATTGTGTTTTGCTCGGAAGATAGCTGCACTGAGCAGTAAGTTCTTCCACACTAAAGGAACTTTGATGCATTCTACAATCCAGATTGCTGCTCCAGCATAAATAAGGTATCAACAGCGATTGAATGCATTTCAATTGGCACCAAGAAATTTCCAGATCACAGCTGCAAGCATTATTTTAAAAGTTTGCTTAAGCAAATTTCTTGTTTAGAAATCAAGAACATAAGAGACACATGTTGAAGCTATGGTTGTAATTTCTGAACATAAAATGATCACTTGGATCTGTCATCTGATGCGGCAATTCAGCCAGAAAGACAACTAGCTCCTACTTCTGTTGTCGAAGAGGCAAATCTTTGTCTGAAGAGGCAAATCTTTGTCTGTATAACGCTTTAGCTATAGTTGCAGAAACAAACACACACCACAAAGTTTGGAACTTGGCTATTATTAAACAAAAGACAAACCAAACCCGAAGCTCGAGAAACTCGACATACGCATTTAGTCGTGTGGTGGTGGAATCAAGAATCCATAAATCTTTTGACCCGTACCCGACCCGGCTCTATATACACATTTGGTTCTTCTTCCTCGACATCAATCAGGCGAAGAAGAAACGGAAATGATTCCGTTTCCACTGCTACCGACGCCGATAGAAACAAGCTACAGGGCTTGCACCATTCCTTACAGATTCCCTTCCGATAATCCCGGGAAAGCCACTCCCACTGAAATCTCCTGGATCAACGTCTTCGCTAATTCCATCCCTTCTTTCAAGTTCATTCTCTCTCTCTCTCTCTTTCGACCCTTTGTTTCTTTGACCACAATCACATTATTCGTTAGCCACTGATTGTTCATGTTCGCGGGTCGGATCAAGCTTTGATTTTTATGTTACCAAACTGTCCATTGGTAGTTGTAGCGTTGACTTAGCTGGCTTTTCATGAATTTTGAATGTAGTTGTAACATGAGGAGGAAACTATGGCTTTTGTTGAAGCTTATTATAGGAAACAGATGGAATCCTGGTTTAATTAGAAAATTCCCCATAAGTGTTGATGTTCTAAAGCTGCTTCTTTTGCAGGAAACGTGCAGAGAGTGATACAACGGTTCCAGATGCTCCTGCTAAAGCTGAAAGATTTGCAGAAAGGTACATTCTTTTGAGTATTCTCAAGGTTCTGTTCGGATGAAATCTTTTCCCAATGTCAGCTTCATAAGTTAGACGAGTTTTGTGTCCTACGATTACGCAGATATGTCTTTCGATTAGCGTTTAATATGTCTTACTTTGAATATGGAAGATATGCGGGAATTCTTGAAGACTGGAAGAAAGATCCAGAGAGCCATGGCGGGCCACCAGATGGCATTGTAAGTCAAAGCACCACAAGATGATTGTTTTCCTCTGCTTGTGTGAGCTTTGTTTTCATGGATTAATTTGGCTCGTTCTCAGAGTCTCGGCCGAGTTCGTGAGCAAATAATCAGAGAGTTAGGATTTAGGGACATATTCAAGAAAGTGAAGGTATGAGGTTTTCAGATTAGACGCACCAAATCTCTCATATTGTCCCTCTGATTAGATAAGTTCACATTCAACGATAAATTCAAATAGGAGGAGGAGAATGCAAAGGCAATATCACTATTTCCTGAAGTTGTCAGTCTGAGTGATGCTATTGAAGATGAAGGAGAGCGATTAGAGAATTTGGTGAGAGGGATATTCGCTGGAAACATCTTTGATCTAGGTTCTGCGCAGGTATCTCTTTTCTTGTAAAACGCTGGTTTCTTTTTGGTCGCTTTCTCTTTGGTTTCTCCCACAGGAAGCATGCTCTAATTTTGGGGCTCTTGTGTTTTTTCACATCTTCAAGCTTGCTGAGGTTTTCTCAAGGGATGGTGGTATCTCTTTCTTAGATACCAGTCAAAACTTGGTTTCACGACCATGGGTCATTGATGACTTGGAAAACTTCAAAGCCAAATGGATCAAGAAGCGATGGAAAAAGGTCGCTCGTTTGTTTTGCTCTTTATCTAATGTTTTGTTCAGACTTCAGAGCTCGATCGCTTGACTAAATCATTTGTTCATATTCTCCCTTTTTTCTTGTCAGGCAGTAATTTTTGTTGACAATTCTGGTGCAGACATAATTTTGGGTATTTTGCCGTTTGCAAGAGAGATGCTTCGTCGAGGAATGCAGGTACTTTTGAATATGACTCAGTCTTTTTTCCACAATCTCTTGAGTGAGTTGGTTGATAAAAATTCAGTTCTTAGTGAAGCAAGTGATGCAGAGTATACTGTTCTTCCTCTTCATTTTTTCCCCTTGAAGGTGGTGCTGGCTGCTAACGAGCTGCCATCTATCAATGATGTAACATACACCGAGCTTACAGAGATCTTGTCACAGGTGATGAATGAAGTAATTTGTTATATTCATGGCTTAAAACAAAAAAGAAAGTGAATCTGATGTATTAGTCTTGATGTACCAGTTGAAGGATGAAAATGACCAATTGATAGGCGTCGATACTTCAAATCTTCTGATTGCAAATTCAGGGAATGACTTAGCGGTAAGAAATTAGTAGGTCCCAGAAAGAGAAATGGTTTTCTTCATTGGATTCTTACCTTTTTCTATTTTTTCTCACGCTCGAAAATTTGTTTCAGGTTATTGATCTCTCAAGAGTATCACAAGAGCTTGCTTACCTTTCATCTGATGCAGACTTAGTCATCCTAGAAGGCATGGTAAGGACCATTTAGCGTGCGAAAGTGAAACTCGATTTGACTATTTAACTAGTCTTGATTTTGTTTACTGACTTCTTGGACGTTCTCATCAGGGTCGTGGAATCGAGACAAACCTCTATGCTCAGTTCAAGTGTGATTCTCTCAATATCGGAATGGTAGTAGTTTTTACTCTTTTTCTTCTTTTCTTCTTCTTTCTCGGACTAATGAAAAGAGATACTTTGTGTTTATTGCTTCTTTCTCTTTACGCTTGTGCATCCTTTTGTTATGCAGGTGAAGCATCTTGAAGTAGCAGAGTTTCTTGGAGGGCGGCTTTATGACTGTGTCTTCAAATACAGTGAAGTCCAGACTTGAATTCCAGTAATCTTTTCTCAGGTCTCATCATCATACACCATTTTAGGGTGTTGTAACTAAAGATCCTCCTCACCCTCTGCATTCAGACATGAGACTTAGAGTTCTCTGTCATTCTTTATTACAGCACGCACAAGCCTCCGTTCTTTTTTCTATAATTCGTGTTAATGTTAAAATTAAGCAATGGCTTGATTGTTTTTCATTGAAAAAGAATTGCTGTCGTAGTATGGTTATAAAAAGAAAGTAATGCTGGCAACTCGGAATAAAAAGGTATTTAGAGGAGATAAAACATTCATAATTATGGCATTTGATCGATTAAGGAAAAAATGATGGAGAAATCATGGATCAAAGTTTATGAACTGTAAACTGAGGTCAGTAACTAAAATTGTAACCATTTCTTCAATTGTAAACTGAGGTCAGTAAGAGGTGATTTTTGAATTTTTTACTGAGGTCGGTAGCTAAAATTGTAACCATTTCTTCAAATTTTTTTTTTTAATAATTTCAAGTCACATGTAATTAATTTTTATAAAATTAGAAAATTGTAACCTAAAATCAATGGTCGTTGCATTGTTTATTTTCTTCTTAGACTCCATCCCTTTTTGATAAGTGATGTTTTATGATTTTTTTTTCTTGAAATAAGAGATACTGTTTTTCAAATTTCAAATGGTAATTATTTTTTTATTTTTTTGACAATTTGTATTCTGGATATTGTTTTATCATTTGAATTAGGTTTAAAGAGAAAATAAATAATATTTTAGTATAGGAAAAAAAATAAATGAATCTTTTTGTGCAAAAACCTTAAGAATGGAGGGAATATTATTTTTTCCAAAAGTAATAAGAATTTTCAAAGTTTTGAAGGTTTTGTGACTTGTGAGTTGCTTTAAAAATCAAATTCGTTTTAGAGATTAAAACTCGACATAAATCATAGGAACAAAAGATAGATGCCAAAAAAAAATTATAGGAACAATAATTACACCAAATGTACCAACTTTACGGCAAATCACCCACAAATAATCATCATATTAGGACGAACAAAACACCTGGCGCGTCATTATTGGCAAAGAATAAAATTAAATAGGGTCCACAACATACACAGAGATAAAAACCAGTCTGTTTCAAAAGCTGTTCTCACAATCTCTCTCTTACACTTTCTCACTTTCTCACTTTCTCTCTCAAAAGCAACCACATTTCTTCCTTCTTCATCTTCCTCACCCTCTGCAAAAATTTAAGCTTTCGAAGAGAAGAAGCCATGAGCTCCTCAATTATGAAAACCCTTCACATTCGTAAACCCAATTCTCTCCCCGTCTCTTCCACCGCCGCCGCCGCCGACGAACCAGGTCTTCTCCGCCGTCGTCTCTCCTCTCTCTCCCTAAATCTCTCACGTAAAGACCCTTCCACCGCCGCCGCCGACTGTGATTTCACCAGATCCAAATCGGTCTCCGCCATGGGAGAGCGAGTAGGAGGAGGGAGCTCCGTGAAAGAATGGTGGGAATGGAGTTGGTCATTGATTCTCTTGAAGAAATTACCAATCTTCTTCGCTGATCTCGAGTTTAACAAAGACGAAACCAAATCATCGTTTGGTAATCAACAAAGAGGCAGCTTTGCTCAAGTCTTGTTCAGGCTCCGATCTGAGATCCGCCGTCTCCTCCGTCCTTCCTCCGACTCTCTCCCTCTTTCCTGCAAGCGATGACGTGGCAATTGATTCCTAATTCTAATGAACATGAATCTCTTCCTTTGTTGGTGCTTAATTACAAATGTATAATGTGTGTGCTTTAAGTGATTTATTTGCTATAATTCCTAGATTTCGTTGTTTTGAAAACATTTTTTTGTTTGTGAAAATGCTACAATTATTTCATTTGTTTTAGAAGTTGTGCACTTTATCTCTTGTATTATGAAATGATGCAGTTAAAATAGAAACCGTTATTTCCTTTATTTGTTACGCGCCAATTATGATGAAGAATAGAAGATGAAAAAATTACAATGATCATAGATCTGTTTCTTTTTCATCTGAAAGCTGGGTTGTCAAAAAAAAAAAAAAAAAAAACACAAAGAAATATAATGGACTGAAGAACTTTTTTACTACAATACAACAAGTCAGTCAAATTAGAGGCATTTTGAAGATCTTAATTAAAGGTCAAAATATTGGAGCTAAATAGCGTTTTTCAAATGGTTTTATTTTTACTTTTATTTCCTTTTTTTTTGTCTTTGCATGAAAATATGCAGAAATAGCGTTTGATGTGTCTACGAAACGTCGGTTACAATTTTTGTCGGCCATTACCTTTCTTTTTGGTTTTTGGTCGGTGGGGAGTGGACTGATTGCGTCGCGTCGGTGGCGCATATTTCTTAATCCGATCAATGTCTGTCATTAACTAAGTATTTTCATTTTACATATCTTATCGACCGTCATAATAATTTAAGAATAAGTAAAATAGAAGTTGGAAAACAATTTTTTATATAAAAAAACATCATAATGATAAATTTGATTTTATTATTAAAACTCGCCGAATTACAAAATGACAATCATGAATCCAACCTATTCTACAACTTTCAAAAAAAAATTTAGATGACCAAAAAGAAGAAAAAAAAGAATCCAATCTGTTTGACCATCTGATGGAATATAGTAATCAAATGTGATATAAATAACTCAAAATATTTGGTGTGAAGAGTGTATATATGCCCTAATAAATATATAAACAAGTGGGAGCGAGCACATGGTGTCCCTGTCATGTTCCAATCATATTGGGACCATTGTATGACTGATTATTTCGAATAAACCGAGTTTGGCTCCAAGACATCACTTTGATTACATGATTGAAACTTATTAGCTCAATTCATCATATTCCACATTTTACATCGTTTGTTGCTCTTTTCTTATAGTATGAGTTTACATGTACTGAAAAGCATTTTAGATATCATTTTAGAAAGATGCATGATTGATGATCACTCGAAAACCCAAAAAGGGGTCAAAGCTTTCAACAATGGAGATGAAACAAACTTTAACAATTGTTTAAAAAAAAAAAAAACAGAGAGACTATTAAAAATAGTCCTCACAGCATTTTTTGTTCATTCACCACTTTTTGTTAATGGCACTATAAAATCTGTTTCCTTCACTTTTTTTTGTTCCACCAACAGTTACATGGAACTATGAAATCTTTATCATTCATTCTCTTGCAGAAATCTTATACACGTACACTTAACAACATACTTCAAAAACATTCAATAGTAGACTACAAATGATACAAAAAGTTTATTCATCAGAATCAGACGATACTGCCCTATAAATCTCAGTAACATAAGAATAACAATTGTAAGAACAAGTGTATCCGTCCCACTGATAACTAAGAATGGTAGGGAGCCTGCACCGAGAGTTACATACGCAGCAAAGTTTTCTACAAATAGAGGTGTTGTCTACCACTTTTTCTGAACGATCAAATATTCTTGAAGACCGTGTACCTGGCATAACATATGAGAGTATTCCAAAACCGCAGGAAATATGCAATACCACCCCGCAATGTTTGCATGTGTAGAACCATTTCTTTGGGTTCAGCTTTGTTTCACATGCTTCGCACCAATAATACTCATCCACATTGCTTTCACCATAAGACAAGAAGAGAGGATGATCGTCATACCTATGCCTCATTACCTTCTGCGGTAGAACAACACACCAATAGCACAATCTAAACTCACACCAATCACAACTAAAAGAAGCTGATATTCGCTTATTACAAACACTACAAGACGTGGAAGAAAGGAAGCCACATGTCGTGTAGTATAAACGATGTGCATGGCTGTCGTGCACAACTGAATCTGTTACTGTACCGCATCGTACATCTAAAGTAATTGTACCAGATTCGTACCTGAAACCGGAGAAATGTTCACGACAAAGCTCACATGTTGACATTTTTTTAAGAGAATCTGTTCTTAGCGTGAATGGCAGGTTGTGGCACACATGACGTTTCTTCAGAGGAAGGTTAGCACATTTCTCGTGGAGAAAAAAAACACATTGCTTGCAACTGTAGAACGACGGTTCTGAACAAATTTGAAAGACACATGCTGTACAACGAATGCTTTCAGGTTGAATCATCCCATCCTTGTTGATCTCTAAGTTATGATCATGGCTGACATGTTTTATCGTCGTGTTATCATCACCGATCACCTGGAATGGTGGAATTTCCTCTTCTTCCGGTGTACCTTCCAGCTCCACCTGGTCCCATACGTCTTTTCTTGTTGCGCATCTTAAGTGAAAAACAATCTTCTTGTCAGAGCATTTGTAGCAAGAATAACCACCGTAGAACCCATCTACCTTCTGACGGCAAAATTTGCATTTCCATTCTCCATGTCCAAGACCAAGACGAATTGTGTAATAAACGCGGTGATCATGGCGGTTGATGTTAATGACTCGAGGTAAATCGATACATTCCCGATGAATCATGAAATTGCACTGGAGACAGAAATAAGGGCTTTGGTCACCTTGCGTCCCACAAGCATCGCAAGTGAACTTGATGTGTCTTGGAACAAGATGAAGTTGATGTTCATGAGTCCTGGAGCTTAGAACAGCAAGTGGTGGTTGGCTATGCATACACCTCTCGCATATCTTGAAGTGACAAACATCACAGTGGTGAAGTGTAACGATACGATTAAACCCTATCCCGCAGAGAAGGCACTTCTTGGCGGCGTCATCACGTGTACATTTATGGGACTTGAGTTTGTGTTTGGGGTGGGAAGTGTGGTAAGCTTCATAGAAACATCCCACATGGAGGATAAACTTGCATTGTTGACATCTATTTGCATATTCCTTGACGGAAATTGGTACGGAACACACTTCGCAGTGTTCCAATCCTTCAGACGGGTCACCAAGTGAGACTTGGAGTGGATGCTCGTGTCCGTGAGAATACCCACCAGGAGCAGCAAGATAGACACATCCCACATGCAAGACAAACCCACATTGTTGTTGACATCTATATCCAAATTCATAATCTGAAATCGTAGAGTGACACACTTTGCAGATTTCCTCCCCATGGTAGTCTACGAAACTGCTAGACAGATCTCCAAGTGAGAGTTGGAGTGGATGCTCGTGTCCGTGGGAATTTTCAGGAAGAACAAGTTGAGTAGTTCTCCATGCACACCTCAAATGCAAGTAGAACTCACATATTGAACAGCAATAACCGATTTCGAACCAATCAGCTTGACACATTGAACAAATAATTAGCATGGACTCATGATTTCGGATGAGCTTAAGAGGATGGTCGGGATGAGATGCGTGGGTGATTTCTGGTAAGGCTTCGACACACTCTTTATGGAACACAGCTTTACACCCCAACTCATTACAACGGTAACCTCCGTAAATGTAACTTTCGTTATCTAGAGGTGAGCAACACGCAACACACCGACCAGAAACAAACCGAGTAAAAGGTGTCAAAGGATGGTCGTGAAATTCAGTTACCTCTTCCATGGTGATTTCTATCCTCTTATCTTCAGTCTCTGATAGTGATACCATAAAGGAATTGCTTAAAACAAGAGATAGATCACTTAGGATCAGATATACATGAACTACTTTTTTTTTTCTTCTTTTTTTTTTCAACCCTTCTTAGGTTTTACAAGGTTCTTCTCGTTCTCATGATATATTTATAGAAACGGTGAGAAACTTGGAAAAAACATACTAGTGGAGGACAGATGTCTTCATCGGAGTTCAGCTTGAGAATCTAAGGGCTGCAAATTTGTTTGACAGCTTGATCTGACAACTGCTTTACCCTACTCTGCTTTACCCTACTCTGCTTTGCAGTATTCTGCTTTACCCTACTCTGCTTTTCTGTTTATCACATGTCTGATGTCTCCATTGAATGACCCCACTGTGAGTTGTTGTTGACGAGGAGTGAGTTTTTGTTGGGCTTAGCTGCTTCTTTCTTTTGGTCCATCTTTGTTTTTCTTGTAAACTCATCATTCAAAACGTCAATCTTACTTTATTTTTTGTTTCTCTGCTTTGGCGATACGAGAGCTCACCCTAACATTTCCAAATGATATTCCTCCTTGTCTCGCAAGGTTGGTTAACAGCTCTGTCAAAACGATTTGGAAAGCGTAACAATATAAAGAGAATGCTTTTGACTTCAGTATTTACTTACTCGCTTCATAGGCTTGATTTCTTTTTTTTACCTGTTACGAGATCTTTCGGGAAAGACCTGGTTTCTGAATTGTGAGCTCGAGAATGCGCTGGAATAAGACAGAGCTCTTTACTGGTCTTTGTTCTTCCTAAAAGTATATTTAAAAAATAATGAGACTGATTCATAGAAGTGGTAGGGCAAAAGACTCACGGTAGAGTCCAAGAACTTTGTAATCATGTTTTGTACCTCCAAAACTCAATAGCTTCATCCTTAAGAGTTAAACCTCGAATGGTCAAATCAAACTTTTTCTGTGTTTGCAGCTAACTTGGTGGAGAGGAAAGAATAATCTACCAACACAACAGCATCATACAAGACTCTACTCAACAAATTTCTTCTTCAGATTTCTGCATGGAGAGACCTTTTAATCACCATTCACCACATTGGTTATCAGTTCTCACTTTATCTGTAAGCACAACAAAACAATTTGTAGAACCATACATGTAAATGTTCTTATAATTTGTAATAATTCAGACGATTTATTTTTTTTAAAAAAATCTATTTGACCATTTTATGGAATATATACTAATCAAAGGTAACATAAATATAACTCAAAGCATGTGGTGTGAAGAGTATATATGGCCAACTAGATAGATTATAAACAAGTGGAGCACGTGGTGTCCCTGTCCTGTTCCAATCTACCATATTGGGAGTTTGGGACCAATATCTGATTGATTGTTTCGAACAAATATGAGTTTGGTTCCAAGACATCACTTATTAGCTCATCATATTCCACATTTTACATCGTTTATTACACTTTTCATATAGTATGTACTAGAGAGCATTTTAGAGAGCTTTAGAGGTTCACTAGTACCCTTATGGAAAGATGATTGATCTCTCAAAAAACCCAAAAAGGGGTCAAAGGCTTTCAACAATGGAGATGAAACAAACATTAACAATTGTTACAAAAAAAAAAAACAAAAACGAAACAGAGAGACAAATAGAGAAATAGTCCTCACAGCTACTGATGGAAACACAACGAAACACTTTTTTTTGTTCATCCACCACTTTTAATCATACAGTAGTTTCTTTTTTACATTTTAAACTCAAACCTTCCAAGGATTCAGATTTTGGCTTCCTGCACCTATGAATCCGGTTTCTCTTCAGCCTTTACTGTGATTGAAGATTGCAAATATTGATTCCATGGAAACAGTTGCAGCCTCACCGAAGCAAATATTACAAAGACGCTGTGTGTAGTGTCTATGTGCCTAGGCATCTCTCATGCTGATGTTTAGGCTATTTCTCATTGTTCGTCTCCCAACACCTGCATTTCCCTTTTGCATCATCGCAACAAATTCTCCATAGTCAATCCGTCCATCCTGTAACAACAAGAAAAATCGAAGCTTTATCAGCCAATACCAATGGTAAAAGGTAGAAGTTAAGAACATGTCAAGAGGGCAAAAAAGCTTACATTGTCTTGATCTACTTCTTTGATTACATCTTCAAGAAAAACATCGGTCATCCCATGTTCAACGCAAGATTGTTGCAGCTCATCAATGGTGATGTAACCGCTTCCGTCTTTGTCAAAATACTGAAACGCGGAGACAAGATGCTCTTCTCTGTCTAGTTTATTCAGATGGATCGTCGCTGCAATAAACTCACTGTAATCTATAGTTCCGCTGTTGTCAACATCAGCCTAAGATATAAACACACAATATGGTCATTGTCAATCTATATAGCGAAATGAAATAGTTTACATTTCCCAAAAGGATGCATTTTTACCGCTTCCATAAGATCCCGGATCTCAGTGTCTTTCAAAGTTGAGCCATATCTTCTCAATCCAGCTTTGAGTTCATCAAAAGTAATTGCACCGCTGTTATCAGTATCCATTGCCTCAAACATTTCTCTTAAACCTGCAATCTCTTCTTCTGAGAGGCTCTCAGCTATCACCTGATTAAACCATAATAAGTAACATGAGTTGTCTAAAATGGATGTGATGCAGAGACAATGGAAGATAAAGTCACCTTTAAAGCCATCTTCTTTAATTTATTCATTGCAGAAAACTGTTTGAGACGAGACAGAACAGCCGGATCAAGTGCTCTATCTGGTGCAACTCCGTTCTCACAGATCCATGGATGACCTGAGAAAGAGGAGAAACAACACAAGATATAGTCTAATGTTTTTGTGATTGCCAAAGACATTTATACAAAATGAGAATGATTACGTACGCATGACTTCATGAGCGGTCAAGCGTTCAGAAGGACTTGAGCATAACATCTTCCGGATCAGATCTTTAGCACTGTCGGATATGACAGGCCACGGGTCTGAGTCAAAGTCAATGTATCCTTTCAAGACAGCATCAAATATCCCTTGCTGTGTTTCTGTTTCCATAAACACAAAACCATAATTCAGGAAATTCTCGTCTATAGACAGTAAGAGAATGCATATAAGCGGCTATATGCCATTACCTGCCCAGAAAGGTGGGACACCACTTAGTAAAATATAGAGTATAACACCAGCAGTCCACACATCAGCTTCTGGACCGTAATGTTTGAGAAGAACCTCAGGAGCAACATAGTATGGACTTCCAACAACATCCTTGAATATTTGGCCTGGAATTAGAGTAAGTAAACACATTTAGGCAAAACAAAAAGGAGCACTTTAGAGATCAAGCATGAGCACTTAGGCTGCAAAGTTGTTGCATTTACAGTGAATAGAAACTCATATGAATGTATGTATCCACTAAATGTTGTATACCAATAGTACCCATCATGGTACTTGAATAGATTCAGAACAAAGATTCATCTAAGATAATCCATTGTAGTACTAGCAAATTCTTTACAACCAAATCAGGGTCTACAGTTTCCTAAGATGCTTTGACAGTAAAAACTAGATTACAACATTACCTGGTTTGAAGAAAACGGAGAGCCCAAAATCAATGGCCTTGAGAGAGAAATCATCATCCTTATTAACCAACAAGAAATTCTCTGGCTTCAAGTCTCTATGCATGACACCGAGCGAATGACACGCCTCAACAACCCCGACAATGATCTTGGTCAACTCGGCAGCTTTTCTCTCGCTGTAGTGCCCTCTCTGAATAATCCTATCAAACAACTCACCACCAGCACAAACCTCCATCACAATGTGAACATACAAAGGGTCCTCATAAGCTCCTTTAATCGTAACAATGTTCTTGTGACCAGCTAAATGGTGCATTATCTGAATCTCCCTTCTAACATCCTCAACATCTTCCTTAGAGATCAGTTTCCTCTTGGATATAGACTTACAAGCATAGTCAACACCCGTAGCAACCTCGGTGCACAGATACGTCGTCCCGAATTGTCCTTGTCCTAACTTACGGCTCAATGTGTAAAGATCACGAATGTTTGGAGTCTTGTGACCAAGAACATAGTAAGCTTGATTGTCCATGTTACGCCGCATAATGGGTTCTCTTGCAGGAATCACAAGAACTGGATTGTTGTTGTTGTTGTTGTTGTCCTTTTTCTGATCTTCTTTGAAGAAGTCTTGTTCGGTGGTGGTCGGAGAATGATCGGAGGAAACGTTGGTAGTGGTTTTGGAATTCTCCTCGGGCCGACTATTATTGCCCTCGTAGATTTTGTCCTTGAAAGAACCACGGCATGAATTGCCCATGAAACAATGGCAAATTAACCTAAAAATCTCTATTCACAACTTTCACTTTCTTCTTCTCCTCATCCAACGAAAACTGTTATGAAGAAGAAAAAGACAGAAACTCTGAATCAGACAAGAGAAGCAAAAAAGTATTGAACTTGGAACGAAATCAGACAACCCACATCAGATCAAGCATCAGAAATGATAAAAAAAAAAATTGTAATCTAATCAAGAAAATATTAAAAGACAAGAGCTCCTAAAAAGTCGTTTCTTTTAGCTGATAGGTATATTCAGGAGATGTTTCATCGATCATTTACCAATATTATAGGATTATTGATCCCACATAAGAATCAAAACAGAGGAACCCGTAATAAAAGAAAAATCATAAACAGAGGATCTAGTACCAGAATAGCAGAACAGCGAGGGAGAAAAATGAAATGGATTAGGATTAAGATTAAGAAATCTGATTAATATTCCTGGGAGACGAAGAAGAAAGAAGAAAAACTCTGAAAAAGATAAATATTCGTCAATACTTTAAAGTCAATAACAAAAGGAAACAAAACAAAAGGTTTCTTTTTTTCTTTCTTTTTTTATATATCTCTGTGTTGCTGTTTCTTGTTTCTGGTTTGATTAATTGGAATCGTTGAATCATCAGTGTGTAAAGTTTTATTCTTTTGTGGATTTCTTATTATGAAGGAAAGAGGATGGTGCAGAGAAAGGTCTTATTAGTGCTTCATCACCTAAACGCGGTTTCGTCTCACCTTCTTCATTCGTTAACCCATTTTCTAATTATTAATTAATCATCATATCTCTCTTTTACTGGTCTAATGATATAGTTAAGCAAGTAGGAAGAATAAAAGTTGTTAAATTCTGTAATGATTTAATTAGGATAACTACTTATTTTGAAGAGAATGATTATAAGCCAAACTTAGCTAACTAGATCCCAAATATTTATTGTTAGATTAGATGCATATAGTTAAGAGTTAATTTTATGGCTTAATATAACAGATTGAAACAGTTGCCAACTTATTGATTTTCAAAGAAAAGAAGATTTATTATGTTGACTTTTAAACTTTTCACATTTGTTCATCAAGATTATTTTCCCCTTTTTACTAGCATATCTAGATATATAGATTTATTAATTAAATGCATCATTTTTCTTACAAGAACAAATGCGTGAGACATGTCATTGTCGGTTCGTGATTTTAGATCGCAGACTACAATTGTCTCGCACGTGGTACTAAATTTAGTTTTGGAATTGCGTTTTATTTTTTCTTTTTGTCAATCCATTTCTTAAAAATTTATATACTTTTCAATGATAAACAGTTAACGATGTCAATGACCAAACGCAATTTTTCTTTGTTTTATTAGAATGATCGGTCATAAATAAAAGTCATATATTAGCTGCTATAAAGTTGTCCAATCTTCTTGTAAATAATAACAAAATTAAATATAAATGACGATATTATGAAAGACGTCACTAACTAAATAGCTGTAGAATAAATACTTTTCTAAAACCGGTGGTAAGATTCAATCCAAGTACCTTGGAAGCTTCTGAGCAACCCAAGAACAATAAATTCTCAGTCTTCTCTTCTCAGACAAGATGGTCCAGGTCAGTTACAAGATCATAGTTTCTGTGTACACCAATATTACTCATTAGCAGCTTACTTACAAATCCAGTTCAACAAATGCATTTGAGCGTGCAAAAAAAAAAAAAAAAAAACAGATCAAAATGCTCATTCTAATCGCTACACAACGCTCACAAGACTCGGTATCTACTTGCAAGAAAATCTTACATAGAAATATATGGTTTTAGCTTCTTGTTTTCTGATGTTGACAGAAATGAAACTACTCTTCTAAGCTTCACACTGATAATTTAATTGCATCCACCGGTTTCTCCACTCCTCCACTTGTAGGGCTATAGTTTTCACAATTGTTTATAATCACTGTTTAGATGAGAATCGGAGCCGAAAAGATTAAAGCTTCTGATAAAGAAATTTGGAGAGATGACTACTTACAATCCACTTAAGACTTTGATGGCGTCATAAAAGAACCATTGCAAGGTTATGACAGGTCCAACGATCGTGATCCGAACAGGAAGACTTCTGGTGAAGAGGCCAACAAACCCAATGTTCCTCACGGCCTGAAGCTCAAGCAATATAACCAACATCAATCAACCAAGAATACATTGCAAAGTGGATATCAAATATTGATTTGCAGATGATGATTAAGGAGTTTACCTGCAACACGTTCTTGGCTTTGTTGTTGTATAGAGACGAAAGAACAACATCTGCAGGGTTAGAGATGACTGTACCTACGGCACCAGCAGTATAACCAGCAAGACATGTGACACCGAGCTGTTGAGTTTTAGAGCAATCTTGCTTCCTTTTCTGGATAACTTTTTGATATATAAACTCAACTGACTGCTCAAACGTTGAGAACATCACCATAGAAACTGAAACCACATAGGAGACAGACATCATCAACAAGATATGGTTTTGGTAGAGAACTTAACCAAGTCTACAAAAACGCTAATGTGCAATGGACATCCTCAGGTCAAGCATGTCCTGGAAGTTAATGCCTAAAATTATATGATTTGATTACATAACTGGTGGTTGAGAAGTCTTAATAGATTAAGATCAAACTGATGCATATATATGATGATTTTCAAAATGATAACCAGGCATTGCACAAAGCAGTAATATTACATGGAAGATTGCGACACCAGAGCGGAAAAAGTCCCCTGTGGAAGCTGCATTTTGGAAAGATAAAGACTCAAAAAACGAACGCAAAGTGACAACCAAGCAGAGTGATTCTGAGAAAAAGGGCTTACCCAGCAAGACCTTCATTTCTATATACTCTTGGAAAGCCATCAAGCAACCCTTTTGCGAACATGGGCTGTGTCTGAACTCTAACTTTTATAGCTTCAAAAGGACATAAGGCCATATCGGCGAATATCTGAGCAGAAGCACTACTGAGAAAATATATGGAAGTTCTGTTATGATTAGGCAACACATTGCTGTAGAGCGTCTTGAAGTACTCATACAGTCCGAATCTGCATCCACCTTGAACACCATAGCCTAAAAGCTTCCCTGACCAACCCCTCCAGAGATAAGAATGGCCATGTTCTCTTAACAGAGTGGAGAAACCGGAAGGTATGCTATTGTACTTCACTGGATTCACCTACAAGAGAGTGATATTTATTGAATTAATCAATCATCATGATGATCCAATTTGAGCACAGAGTAAAGAAGCAAACATCCTAAATCTAGCAATTTGATCCATCATTACATATCCCTAAGAACACACGAGACAAAGCCACTAAAAGAAACAAACAAGATTGGGGGATTTTCAACTGACAAAGGAATCAAGAAGCAGAGGATTGAAAGAAAACCTGCATATTGACTTTGAGAACATCAAGAGGAGTTATAGCCAAATGGGTTGTTCCGGCACTGAACATTCCTCCCATGGTGCAAACAGTGTAAAACCAAGGAGACGACAGCTGATCGTCTAGTTTCCTCTTGACACTTGTCATCTTCTACAAAAAAAAAAGTCGTTTCGGATCCCGATAAACCCTAAAAGTTGTTCCTTGGCGTGTTCTCCGGAAAACCCAAAACCCAGAAATGAAGAAACACGTCAGGAGAAGGTCACATGAAAGCTATAGAAGAGGGAGAAAGAGCATACGTGGAGGGTTCTCATTTCTGATGGCGATTCTTTGTCCACGTCTCACGGACGCCAAAGACAAGGCCCAGAAGGAAACAGAACACTCTCTTTTACTTTTTTCCCAACATAGACAAATAAAGTTCCAAACTTTCGGGAACGGGTTCGCGTAAAAATCGCATCTTTACTGAAATGGATGTTACATATTTAGGTTTCATGCCGGCGGCTAGATTCGTTGCTTACCGTTGCCGGGATTTTTATGAGTCCTCTATTCGAATTGGGCTTTCCATGGGCCTTAGAATCGTCATCAACTTTGTAAAACAAAAGTTCTACAAAAATATAGACTTTGATTGATCTGAATTGGCATTTCCATTGAAGCAGTTCACAGGTGATGCAGCCCTATCTTTGCGTCTCCTGCCTCTGCTTCTCTTCTCTTACTGTATTCTACATTCTTAAGCTCTATTTGGAGACGATTAAAGCTGTCAATTTCAAAACTTTAAGATTGATTTGGAAATCTGGCACTCCTTAATAGGGGTTTTGTCTGTTACTTGCTCAATTTTGTGCTTTTGTTGCTCATCTTAGTTTCATTGTCTTGCCTGATTCTTTTTCTGATACATTGTGAGCTTATGTTTCAACGATTAGTAATTAGTGGCAGACAGTGTTTGTTAACTTGCAGCTGAGTGGAAAACCAAAACTTAACTTGTAAATCAATACTCATTCAAAATATCCAAAAGCTACAACCGTTTTATTTGAAATCACAAACCCGTAAATCACTAAACTTCCAATCCCTAAAAACTTCCGGTCAAGCCTTTGCATATGTTACAAACTCCCTCTCAAATCAAAGTCATGACAAAAGAGAGTGAACAAAACTCAGAGTACACTGTCCTTGTTCTGAAATAAACCATCTCTCTATAGTTCTCTCTTGAGTGGATAAAAGTTTAAAGTTGGAATCTTTTATTATCACCTGTAAATTACAGAGGAAGATCTATTCCAAATCCCAGGAAAACTCAGAAATCATCTGGAGATGCTATTGACAAGCCTAGCACCAATCTTATCAAGCTTCTTCACAGAAGCAACAGATTTCAAGTGTCCAACTTTCAAAAACGCTTCCACCATCTTCTCTCCGATCATTTCTCCCTTCTCCGCCGCATCAATCACCGCAACCGCCGTTGGTCCTGCTCCACTAATCGTGCATCCAAAAGCTCCAGCTTCCAAAGCCGCCTTTTTCACAGCTTCCATTCCCGGAATCAATGGAGCTCTCGTCGGCTCAACAACTTTATCCGACGACAAAGCCTTCCCAAGCATCACCGCGTCTCCTTCTAGCACCGCCGCGACTAAAGCAGCCGCTTGGCTACTGTTCCAGACATGGTGAACCATCGGAATCTCTGTAGGCAATGCAGCTCTCATCTTCTTGGTCGGAGCTTCGAACTCAGGGCTCACTAGAACAAAGAAGAGATCTTTATCCGCCGGGAATCTCAACGGCTTTAGATCAAGTGGCTCGTAGTTCCTAATCAGAACGAATCCACCCATAATCGCCGGTGCTATATTATCGGCGTGATAGCCGGAAACCTTAGCTTCCGATTCTAAACCGGCTAAAACCAATTCTTCCCTCCCTAATTTCCGGCCAAAGATCTCGTTAACCGCCACGGCGGCTGCGGCGGCGCTGGCTGCGCTTGAACCTAGACCGCTCCCTAAAGGAAGGCCTTTGTGCAAATCCAACGATAAACCAACGGATCGGATCCCTAGCATCTTCATCGTTGCAATGGCGGCGATTCCGGCGCAGTTTCGGAGAGGGTTCGTGCTGAGTTTCGTCGTGGTTCCGGTGATCTCCGAGATTAAGATCTCGCCGGCGCGTACGGAAGGATCCACGCGGAGAGTCACGTGGTCTCCGAGACCGTCGACGGCGCATCCTAAGAAATCGAAGCCTGGTCCTAGGTTAGCGACGGTCGCCGGCGCGAAAGTCTTGACGGAGGTGAAAACCGGCTCCGGCTCGACGGCGATGAGGGTTTGTACGGAAGCTCTGCATCGAAAGAGGGAGACTTTCGCGAATAACGGCGGCGATGGTTTCGATTTGGGTTGGAAATAGGAAATGGGTTTGGAAGGAGATTGAAAGCAGAGAGTCGCCATTGATCAACAAAAGCAGAGATCGAACGAAAACAAAAACCCTTCAAAAACGGATTATAAATAAGAGAGACAGAGAGAGTTGAAGACACGTGACCACCTAACCTAATGTTTTTCCACTAAAGCTGATTGCTTTGAGAGTGGAGTGAGATCATCGAAATTTAGATATCGACATTGAAATCAACGGCTTAACCACAAAACATCTAAACCAAACTGAACCGAACCCGAAAGCTTGTCCATTTCATCATGCTTCTGATTTGGTATTAGCCTCAACAGAGTCTTGAAAGCTTGGAAGGACTTAGACTAAAGTTTCCACTTGGCGGTTCGGATAATCTACGTTCTTTCCATAATCTTACGACTCTATTAAAGCCGAGAACATAAGGATCGCGAACAAAGACGAGCCGTAACCCCAACCAAGCTCAAAGTCATTGCTACAAGGAGACACAATGGTTCGGTTTGCTCTCAAGACTGTGAGAAAGTCCTTTGCTGATTTTCTCCACCTGTTCTTCTTTTATAATGAGTCTTCCCTAATTAGCTTTCTTTATTTTCTAACTAACCAGAGTGTGACTTTGGGGGGACAAGGATCATGCATGCATGAACAATGTTTCTTGACTAACATATGTTATGTTTTGTGCCCCATGCGAATCAACCAATACTTCCTCTGTAAAGCTGATTACTTTTAGAGTGGAGTGAGATCAGATTCAGATCTTGACATTTTCCATTCCCTTTGACCAGATTCTTAACCGAACTGAACCGGACTGGAAAAGCTTGTCCACTTTTGTCTGTCTTGACAAGTAGTTCTGAAGTTAAGTTTATGCTTAATTTTGGATGATTGGTATACATCTATATCTAAAACAAAATCCCATTTTTCTTACAAATGAGGTGTGTGTTAAAATGTACAGCTGAACAAATTATAAGGTACACCTTTTCATATTGTTCAAGATGTGATACTATTCGCATCCATAGAAAGATTGCTCCTTTTCCGCTTCAACCTTCTCTTGGATTCTTCTTCCTTTTGATCAACATATGCTAGAAACCTTTGCAGCTTTTTAAGACGTGAACTTTTTGGTGCAGGTATAGCAGCTGCTTCTTCTTCTTCTTCTGGCGTGTGTTTGCAGAAGTCGCGGACTATCTTGAAGAAGTGGATAAGGAGAGCGACAAAACAAGCGATACCACATACTAGGAACATTCCCCAGAAGCTATGCACATTGAGCTGACAGAGTCACCTAACTGAGACCAGTGCGGGCTGCTGCAGTTAGATTTGGAAAGCCATCTGTCATGGATCTTCTGAAGCTCACCAGTTTCAGATAAACCAAGAATCGCGGTTGACATATCAACTGCTAAAGGAGAGTCTCTTGGAAATGCCTGTTTGAACAGAAATGCAAACAAATTTAATCAGATTATGTTCAAACATGCGGCTAAAGAGAGACAATATTCAGAAGATGGCAAACTCACAAATCCCCAACCGTTTCTGGTGAATTCTTGGCCTCTTATGGCAAACTTACAGTAATCTGATAGGAAGAGATCAACGTAAGGACGTTCATCGACAATTGCAGCAACAGTACCGTTTTGAAGTGCAGTAGCATATTCTTGAGGAGAGCCGAGAGGCACAAGTCTTGATCTGGCAATGTTGAGCTCATCAACCATGTAGTTTTCAGCGAAAGAACCAATCTGGAAGCCAATACGACCAGTGCTGCTAATGAGCGTATCTACTCCTTTTATAGGTGAATTTAGCTGTTGCACTGTAAGCATCGATGTTAGACTCGCAGTGTAGCTAGATGTAATGATCAGAACAACAAAAAGCCATATGAGCAGCACCATACGACCAAGCGTGCTCACTGTTTTCTCTCCTGAGAGTTTAATTTCATAAAAATGTTAAGAAAACACCACACGGAAATTGCAGTAATTAACTAGCTTGAAAGGGGGTTCTGAGACTTACTGTGGGAGAAAAACATTGTCGAGAAGGAGAACCTGCATTGAGAGCTTGCATTAGCTATAGTAATCTTCAATTTATGCAGACAAATAAGATGACTATCGTGTCCCTACCAGAGAATGGTAACGATTTGTCTCCTTGGTGGACCTCGAAACTCATCGTTTTTGCGGTGTTCAAGAATCCATATTACAGCTCCAACAACAATGAAAAACACTGCTGTTACAGCCCACATAGGAGGAGTAAAAGGACGTAAAAATGCCCAAGGATTCTCGTTAGGTGTTGAGACAGGAGCAACCACGACAAGGCCTGACTCAATGTATGGCTGAGTGAAATCCACAATTCTTGTTCGTTTTGTGACAATGGCTACATCTCCTACAACAGCATCAAATTCAACCCCAGTGGTGACCTTGTGAACCAGCTCATTGTAGTTTGGATTCTTGAGACCATCTCCGAAAAAGATGAACTCGTGAGGAACCGGATAAGAAAGCAGTTTCACCGCAGCTTCAAATACATCAATGCAATATCCTTGCACATTATTGCTACTTCCATTGACCCTTGAGACAAAGGCCTTAAAGCTTGCTCTATCAGGAACACCGATTCTCAACAGCTTCCCGTTGTTAGGAAATACCCATCCACGAGGCGTAACTGAAGTCCCACCAGGCCAAGTTACAAGTTTCAGATGTTGGTTTGAGCTAGAGCGGTTTGAAGGTTTGCTGTAAAATGATTCAGGAGGCCCAATAGAGAGACCAGAATGGTTAGACCAGTAACCTATTTGGCGAAATCCGTCGTCAACCACATTGATAATATCATATGAAGGCTGTAACATTGATCTGTCTTGATGAAACTGAACCGGACCTGCTAGACCAGACATCTTTGTATGCATAATGTAATCAAGAAGTTGTGATCCTTGATCAAATCTGCTCAATGCACTTAGATTCAGTGCCTCTCCTTTCAAGCTACTTAATTTTGCATCCTGGGAGAAGGAAAGATTACCTCCAGCTTCCAGATGTGTCTTAATGGCTCGAGCAATGATCCAGACAGTATCATAAGCATACAAACCATAGACATTCAAACCAATAGTCTTATTATTACTCAACTTGTTCTTCCACCGTGCCGCAAAGTCCCTTTTGTTTCTTGAATCCGGCGTGTGAAGACGCAGTGTTAGAACTCCATTGAGAGATTTTCGATCCAAAGGCAAACCTGAGTCTAGTAGAGAAGACAACCAAGTTGTAGCTATCCAAACATAGCCTGTCTCCATCATCCCCAATCTCTCTGCTTCCTCAAAGATCATTTTGCCTGTATTAGGAAAAGTGTTCACAACGATTATCCGAGATTCCATTCTCTGGATCTTAGTCAATTCCTCTATGATCTCAACTGGACTAGAAATCACAACATCCAGAGGAAGTACAGCCTTGTAAGAAATCCTGCAACGCCTCTCTTCAAGCTCATCGCCTAACGCTGTAACGCCATTTCTGCTGTTATCATCATCGTTATACAATGCCACCACATCTGACCAGCCATAGTATGTAATCATCTCTGCAATGGCGCGCATCAGAAAGAGATCGCTAGGTGCTGTTTGGACAAAGAAAGGGAATTGGAGTGGAGAGAGGGTAGGATCAAGAGCCGTGAATGACAACATCGGAACTGTAAGCTCATTGGCGAGATGAGACAAAACATGAGCCATTATTGATGTCTGTGGACCAATTATAGCCACTACATCAGTCTCCATGAATTGCAATGCTGCAACAACAAAAGATTAAGTGGGAAGTAAGTTTTCCAAAAAGCAATCAAGAAAATGGATACAGTGAAAACAAGATTGGTGTTTTTCTTCTTCTTCAACCTCCCATGATGCTGAGGAAACCGCTGCGTTTAGCATCATTGATCATAATACGCAATTTAGATCCACCAAGGAAGCTAGGATCAGAATTTACATCTTCCTCAGCAGCTTTGAAGGCAATATTTGCAATTTGACCGTGCATGGTATTTAAACCGAATAGTGCACCCACTCTAATAACAGGAGGCCTAGAACTAGAACCTCCCTCTGAAAGTAACCCAACACCAGCACCAAGAACAATGAAGCTCAATAGAACCCAATTCATTGCTTGATATTGATCAACAAAATGAGAACTTGAGCTAAAACCCAAACCAGTTTTCACAGGCAGAGAAGCAAAGGAAGTAGCTTTCAGTTTTCAACAGTGAGAAATGGAACTGAAAAGGTGTCACGGAAATAAAACACTTTTAACACAAAAGATGGTTGAGATGAATTAGAGGCAGAGATGATGCCAAACCTCAAAACCAAATCATCCTTTAATAAATAGGAAAAGGAAGATTCGTGATGCGTTGAAAAATTAATGGCTGAAAAGGGATACTCGAAGACATGAGGAACAAGCAAAAGAAAAGAAAATGACAGGAAAGGGAAAAAAGAAGAAGAAAGCGAGAGGCTTGTTCGATAAAAGTAGCGAATATAAAAATCATGAGTACAATCGAAGATTTGAGAAAGGAACAAACTTTTTCTAAACGGGTTTTGAAATTACTTACATAGATAAGACAAAGCTTCGAAATGAAACGTGGGAATGAAAACGTGGGAAATGACATGGCCAACAAAGACAGTGGTCAACGAAAGGAAGATCTCCATTAGCATTTTGAAAAGAAGAAATTGACAAACACTGAAGCTGTAACAGTGCACCCCTATTTTTCCAAACCCGAAAACACTGGAAAGAGAAGAACTTGAGTAAGAGCGAGAGGCTAAAATGCCATAATCCAGAAAAAGTTGGCTCAAACGCCATAATTCTAAAATAAATTTTATTTCGATTTTTTTTTAATAAAGAAAACTGTAGAAAGTCATTCTTTCTCTTTGTTATCTCTTATAATTACAATAAAACCAGGGTCATATCCACTTTTTTTAGACCCACCCAATAACATATTTTATTTTTTATTTATTAATTATCTAAATTTTCTCTCTCTTCTCCAGCAATTTTTTTTATTTTTTTAATTCTTTTTTTTAATTATCCTTAATTTTTTTGTTTTTCTACTCATCTTCATCATCGTTATTTCGACTAAAAATTCCAAAAATCATCAAAATTACATCTTCATCATCCAAACTTTTCCTCTTCATCCTCTGCAATCAGTTTCTTATCTTTATCCCCTCTCCTCACCACCATTGTTAAAACTTCAAAACCCAATTATGTTTTTATTTGGATTATGCAAATCGGATTAGTAACCCAGATTTATGTGACAATTAGGTTTTTTCATAGGTAATTTATCGAATATAGTTGTTGAATCGTAGTGATTCTTAGGAAGATTGGAATAAAACTCGAGTTCATCACCAAATCTGCAGAGAAGGACAACTGGTACGAATGATACAACTAAGAGATATAGGACAACTAGTACAACTAGTACAACTATGAGATAGAGGACAACTGGTACAAATAGATATAACTAAGACAACTTAAATAATTGTTGATTGAAAATACTTTTATTATAATTGCAAATCGGGTTGGTAATCTAGTTTTATGTGTCGATTAGGTATTTGCATGGATAATTTCTTAAATATAGTTGTTGAATCATAGTGATTCTTAGGTAAATTATAATTATACCTGAGTTCATCACCAAATCTGTAGAGAATGACAACTGATACGAATGGTACAACTAAGAGGTAAGAGAACAACTAATATAACTAGTACAACTGTGAGATACAGGATAACTAGTACAAATGGATAGTACTAAGACAGCTTGAATAATTGTTAACTGGAAAATTTTTATTATATTTTCAAGAAATGAACATCAGCCACACAAACAATTCAATAGATTTTATATCATTTAATACCTCAAATTTGGAATAGATAGCTTATTCGATATTAGTAGATAAAATACTGTATGTAAGAATATTGTGATATATGAAACTAAACAGCTTTGGAGTAGATAATTTATATGGAGAATGAATTGCACACATAAATAAAACTAAGTGGAGTATTTCTGATAATATACAAGAATTGTTTGTCTTACTGCTGAATTACACCAAAACAAAAATAAAAAAATGGGCTTTATTCTCCAAAAAACGTTGCTGAAAGACGAAAAATGGATAATAAATTAGATAAGTGGTTTCAGAGCAAAAGTAGCATGTAAACTTAATTTGTGTATGTTTTCGGGTTTGTTTTATCCGAAAAGATTTTATTTTAGCTAAAAAAATTACATTTTAGCTGAGAAATATTCATTCTGGATATCCACATTATTCATTTTAGCAGAGAAAATCTTTTCCAATAAGGATAAACAATGTACAGTTAGACACGTATATACAATTATCTGTAACTATTTAATTTAAAAACAATGTACAGCTAAATGAACGATTCAACTTATTTTAGTCTTAGAGTGTACAAGAGTATTTTGAAATTATTTGTATTTTGGATTTCTTAGATTTCTTAGATTTTTCTTGCATTACTATTTATTTTGGAGTATTTATATTCTGAATTTTTTGAATTTCTTTGATTTCTTTGATTTCTTGCATTACTATTTATTTTGGAGTTATTTGTATTTTGGAAATATTTGATTTCTTGCATTAATATTTTTAATTTCTTCAGGATAACTAGGTGCAACTTGGTGCAATTACGTAATGAATTTCTCCAGAGCAACTAAGTGCAACTAGGTACAATTACCTTATGAATTTTTCTAGGACAACTAGGTGCAACTCGGGACAACTATATTTTAATTGTAGTGTTAATACATTTTTTCCAGTTGTTCCTTAATATAAATTATTTTTTTTGTAGTTGTCCACATTACTTTCAACTACTGAAGTCTATTTACAATATTTTCATACTAAAATTTATGCAAAATCACAATTAAGTACAAATATAGAAGTTTCATGATCTAACTTCTATGGTACAACTAAGTACAACTATGGACAACTAAGTATAACTATTCACATCCACGAAGTTGTATAAATTTTTCCTTACTTGTCCAGTTGTCTTTTGCTTATTCACATCCACGAAGCTAGAGAACACGTGCCCCGACAAAAATAGACATGTGCGCAGTCAAAATACCACGTGCGCCGTCAATTTTATACATAGTTGTACCCAATTGTCCGGTTGTCCAAAATGCTTCATAGTTGTCCTTTGACGATTTTAGCATTTTTCCAGTTGTCCTGAAATATAAATTATTATTTTGTAGTTGTCCACATGATTTTCGACTATTGCAGTTCATTTACAAGGTTTTCATAACACAAATTATGCAAAATCATATATTTGCATTTTTTCCATCAAAAGATTGTTAACATTATGAAAGTCTTCCTTGTAACATAAGAGATGTTTGATGTGAAACCAATAATATGTATTAGGAAAATGATAATTTTATTTTATCCATGTTATTAATATTGTTCCTTATAGTTTAAGATGTGTTTGCATTTTTTAAGTATATATTTCCTTTATATGTTTAATATAATATAATTATTAATTTTTTAAAAATTAAGGAGTTATATAAAGTTGTCCTTACTTGTCTAGTTGTCCTTTGCTAGTTTACATCCACGAAGCTAGAGAACACGTGCCCCGACATAAATAGACATGTGCGCAGTCAAAATACCACGTGCGCCGTCAATTTTATACATAGTTGTACCCAATTGTCCGGTTGTCCAAAATTCTTCATAGTTGTCCTTTGACGATTTTAGCATTTTTCCAGTTGTCCTGAAATATAAATTATTATTTTGTAGTTGTCCACATGATTTTCGACTATTACAGTTCATTTACAAGGTTTTCATAACACAAATTATGCAAAATCATGTATTTGCATCTTTTCCATCAAAAGATTGTTAACATTATGAAAGTTTTCCTTGTATCATAAGGGATGTTTGATATGAAACCAATAATATATATTAGGAAAATGATAATTTTATTTTATCCATGTTATTAATATTGTTCCTTATAGTTTAAGACATGTTTGCATTTCTTAAGTATATTTTTTCTTTATATATTATTAATTTTAAAAAGATTAAGGAGTTGCATAAAGTTATCCTTACTTGTCCAGTTGTCCCTTCCTTATTCACTTCCACAAAATTGCATATAGTTGTACATACATGTCTAGTTGTACCTTGTTCATTTCTATTCATAAAGCATTTTCAGCCAAAAATGAAATCTTCTAGACTAGATTGATTTTTCTAAGTGTCGAGATGTTTGTCAAAGTAACACATACACCTATGTGCACAATCAATTTTTCTACATAATTATACCTAATTGTCCAGTTGTCTGAAAATCTTAATAATTGTTTTTTTGAGATTTTAGCGTTTACATTGATTTTCAACCATTAATTTTTATGTACGAGGTTTTCATATTACAAGTTATGTAAAATCATATATTTTTTCTTTTTTGTTTCATAGCATGATTAACAACATAACATAGATGAAATAAGTTATATGCTCCAAATATGAGATAGTAAATGATATAACATAGATGAAATTTCTTGAAATCTATTAAAATGTTTGTGTGGCTGATGTTCATTATCTCATAAACATAGAATAAAAAAAATACTCAGTTAACAATTATTCCAGTTGTCTTCTATCTATGAGTTGTACCATTTGTACCAGTTGTCCTCTACCTCTTAGTTATACCATTTGTACCAGTTGTCCTCAATCTCTTAGTTGTACCATTTGTACCAGTTGTCCTCCTCTGCAAATTTGGTAATGAACTCGGGTTTCAATTCTAAACTACCTAAAAATCACTATGATTTAACAACTAAACTTGACAAATTACCAATGTAAAGATCTAATCTTCATATAAAACTTGTTTCCCAACCGAATCTGGTTATCCAAACAAGCAAATTTTGCAAATTCAATCTCTAAATTTTGAAATCCCTAAATTCTGAAATAAGAACAATCTACCCAGTTTTAAAGCTTCAACAATGGCAGAATAAAAAAGAGTTAAGAACAATGAATTGATTGCAGCAGAAGAGGAGGAAGAGGAAGAGGAAGAGGAGGATGAGAAGGTTCAACAACAAGAATGAGATTTAGCAGATTTGAGGTTGAAGAAGAAGAGAAAAATTAGAAAGAAAAGAGAAAAAGAAAATCATATTTTTATTAATTTTCGTTTTAATTTTAATATATTAATTATGAATTTATTTAAACATTAATTTTGGGTAAAATAAAAAATGTCACAACATTATTTCATTAAGGGCAAAATCGGAATTGCATAATGTATAGCATCTAGACTCCTTTATGGTACAATAGATTTTTCTTTTCTAAATTATGGCATATTGGCCATTGATTCCTTGAGAGCTAATAATTAAGAAAATGTTTTACCAAATTATTTATTTATTTACTTTTGTATTCCGACGATTTGCTTTTTTTTCCTTAAATTAATTTGGTAACATCATTAAAAACTTATCTTTTTCACTTTTTTTTTTGTTTTGTCATTGTGGAACGAACAACCAACGCACGAAGAAAAGAATGAAAGGAAATTTAGAGCATTTTTTGGAAGAAGACACGAGTTAATGGGATTTGTGTGGAATCACACATTGAAATTGGACCACAGATACGCACTTCGATTAGTGAACCAAAAGATCCTCTTTTGCCTTTTGACGAATAAAAAAGGATCCATTTATGATCTTTCTAGTTTCTTCTTCCTAGGTTTATGTAATTTTCTGACTACAAAGCAGACTTTTTAAGTTTTAGTATCTTTCTTTTGGGATCTGCTCACGTTGAAAAGCAAAAAACAAAAACTCAAAAAACAAATATAGCCGGTTTAACACACCTAACCAAAACCATATCTGATCGGTCCAAACTACAAAATTTGGTATCACAAATCTTCGAATACCTGCAGTGTATACTTCATGAGTTTTGGCTACTCTTTGAAATCAGCATTTGCCTTCCTCTTGAGGAATGGAAAATGTCCACCCCGGAAAATCTGAATCCTCAAACAATGACGTTGGAACCACTTTGTAGAAAGCTAATGGAACTTGTTTTACTCTTCTCCGAATCTGCCAATTTTTTATAGATTTCCACAGTTAGTTCGTCTAATGGTATTTGGTTTTGCACCAAATAAATGAAGACCAAAGTCGAGTTATATCTCAAATTTACTACAAAGAGTTGATGACATATGAACCAGAAGCTACATTACCTCGTCCCCAAATATGGTGGCATATGAACCAGAGCTAAAATCTTCAATTTTCATTTCAGTGGTCTTTGCTCTGTTGGTTAGATCAGTCTCTAGTGATGAAACAAACCTACACAATAAAAGAGAGGAGAGGAAAGAAAATTTAAAAACTTTTTCAAAAATTTTGATATTATTGTTTGATGAGTATATACTGTACATACCTTGAAACTGGTGGGCAGTAATGGTGGCGTAAAGTGTCAATCTCCCAAAGAGAACTTCCTGTAACAAGTAATGAGATCAGTTCTCTCACACCCTCTTTTCAAGCTTTCAAAGCAATCAGAGTTTCAATTTGTGTATGAATCTAGAGAAACTGGGCATCTTTATCAGACTAATACATCTCGTTATGCTACAAAGCCGCCATTAGGAATGTACAAAAATAGAAATACACATAAAAAAGGCTGGGACTGTCAAATACTTACTCAGGGCACCAGTTTTCTTGAGATCACTTTCCTGATTGTTGAAATAGTCAATGCCAAGCTTTTTGTAGGTCTTTGGTTGGCTCTCATTGTGTTCACCAGCGCCTGAATTGGCTTCATTGGCGTTTTCATCAGGTTCCTGCACACGAGTGACCTCAGTTGTAAGCCCATGCTTTCTCTACATTATTTTGTTTAGTCTTGATGGATAAACATAAACTACTAAGTCACTTTCTAATCTGGCAGCATGCTTTTTGGATTTTCAAGTACTAAAGAAAATAGGTTGTACCTTGTGCACCAGATGGTTGATTGAAGAATGTCTTCGCAAAAGGTTGTAGATTAAAGCCGTTATGACTAACGATCCAGAGGGAGGAACGGAAAGTGACAATCTGCTTAGTTTCTTTGCGAATGAAGCTGCCAGATATGCTGGAAGCAATGGTGACTTCAGGCAAGCATCAAGAAGCTGCAGAAACCATTTTAGATTTAGAGGGAACGATAACGGATTATAAATCAGTAACTCGTTGGTCACTGAAAACCGGCATTACCTGAAGAAATCTTGATCGGTGCTTTGCCACAAAGACCGAAGGAACCAGTAACGCATAGAGTTTTTCATAAAAGTTGGGATATTCCAAACCATGTTCGGTCATGAGGATGAAGAGGCTGCTTAGAGCCATCACACTGACAACTCCCCCGATATCATATGACTTTGTTAGGAAGTCGCTGCAAGTTATCAGGTATGGTGAAACATATATAAACGACTATAAAAGGAAACAGATACATAACAATGAAAGCTTTGGTAAGTAAATATGCCCACCATAACATTGCAGGATTAGATAGATGGGGGATAACTGTCTGGTGAATACTAGCAAGAACCTGATCATCAAAAGATAGCATATTGGTAAGTCTGTTCATGCCGTATTCCAAACAACAGGTTAGTAGTGAAAGTAAACCAGCTAACCTCCTTGTACACGTCAAGGGGAAGTGGCAGTCTGAGAAATGAAATCCATGCTTTAGTGAACTTCAACTTCATCCTCTTGGCAATTGTAGTCGGAGAAAGAAGCTAGAGTGTTGACAGAATAAATTAAGAGGCAAAAGTAAGAAATTGCATCGCAGGAAGAAAAAAGTCACGGATTCAGTATTTTGAGCAAATTTGCAACTGAAAACTTACACAGCTGTCTTGTTCCTTATTCTTTTTCTTTTTATCTGTCGGTTTCTCACTACTACTTCCATCTGGAAATACCGAAAACCTTTATTAGCAAATCTAAATACAGGTGGGTTTTTTCAACAAAATTGGGTAATAAATAATCAAGTGCTCGAAAACAGTCACCTGAACCACTCCACATCTCGTGTTGAGACTTTTCAGCTTGTTTTTCAGGGGGTGGGATTTGAGATAAAACTTGATAGATCTTGCGGATAGAGACCTCTAGGCTACAATTAAAAGATTAACCAGATCATCAACAACGAAAGCACAAAATATAAACAGCAAAAAATTTACATTCAAACAGTCATTGTATATAAGATATACAATGCAAGCATTAGATATTTAATGATACTAACCGGTCTTTCATATCATTCTCAGTCTCTTTATTTTCAATCGCGCTTCTATCAGCTACAAAGGCCAAAACTTTATCAGTTAGACACACAAAAGTAAAAGAAACTTACATTATGGATCAAGAGGGAAACACAAAAGAGAAGATGTCAAGAAAGAAAGCACGAATAAACGCACCAGACAAAACCGATGCTTCCACTGTTTTCACAAACTTTTCCATGCTGATGTAGGTAAAATAGCTGGCATAAATAGATATTGAGAGTCAAATCCCAAATGAATGGATAACAACACGCTTAAGCAGAAGAAACATAATGGAGCATACATATAAAGCAAAGTGTTATCATCATACCGGACATCAATGTACTTGAAGTACTTTGAGGTAAGTATATCCAAGAATAAATCGATATCAACTGCAGAATGAATCTGCAGAGACGATAATAAAAGCATTAAATCACTGAAAATAATGAGCAAAGAACAGATTTACAATAATTCTGAAGGAAACTTACAATAGCATTAAGTAATCTGTGGTAGATGGAAGAGTGAAATCTTCCCACATTCAAAAGCTTTACAAACTCCATTAACGTGCCCAATACAATATCCTAAATAAACCAATCCATCGAAGTATTAGAAACTAATTAACCTGTAGCAATTGTAGCAATCATCATTGTTAATTCTACAGAAAACAAGAGATGATAGAAAGTTACCCTTAGAGTATCTTCGGACTGTTCAGAGACAAGAACATCGAGAAGAAGCTTCACGAACTCGTCAAATTTCGATCTTAGCCAAGCTTTGAAGATAACTTCAGGGTCATCGGCTCCAGCTTTCTTAGTCTTTGACGAATCATCATCGTCATCTTCGGAACGAGGGCGTTTCGCTGAAGAAGGATGTGACGAAGTCGAGGGAAGCTGAGAGAGAAGAGGAGTGAAAAAGGACTGGAGGGAAAGGAGAGATTCCACCACGAACTGCGGCGGAGATTCCGGCGAGACGAAGGTGAGAAGGAGAGGAAGGTTATTGATGTGAGCTCGAGAAGAGAGTAGGTCACGACCCAATGACTTGAGCTCTTTTAACGTGTACTTTTCTTTCTTCTTCTGCTTCTTCGAGAGAATCGACGCCATTATTGAGCTCTGGTTCGTGACGGAGACAAAGGGACGAAGAAGAAGAATTAAGCACAGAGGAGGCACAGCGAAAACCTAACGATGTAAATTGCAAACCTAACAACGACGTCGTATCAGTACTCACAAAACAACGAATTTTATATGAGCCCTATACTATGTAAAAATATCAAAATTTGGCCCCAACGTTTTTAATTTTCAATTATTAACCTTAAAGTATGATTCGTGTTATTTTAACATACAATACAAAATGGTTTTAAGCACTGGATTGCCGAGCACCTAAAATTCATGGTACATGTTGGCATGCTCCAAAGCAGCACAAAAAGTTGGTAAATCTCTTTCTAATTAATTTTTTTAAATAAATTTTCTCTAAACTCTCTATTAATTTATTATCATGATCAGATACTTCTTCCTCTAAATATAAAAATTTGACCCAATGTTTTTAATTTTCAATTATTAATTACCCCTAAAGTATGATTAGTGCTACTTTAACATACAGAGTATGATTAGTGCTATTTTAACATACAGTACAAAATGGTTTTCAGCACTGGATTACCGGATTGTCGAGCACATAAAATTCATATTAGCATGCTCCCATGGGACGAAATTGCACTTGTTTTGTATGATAAGACAGTACAAGAGATTTGTGAATCTCTTTCTAATTAGTTTTTTTTATATAAAATTTCTCTAAATTTTCTGCTAATTTATTATCATGATCAAGTAGTTCCTTATCTAATAAAGAAGAGACTATGGAAGAAGAGAAGATGAAGAATAATACTTTGCTTTGTAATAATCAGATTTTTCTTGCCATTAGTGGCGGATCCAGAAATTATTTTTACTAGGGTTACAAAAACGATTGATAAAATCAAAGTCAGTTCAGAAACTTAAAAAAATATAAATAAATACAAAAAAAAAAATATTGTTTGTGCATTATTTTTAAAAATGATTTTTTTTTAAGTTGGAACCGCTGAATTGAAGGTTTCACTTCAAATATGAAATGTCTCTTAGAGATGTTAGGCAGTGATTTTATTGAGGTATGCATTAATTTTTAATGTCCGTTGTGTAATATTTGCAATTTCTTGTTTGTAGTTGACATAAAAAAAAAAAAAATTATTTCAATTCCAATGAACTCTTTTACCAATTTTCATGAATCATTGCAAAACATAATTGTAATTGTGGTATATGGAGAATAAAAAACAAAATCATAATTTGAGATGCGAGTAACTCTTAGAAAAATAATTAAAACTGTTGGAAGTTTAGTTAAACTAATAAGACTAATTAGGATAACAAATAACTTCGTTCAAGCGAAAAGAACTTGTGGTCGGCAATCTAGTGCTTCAAACCCTTCTATTAGGAGTCCTCTATTAATCCCTTATTATGTCTAAATATCACGCTTTGACCCCAACTTTTTTAATTTTCAATTATTACCACTAAAGTATGATTTAATGCTATTTGAACATACAGTACAAAGTTGCAAACAAGTAAGTTATGAAGGATAGCGTAAATGATTGTTTAAGAAACTGTAGCATTACATAAATATAGTACACGAGTATGAGATTTAAATCTAGCAACTAAATGTGAGAAAGATTGATTCTTCTTTTTGCTCCTCCAAAAAAACACTACAAAACTCGAAACAGAAAGGCTTTTAGATCTATTGCTGCTTCTCGGGTTGTTCCTCTTCTTCTTGGTTTGGGTTTTCTTCTTCCTCTTCTTTCTTCTCTTCCTCTTCTTCGTCTTCTTCTGGTGGATCATAAGGCATCGGCGGTGGCAATGGTGTCTTCATTGGGCTAAACTTGGGGAAAATGTCAGGCCTCCTCCCAGGTTTGGGTCTCTCCCACTCCTAACAGTAAATCACACCGAAATTAAAATCATTTCTGGAGGATAAAAATATAAAGGATAAGAACATTACAAGGAAACATGGTGTTGAATTCTACAAGAAATGATGATGATGAACACAGATCCCTTGAAAATTCTGTCTACATAACACTTAATATGCAAAATGGAGCCTTGCAAGCGCATGATGAGCTATCAAGCACTAGGAAAAGAGAGCTTTTCTACGGATATTGAACAAATGAGTAAACTGTTAACACATGTAGATTCATAGACAAAGAATAACCAAACAGTAAGCTGGCGAAAAAAGATTTACGATACAAACTGCTTCAAATAGAAACAAAGATTATGCAACCTGAAGAGTGAAGACCTATGATGACTAAAGCTCTGGTAAAATGAAAACTGATTCCGCCTGGTTATTAGGTCGATTTCGTCAAGTTCGTGATGTAATTGTCAAAAACAGCAATACACCATCAAGGATAAGCCATGAATGAATTAGAAGCATCGAGATAATGTAACACAAATCTGGAGGGTATGGCACAACAGTTTGACCAATAGCTACTTTTAACCAAATTAACCATCTTTATCCTCACTCATCGATTAAGCGTCAAACGAAGCATATTTGAAAGCGAATTAGCTGATTTCGATTTGAAATGTGAAACAGGAGATTTTGTGGGAAGATCCGAAATCGATTTTGAAGTGAGGAATCGGAGCTTACAATTGGGAAATCGAGAGGATTGCGACGAGTGAGCTTCTCTTCCTCGGGGGCCATAGCTACAACGTGAAGCTGATTATTCGCTCTTCTAGCCATCCGAAGGCTCGGGTTCCGATGAAGAGACAAAGAACGGCGAACGGACGATAAACCATGGGCACGCGACGAGAAGCAAACAAGCGAGCGCGAGTCGTGTATCGAAGAAGAGGACATCTTCGTCGGAGATAGAAACCCTAGAAAATCGAGCGAAGGAGAAGGAATCAACCTCGCAGAGCAAAGCGACGCCATGGCTCCGGACGGGGCTAGTAATCGATTTTCCACCAACCAAGGATTATCGTGACAGGTTGTTTCTAAAACTTATGGTGCGTCAGCGTTTTGATAGTGGCTTTTGGGCCTTATTGGATAGTGTGGTTGCTAAGTTTCACGCTCAAAAATTTGGGTATAATTGTTGGATTAGGGACTTATAATGATGAATCAAATTTATCTTTAAAACGATTGAGTATAAAAATATACAAGATTTCTATCCTGTGCATTTGTATGGGAGCTAATTTTAATTTTTTTTTAACATCTATCTTATTTATATAGAAACCAAGTTACATAAACAACAACAATACATAAAACAGAAAATGCAAGCTATAAACACCAACAATAAATAAAATAGTAAAATTACAAGCAATAAATAACAAAAGTGAAATTTGACGATTCTTTTCTCCGAAAAGTTTTACTCGAGTGTCCATACTTTCCTTTTTCATATTCGCATTCGATCTGATGCGATTTTTATCTCTGGCTATTATCCATAGATTCTCCTCTTGTATTACATTGACACATCTCCAAATAAGAATTAAAGATATTTTCTGAATAAGAACCCAATCTATTGATTCTTTCGAAAAAAATAAGACTAGAAATTGCCAATTTTTAACGACTGTACGAATGTTAAATTTTATAAAAATATAATATAATTCATTTTAAATTTTAATTTATTAAATTTTATAATATAATTTATATTTTTGTTTTTATTTAAATAATTTCTAATAAATAATAAAAAAAATTATTTTTGTTTAGATATAATTTGTTTCTATTGATTTATTCTTTATAGTATTACATACAATTGCGATTAAAAAACATTATTTTAACACATCCGTTCATATAACTTGTCCATTTATATTAATCTAAATATAATTATGATCATTAAAACATAATTCTAACCCGTCCGTTCATATTATTTATATAATTTAATATATATTAAATATGAATATCGTAAATTTTAAATTTATTTAATAAAAATATATTTTAATATATCATTTTCATCTTTGTCATTCAAACTATTATTTAAAATTAAATATTTAAATTAAATCTAAATTAATATTTGATTTATTATTTTTGTAAATATATAATAATATCTTACTTATTTTATGATTTTTAATAAATATTAGAACCTATATTTCGGAAATTCTATAACAAATCTAAATTTAAATTTAAATTTTCATATTTATATCAAAATATTAACTAAAAATATATGATTTTATTAAAAAAACAATAAATTAACTTGTTTGGCAACATGAATAGCAGTTATCCCAAAACAGAATAGTAGAAAACTAAAAAAATCATGTTTGAACACAAAACATACTTCCATTTTAATAGCATAGATTAAAGAAATTGGATTTATTATTAATTTGATCGGAGGAAAATACAAGCTTTCTCGAAGAGAAAGAGTACAAAAAAGAACTTAAGTATAGCTATTTTGCTAGGATTTTTCCGAAGGGAAAAATTGTGTTTTGATATGATTCGAGTTCCTTTTATAATTCTCTTTGAGGTTTGAACTGCCCCCATATATCTCGGACAACTTCGTATTACACTGTTCGACCCCGAATTCAGAGTTCAGAGCTCGCCAGGTCGCACGTTTGAGGTGACTCTTAACTGGTTTGCGATTTGCTGATGAGCTGAATCCTGCATTTAGGCCGAGTATTAATCTGGTCCAACTCCAAATATTCTTTCCAAATTCTCCAAATTATATTGAGTTAGGCTTCGTGGACAGGGCCGGATATGACAAATCCAGTTCTCACAATTGCCCCCAGCCCATTAAGCAAGTGTGAAGCTTAAAGGGCGGTAAATTTTTGATTTCTCATCTTTTTACCTTTTGGGGATGAGCCTGAATCTTTCAGAATATTTTTCTAATAATTTCGAATTTCAAATGGACGGTAGAGATCTATCATCGCGTCTATCTCTCTTCAGAGCTCTGTGAGCGGCGTCGAATTCCTTTATTTTCGGGATTATTATTCAGAATGATGGATATTCGAAGGCCTGGATTTTGGGAGAGCGAGATCTCTCGGTGATATTGATAATTGCTTTTGATCGAGTATATAATCTCAACCTTACACGTTCTCAATTAACTGCTCCACTTGGTCCAATCAAGGTAATTTCTCATTTTCTCACTTTTTATCTTTGGCCTTAGATTTACTCTTTAACGTTAAAATATTTTTTAGGTTTTTGGAGATAATCCCAATTCGTTCTAGCTATTTTTTAACCCTTTGCATTTTTTCTCGAGTCGAAGAATTTTTTTAGAATTTTGTGATGGATGCTCGCGCAGAGTTGTTTGGTCCTCACATGCCTTGAATAGAATATGCAGATTATCAAAATCGAACCAAGTAATCAACATTACAATAGTCTGTGGTGACTGTAAAATAAACATAAACTAGATTTTATCCCGTGCATCCGCACGAAAATTTTGTTTTAATCAAAATTTGTAATTTAGTTTATGTTTTCTTTATAAATATAATTTTTTAATAAGTGATGTAAATAAAATTTGTGTTTAGATATATATATATATATATATATATATATATATATTTTTAAGTATTATTATGACCACCATGATCATAAAAACATAATTTTAACTCGGTTATTTTATTAATAAAAAAATGACCATTATTATAAAAATATATTTCTAACTCGTTCATTTTATTAATCTGAAAAGACCATGATTATGAAACCATAATTCTAACCCGCCCGTTTATACTATTTTATAATATAAATATTTACTAATTTTAAAATAACTAATATCTTGCATGCTTTGATAACCTAACCCGCATAAAATCATAATTATAAAACTTATCCCATCAAATTATTATATAATATTAATATTTATCTATTTTTAATATGTGAAATTTTAATCTGATAGAATATAACTAAAAAATATAATAAGATATTTATTAATCATATATGTTATTCGGAAAGTCTTACTTAAATTTTAAATGTTAAACTAAATCTAACCTATATTTAAGGAAGTCTATTTAAATTAATATCTATAGATTATAGATATATCCTATATTTAAGGAAATTTTTAGTTATCTAAATTAATATCTAATTTTTGGAATTAAATTTATATATATAAAAATATTTTTTTTAAAAAAAAACTTTGGGAGTGTTTGGAAACAAACGATAAAAGTGATTCTGTTTTAATATAATAGACTAGATTCTAACCCCGTACATCCGCACGGAAATATTTTTTAATGTTTAACGAATTTTGTAATATAATTTGTGTTTTTGAGTTTAAATATAATTATTTTTATAAATATATTTTTTAATAAGTGAAAATATTGATTTTTGTGTTTAGATATATTTTTATAGTATTAAAATTAATTATGATTATAAAAATATAATTTTAACTCGTCCGCTAATATTAATTCAAAATGAACTATTATAAAAACATAATTCTAATTTTTCCGTTCATATTACCGTATAATATAAATATTTGTTAAAAGTTTGAGATGTATTAACAGTATTATTTAGCATTATAGTTTTCTAAAATTTAATCAACGAAGGGAGTGTACAACTGGTTTTTCAAACCACATTATACTGTATACAATAATTTTTAATTTTTTATGTTTTGATTTTGTATGAAAAATATATTTTCGATATACATGTATAATTCAAAATTAGTGATATTAGTTACCAAAATATTTTTAACCCGGTTTTTTATATATATTTTTAGTTCTATAAATTTTTAAAAATATATTTTTGATATTTAAATTATACATTTGAATTTTACCTATTATTTTATCATTAATTTGTAAATAAATCATAATCGTAAATATATTATATAAACAACATAAATATCATATCATTTACATCATTATAAATATTTTATATTTCAAATATGACCATTATTTTTCATATGTGAATTTTTTTTTTCAAAAATTCTAGATATTTTTGATAAAAATGTTTAATAGTATAGAAATTATTTAAATTAGAATCTTTAAATCAAATCTAAATTAATATCTGATTTATTATTTTTAATCAAATCAAATCAAATCTAAATTACCTATATTTAAGGAACTCTAAAAATATTTAAATTAATAACTAATTTTTGAAATTAAATATAAATAATTATTAAAATTATTTTTAAACACTTCAAAAAAAAATTGGAGTGTTTGGAAGCAAGTACTAAATGTGCTTCTGTTTCATTTATCTTTGGCCTTAGATTTACTCTTTAACGTTAAAATATTTTTTAGGTTTTTGGAGATAATCACAATTCGTTCTAGCTATTTTTTTAACCCTTTGCATTTTTTCTCGAGTCGAAGAATTTTTTTAGAATTTTGTGATGGATGCTCGTGCAGAGTTGTTTGGTCCTCACATGCCTTGAATAGAATATGCAGATTATCAAAATCGAACCAAGTAATCAACATTACAATAGTCTGTGGTGACTGTAAAATAAACATAAATATTGGTGTAACATTGAAATAAGAACACACCAAAATCTAGTTAGATTGTACAATTTGTGTATAGTAACGATTGAAATTGAAATAAGAACACACCAAAATCTAGTTAGATTGTACAATTTGTGTATAGTAACGATTGAAATTGAAATCCAATGTAATAATCACGGAGAAAAAACCATTTTGAAATTCTGTTACTCAAATTTCTCAAATGAATTCATCAATTTGTGTAACAAGAATGGATAAACACTAAAATAAAAACAAATGCACTTTATGAATCCCAACCAATAGTTTAAGATTTTTGAGTTCTGGCTAAACTTGGGCATTTGGCCTTAACCGATCGAAAAAAAATTTTAGTTCTCATATTTTGTTAGATTTAGAGCTATATACTACTAATCAGCGTCATATCAAAATAATTTTAGTTTATGAGAAAATTTTAGATTCTTTTCTTGTTTTTCTTCTATCGTTTTCATTAGTTGATGTCGTCGTCTAGATAATCTTTGTTATTTCGAGTTAAGCGAGTAATTTTACATAGCTTCTCATGATAGTTTAAGTGTTCTTGGCTTTTTTCGTTGAGTATAATATTTTCAAAATAGGTTTTTTCTTGCTCAGTAGCCAATAGTGTGTGGCTGGTGTTTCTATTCCTTGGCTGATGTTTCTATTCCTTGCCCCTTATAGGTCTTGAAGGCACATTTTTTTTCTGTTAGTTTAGTTTCTAGAGATTTTAATTTATGTTTTCCGTCAGTTTGATATACCTAAACTATACGGAGTATTCCAACTTTATGGTCCTATTGAAAAGATTCAGACAGAAAAATAAAAATTAAAAAAACGATCGCGTTTATTTGTATTGAAAACTCACCGTTAAAGAAAACTTGGATCACCGCGTTGTGGGAAGTGAACATAACACGAACCATTAAGCTATTTACCTCCCAAGTGGCTGGTAATGTACATGTACATGTAGATGGCAAATGAAAAAACATCTACAATAGTGTGCCAATTTTTGAAAATATGATTTCGTTATACACATTCACTTACATTCCAAAGTATACACATTCGCATACATTCGAAAGTATGTATATATTCTGTTTTTTGTTCAACCAACAAGAACGTATAGTATACATTAAGATTCGAATGTAGCAAAAGAACCATACCTAATGATGGACCACCATCAAAAAAAGGCTAAATTATTACCAACATAAATATACGGCCCATAACTAATGTTGGGACTTGGCACTTTTTAAAGAAAAAGAAATAAATAAATTGATCGGAGAAGAAAATAAACATCTAAAATCGTGTGCCAAAAACGCTGTAGTCACAAACAAGTGAACAACATATACCAATGAATTCGATAATTGTTGTTATATCCCATTATGTTTATATATACCATTTGTTAAAGGGTTTAAATATCTTATACAGTAATATTATGCAATAGTTACTAGTTGTATTAACGAAATTATTACTGTTTCTTCATTATTTAGGAAGATACTGCTATACATGTGATCTAGCTTTGGAAGAAATCAAAAACTCAAATGAGAATTATAAGAAACTAAATAAAGGAAAAAGACATGCATCAAGAGACTCAAAAGTCTCAATAACCTTAAGATATTTTCTCCTTCCACAGATCTCTATAAAATTTGCCTTTAATTTAATATATGACCAGTGACAAAAAGCAAGTACTACATAGATAAAGAGGACCAACATTTGCATTTAACTTAGATATTTAATTCGACAAGAGACTAAAAAAGAAGAAGAGAGCTATAATTTCAACCTAAACCAAAATTTAAATTCGAATCCATAACTTATCTCAAGCTTCTATGGTTAAGTAAAATGTCATTGGTCTCATTTTTTTATAGAAAATTTAAATATTTTATAACGGAAATATTTATAAAGTTTTATGTATATACAATATCGAATTTATGTAAAAAAAGTTACAATATCGAAAATATAACGAGAATAAGTGAATAACTAAAAAAAATGGGAATCCCATTAATGTCAATCGGAGAAGACAACAGGCAAGGTGGGCGCGTGACGACATACACGCGCTGCAGCTGGCAACAACCAATTTCCCTCTCATTCTTTTCTTCTTCTCCCAAAACCCACAAAATACTTTCCCCTTTATATCTTCGTCTTCACCACTCTCTCTCTTCCTCTTCACTCGCAATGTCGTCGCCGGCGATTAACCTTCTCTTCACTCTCTCCTTTCTCTGCTTCCACATCTCTTCTTCTCACCAAAGCAAACCCACCGTTCACTCCTTAAATGTCGCCGCCGCGGCGGAGATTGAGCTCGTGAACCCTAAACTTCCGCCGAGAACTCCTCTCTCCCTCACATCGTCGAAGAAATTCGAAGGATCTTCCGATCTGATTCACCTCCGGTACCATATGGGTCCAGTACTCTCTTCTTCCCCGATTAACATCTACGTAATCTGGTACGGACGGTGGACTCGTCCCCACAAATCCCTAATCAGAGATTTCCTAAATTCAATCTCCGACGCAAAAGCCCCTTCTCCCTCCGTCGCCGACTGGTGGCGCACCGCCACGCTTTACACTGACCAAACCGGAGCCAACGTCTCTCGATCGGTACTCATCGCCGGAGAATACTCCGACGCCAAATACTCCCACGGCCAACATCTCACGCGCCTCTCAATCCAAGACGTAATCGCCACCGCCGCGAGATCCGCTTCCTTCCCGGTGGACCACAAGAACGGGATGTACCTCGTGCTGACGTCACACGACGTCACGATGCAGGACTTTTGCCGCGCCGTCTGCGGTTTCCACTACTTCACGTTCCCGTCGATGGTCGGTTACACGATGCCGTACGCTTGGGTTGGTCAATCGGGGAAACAGTGCCCGGAGGTTTGTGCTTATCCGTTTGCTTTGCCGGGGTATATGGGTCACGGTGGTCCCGGTGAGCTCCGGCCGCCGAACGGAGAAACGGGAGTGGATGGGATGGTGAGTGTGATTGGGCATGAGCTTGCGGAGGTTGTTTCGAATCCGTTGATTAACGCTTGGTACGCCGGAGAAGATCCGACGGCGCCGACGGAGATCGGGGATTTGTGTGAAGGGTTGTACGGAACCGGCGGAGGAGGAGGGTATATTGGTCAAGTGATGCAGGATAGAGAAGGGAAGACGTTTAATATGAATGGTAAAGGAGGGAGGAAGTTTTTGGTTCAGTGGATTTGGAATCCTAATTTGAAAGCTTGCTCTGGTCCTAACTCTGTGGATTAGACGACGGAGGAGGAAGAAGAAGAAGATGAGGCTTGTGTTGATTGATGATGGTGATTAACACTAATCACCTTGATTATGATGGAATAACACCTTTGATTAGAGTTAGCTTATTAGGTTAGTAGTGTAACACTTCTCTTGATTTTCGTTTTCATAATTATTTCTTTTTTATATATATAGCTTATACTGCTTTTGTGTTATTTGAATGAATCTTGATTTCAAATGCTTTTTATTAGTGGTACATGTTCAGATCTTTGGGAAAGCGAAAAGTTTGTTTGAATTCAAAATGTTTTTTGATATTTTTTCTGCATTATTTAATAGTAATCGGTTTCAATAAATGTTATTGTACGATAACACTTATACATGTCTTCAGAATTTAAGGAAAAGACAAATAATTAAAATGGACTAGTATTTAAAAGGTTTGTTGGATTGAGAACTGACATGATCTAGAGAAACGAATCTTAAAACTCTTACAAGGTAAGATTCTTAATTAATCATTTAATTGCAATTATATTTATTTGTCGGATAATATTCCAAGCGTTCATCTTTACATGTTTTATTTAATTAATTCTAATTTTAGTAGTGCTTAATTATTCTACCAAATGTGTTGGTTTACTTGTCAGTATGATTTTTATTATAATGTCTTTTATAATTTATGTATCTAATACAACAGAAAGTCAGAAACTACAAGTGTTAGTGTGTTCCCAAATGTTGGAATGTAATAATAAAGGTAAGCGAAAAAGACTTTAAAGACTATGCGAGTGGTAGAGACAATTGAGAGAAGGAGTTTTGTGAACAACAGCTAAGAAAAGGTCCCAACATTTGAAATTATAATCATTACCAATGTCAATGGAAACTCCAACCTTTTTATTTTCTTGAACCTTTTTCATTTTTTTGATAATGTTTATCAATGGTTTTTTGATGGGTTTCTATTAATATAATAATTTTTTTAATTGAAAAAGGAGGTTTAAAAAATAAAATCGATTTTTATTTAAGAAATGAAAGGATCGATCCTTCTTGCTTACTTGGCATGATGTTATTGGTTCTTTTATGTTCTACTTTATTTTTCTTCCTCTCTTTCATTTCTTTATGTCCTTCGTCTCTTTCTTCTCTCTGTTTTCTCCAATTCACAGTAAAAAAAACACAATTATTTGTGGATTTCTTAAATCAATTTAATTAATATAATAATTAATAAGAAATCTGGATTGATTTCTCTGATAAACTTGCTCTAAGCTATCGATCTCATAATACTTTCCACATAGTTTCACTGTAGATAATTGATGTTATCGGCAATTCATGTTGAAATATACATTATTCGTTCTTAAGTCTTAACTACAAGTCTATGCAATTTATAGGCATGTCATCAAAGTGTGCCAAAACCCACAATTTAAATTAGATGGGTACAGATAAGTTTTTAAGATCAGCAAATTTAAATGATTGATCTGCTCAAAGTTTAATCCTTAAGCTACTCTGCAAGAGCACAAATGTGCAGTTGTAGTATGTAGGGGTCGAACCACAGAGACAAGAGATCACTCAATAAACCTTATAGAGATCGAATTACGCTAAGCAGAAATTTTGGAAATAAATAACGATGCAGCAGAAATAAACTAAACAGCAGTGAAAACATTTGTAAGATTCAGATGGATGGAGATTAGGCTTAGGGCGTTTCTCAGGAAATCAATGAATGTAGATCAATCGATTTATCAGGGTTCAGGTTTAAGCACTGTTCTTGAACTCGAAACACAGAATTATAATTAACCAACTTCCGTTGTGAGAATTATCTAAGTTAAAATCCTAGAATTCCAAATTCATTTGCAAATAATGCACAAGTTGATATGTTCACAAAGCATCTAAACCAAATTCTTTTGCGAATAACTACTTTGCTCACTCTAGGTTCTTTCCAGTTATTCAATTACACTTCCGTGTCAATTAATCAACTTAAGATCTAAGTTCTAGGTGATCAGTCCAGAATTAGCTTTAAGAACAACTTATGGTGAAGAACTAATCAGATTATGAACCCTAACTAAATCAATTAATCAAACATCCAGAAAAAACCTTAATGAGAACCCTAAACCTAACAAGCTAACTACTCAGACATGGATACTGAAACAATAAACATGATTGAATAGATTGCAATAAGAAGATGAATAAAATAAATAAAGGGGTTCGAAATCTTCTCTCTAAACGAACAGAGTTCAGACTTGTCTCCCCAAGCTCTAAAAATCACAAAAGCCGAAAAAGTAAGAAGGTGTCTTGCTCGAAAATCTAAGGTCAGGTTCAGAAGAGACTAAAAACCTTATTTATATCTCTAAAACACGTCTTGGGCTTCTTTGGAAACTTCTGGGCCCAACTCCTTCTTCAAACAGGAAACAAAATCGCATTTTCCTTATTTCTTTTACAAGTGTCGAGCGTCACTCTCCATGGTGTCGAGCGTCACCAATGCACATGATTTGTCCTTCGCGAATTTGATCCTGATTTAGATCCAAAGTGCTCCAAAATCTCTAGTTAAGCTCCAAACGTACCTAAGACCTGTAAAGACTCCAAAAGACTCGAAAAACACTAAAAAGACTCAATAAATAAGACTTATACCATGGTTAAAAATCATAAATACTATGATATATCATCTCTCCCAGACTTAGCATTTGCTTGCCCTCAAGCAAACAGAACACCAAATAAGAGAAGAGGTTTGAAAACCCGGAGACTCAACCTTTCATTAGAACATCGCTTTGACCGATCACCCTGCAACTCAACTACTGCTTCATCATTCCAAATCGAACCACCATGTACTTCTCCGCAGACATTCACAGCTTCCCAGATTAAGTCCAAAATTCCACAACATTGTCCATAAAACCTCATCGCTGGATCTCACTGATGATTCCAATGCCAAGAACCTTCTAGACTCTTTCCCGTACTATACTCAAACAAATCAGCCATACACACTTTGGTACTTTTCTCTCCCCCAGACTTATTCTTTTGCACACTCATCATCTCTTCTATTTTTTTATGGCATATACACGATAAGGTTAAAGTTGCGAGTACTGATGGTGTTTGCCATCGAGTCCCCGAGATGTCTTCTTACCTTGTATCAAAGGGTTTCAGCAAATAATGGGGTCATAGGAAACTTTCCTACCCTTCGCTTCCTTCTTTTGTGTGATCATTCCAACTTAGAAGTGAAATAATGGGATCCTTGGAAATTTCCTAGCCCTTCACTCCTAAGCGAAAATCATCTCAATCTTTTCGCCTTTTTCTTTCTTTCTTCACCTTTTTAGCTCGTCACAGGGAGAGAAACACCAACATTAGATTTCACACAGGCTTTCATTTGTCAAGTATGAACGAGGAATCAAGCTCTATGAACATCAGTCACATCAATGAGGTAAAAGAAAGAGTTCAGAAATTAGCTCAGGTTAGTGGATTCTGTTAGAAACATGGACGCCTCTAGTCAACTGGTCAGCCTTTGGATTTTTCATTAGTCGGATCTAGACTGAATCTGCAGCAGTGGTCACTTAGATGAAAGGTCAGCACAATAATTCCGGGAAAAGCATCATGATCTCCAACAGGTTTTGACTCAAAAACGTTTTGACACAACTGACTCTTAAGAAAAACAAACACAATGTCAGCGACTACCTCCCCCAAACTTGAACAACACTGTCCTCAGTGTTATCGAGTCCGAAGTTGGTGACAAAGAACAACTTCGAGTTCTCATAGGCATGATGCCTGATTTCGTCCAACTCGTTCAGCTGTATCAGTCTCCTCTCTGCAGCAGATTTGATGTCGAAATTCATCAGCTTTATCGCCCAAGCTGCCTTGTGTTCGATCTCCACTGGAAGGTGACAGGGCTTTCCATAGAGCAGGTGGAAAGGCGTGGTGCTTAGAGGCGTTTTGAACGCTGTCCTGAACGCCCAGAGTGCATCGTCCAACTTCGCAGCCCAGTCCTTCCGAGTTTTACCCACTGTCTTCTCCAAGATCTCCTTGATCTGTCGATTCGAGACTTCAACCTGTCCACTCGTCTGAGGGTGATAAGGAGTTGCAACTCGATGATAAACTCCATGTTTCCTTAGGAGTTTTTCGAAAACCTTGTTAATAAAGTGAGAACCACCATCACTTATAACAATTCGATGCACTCCAAATCGAGGGAAGATGATGGTCTTGAACATCTTAAGAACCACTGAAGAAACGTTGGTTGGGCTGGCAATGGCTTCGACCCACTTAGAAACATAATCAACAGCAACCAGGATGTACTTATTCCCATAAGAAGAGGGAAAATGACCCATGAAATCGATACCCCAACAATCGAATACTTCAACCTCAAGGATGAAATTCTGTGGCATCTCATGTCGCTTGCTGATCTTCTCTCTCCTCTGACACGCATCACACTGCGAGATAAAGGCATGCGCGTCGCGAAACATTGTAGGCGACCAAAAGCCTTCTTGAAGAATCTTAGACACTGTTTTGAAGGTTGCAAAGTGTCCAGCGTATTCAGATCCATGACAATGAAACAGCACCTCTGGAACTTCTGACTCTGCGATACATCTTCTGTAAATCCCATCAGAACAGTGCTTGTACAGATATGGCTCATCCCAGTGATATCTCCTCAGCTCTCTCAGGATTTTTTTCTTCGCATAGCCCTTAAAGTTCTCAGGTTCAGCCTCTGCAGCGAGATAATTGGCAATATCAGCATACCAAGGACGTCGGGTGGCAGATACAGCAGCTGAACTGATCTCAGGAAATCGGCTTCGAATTTTAGAAGTCTCTGTGTTCTGCTGCGCAAGGTGTCGCGCGACACTACTGGTGGTTTCGCTCGACACTAACGTTTCTTCAATTCGAAAAGCCTACAATTCTTCGTCAAATCTGCTCTGAAACCCAGTTTCCACATAATATACATTCTCTTCTGGAAGAAAAATCATCTATGGGTACATTCTCTTCAACCCTGATGCGTGAGAGATGGTCTGCAACACCATTCTCAACACCTTTCTTGTCTCTGACCTCAATATCGAACTCCTGAAGAAGTAAAACCCATCGCAGTAACCTTGGCTTTGCATCCTTCTTCTGCATCAAGTATTTGAGTGCAGAATGATATGTGTGCACAATAACCTTCGATCCCACAAGGTAGGATCGAAATTTCTCAAAAGCAAAGACCACAGCCAACAGCTCCTTCTCAGTAGTAGCATAGTTTCTTTAAGCATCATCCAGAGTTCGACTGGCATAGTAGACTGCATAAAGCTTCTTGTCCTTCTTCTGTCCAAGAACAGCACCAACAGAAAAATCACTGGCATCACACATCATCTCAAAAGGCAAATTCTAGTCAGGGAGCTGCACAATAGGGGCACTTATCAGAGCTTGTTTGATCTGTTCAAACGCGGCAAGGCATTCATCTGTAAGCTCAAACTTGACATCCTTGCATAGCAGATCAGTAAGAGGACGTGCAATCTTGATGAAGTCCTTGATAAATCGACAATAAAACCCTACATGACCCAAAAAGCTTCTAATCGCTTTTGCAGAATCAGGTGGTTGTAAACTCATCATGACGTCAATCTTCGCACGATCCACTTCGATACCAGCTTCAGAAACTTTGTGTCCAAGAACAATCCCATCTCTAACCATAAAATGACACTTTTCCCAGTTAAGGACCAAGTGTTTCTCTTCACACCGAGCCAATACCTTGTAGAGATTATCCAGACAGTCTTTAAAAGATGATCCATAAACTGAGAAATCATCCATAAAGACCTCCATGAAATCCTCAATCATGTAAGTGAAGATAACTATCATACACCTCTGGAAAGTTGCAGGAGCATTACAATGTCCAAAAGGCATTCTGCGATAAGCAAAAGTGCCATATAGACATGTAAAAGTTGTCTTCTCTTGATCATCTGGATGGATAGGAATCTGTAAAAACCCTGAGTAACCATCAAGGAAGCAGTAATAGGGATTGTTTGCAAGTTTCTCCAGCATCTGATCAATGAAGGGCAATGGAAAGTGATCTTTCCTGGTTGCTGCACTCAGCTTCCTGTAATCGACACACATCCTGTGTCCAGTCACTGTGCGCGTTGGGATCAGCTCATCTTTGTCATTCTTCACAACTGTAACTCCTCCTTTCTTAGGAACCACGTGCACATGACTGACCCAATCACTATCTGAAATTGGATAGATGATCCCAGCTTCCAACAGCTTCATGATCTCCTTCTTGACCACTTCTTTCAAATTAGGGTTTAACCTGCGCTGGTGTTCGATCGATGACTTTGACTCATCCTCCAGGTGAATTCAATGCATGCACAGATCTGGTGAGATACCTGAAATATCATCAAGAGAATAGCCAAGAGCCTAGCGATACTTGCGCAACTTGCTCAGCAGTAAGGTAACCTCGGCGTTGTTCAAAGAAAAATTGATAATGACTGGATAAGTGGAATTAGATCCTAAAAATGCATACTTTAGTCCTGCATGGAGTTGTTTGAGCTCGATCTTGGGTGCCTTCTCTTCACTCCAGTCGGAGAATTGCTTAGCCTTTGCAGGAGGCACAAGTTGATCTATCTGCACTGCCAACTGCATGACATGCTCGCTGGAATCCAACATCTTCAAGTAAGATGCTGAAATTTTGTCCAAGTGCTCAGCTTCAGTTGTAGATGCGGTCAAAGCTTTCTCCAGTGGATCTGTGGGTCGCATCTCATGGAGGATCTCCTCTGCAAATTCTGTGAGTGTGTCCACATAGAAGCTTTGACCATCAATTGTAGGCTTCTTCATCAGCTTTTCCATATCAAAGTTCATCACCAGATCTACATTCAGAGCGATCCTGCCTTTCCTGACATCGATGATAGCACTTGCTGTAGCTAGAAAAGGTCTCATAAGGATAAGAGGATCCTTAGGCTCCTCTCCATACTCCAGAACCACAAAGTCAGTCGGTATCATGCAGTCTCCAATCTCGATTGGAACATCTTCCAATACTCTTTCAGGTATCCTTGTCGATCGATCAGCCAGGATAAGAGATATCCTTGTTGGCTTGAAGTCAGTCATGTCAAGATTGACAGCGACTGAATATGGCATGAGATTGACACTTGAACCCAAATCACACAGCGATCTTTTGAATCTCTCCGTGAAGATGGAGCAATCCAAGACAAAGCTTCCTGGATCATACAGTTTCTCCGGAATTTGGTTCTGAATTACAGCACTGACTTGATCAGAAATCATCATCACCCCTTGTTCATGGCTGTGATTGTTGATCACCATTCGCTTCACATAACGCCTGATAACATGTGTGATTTTCACAGTATCAACCAAAGGTATCTCAATCACAAGCTTTTCCATCAAAGCTTTGCACCGTGCATCATCTAGCTCTTGCTTGGACTTCCTAGGGCTCCTTGGATAAGGAACCTTAGGTTTGTAGACCTTCTCCTCAGCAGATTTTGGACTTGGAGCAATATCAGCTTTGCTCTGCAATTGGTGACGAGCGACACTGGTTGTGGTGTCGCTCGACACCGGCTCTGCAACTATAGAAACTTCTTCAGGATCTTCCAAATCCACGACCTCAGCTGCAGGTGGCGTCTTTTTGGGCTCATAACTCAAATTTTTACAACTCCTCAACGTGATGCCACTGCAGTGATGCCTCAGATTGGTGTCAGTCTTCCCAAGAAGAAAACCTTCTTGTCGTTTCACAGACCCTGCTGTTTGAGCAACCTGCGTATCAAGCTGCTTGATATGGGTGTTCAAAGCCTCGATTTTCCCATTCAGATCAAGGTAGAGAGCATTCATCTTTTCATTGAAGTCCACGGTGAGCTTCTGCTGACCTTCCAGAATTTGTTCCAGTATAGACTTCATCTCATTGTCAGGAGTTTGAGGTTGAGCTGAAGAAGTGCTGTAGTTTCTGGAAAAACTGTTGTTGGAATAAGGCTTCTGGTATTGAGGCTTAGGCGTGTAACCAGATAAGTTTTGACTGCTGTTGAAGGTGCTCCTCTGATTGTTTCCACTGTAGCTTCTGTTACCTTGCTGATTACCAAACCTTTGACCCTGAAACCCTGATCCACAGACAAAGTTGATATCTTCCTCCTCAGCTTCATCCTCAGGTTCGAAACTCTCCACTTCCTGTGCGAATCTGACAGACTTCTTACCCACTAGAAGGCTATGCACGGAGTCAAGCTTAGCCTTCACCTCAGCAATCTGCGATCCATCCACGTTCCCAGCCAGCTTCTTTCGCTCATAATCAGCATTCTTCTTGGTACTATTGCTAGATGCCAAGTTTTCGATGAGCACAACAGCTTCGTCAAGGTATCTAGTGTTGAAGTTTCCATTGCTTGCTGCATCAAGAGCCATCTGAGACCTCCAATCAATACCTCTGAAGAAGATACCCAACAGCTGCATATCGCTGAAGCCATGATGGGGGCAGTCTCGCAGGTATGATTTAAATCTCACCCAAGAAGCCTTGAACGCCTCAGTTGGTTCTTGAGAGAATGTCGAGATTTTTGTTCTCAATTCCTCAGACCTAGCATCATCGAAGAAGTTGTGCAAGAAGGCGTTCCTGGTTTCTTCCCAAGTAGTGAGTGATCCTGGCTCCAACTGCTTCAACCAGTTAGCTGCTTCTCCAGCAAGAAAATAAGGAAACAACTTGCAGAGGAGGAAATCATTGGACACTCCATTGTAGTTGATGCTGGTGACCAAGTCCTCAAACCTCTCGATGTGATCCATAGGGTGTTCATGAGAGTGACCATGAAAAGAATGCTGTCCCACAAGAGTGTAGTACACAGGCTTCAACTCAAAATCGTTCCTTTGAAACGCAGGAGCGCGAATCACAGATCGATTTGCATAGAAATGCTCAGGCCTGTTGTAATCTCCAATCGTTCTTCCACGACCAGCAGCAGGTGCAGGTTCCCTCACGTTCTGTTCTTCTGGAGAATTCCTCTGATTTGGAATGATCACAGCATTACTATGCGGTGCAGGTGGTGGGTTTTGGTTAACAACATTCACCTGTAAAGGTGCTGGTGGAATGATGTTACCATCTCCATCAAGTCTTTGGCCTCTCTCATTGCACACATGACCATCTTGGTCTCTCCAGATACCAGCATCATCACGCACAAGTCCGTTTGCGTTCTCCATCTCTGCCGGTTGCTTTGCCTTTCTGTTCGTTCGCTCTAACTCTGCTAGCTCCTCGTTGCTCAAGTTCACTAGCGGGATGTCTTTGTTGCTTCTGGTTCCACGAGTATGCATAAACCTGAAGCACAAAAGACAAAGAGAGAAAACGAAATAAGTAAATTAGGTTATAAAAACTAAAGGTGTCGTACGACACCACTAGTGGTGTCGCTCGACACTACTAGTGGTGTCGCTCGACACTAAGAAAATCTTAGTCGAAACTCAAAAACTAGGTTTAATGGCGAAATCAAGTCCCCGGCAACGGGGCCAAAACTTGATCTGCTCAAAGTTTAATCCCTAAGCTACTCTGCAAGAGCACAGATGTGCAGTTGTAGTATGTAGGGATCGAACCACAGAGACAAGGGATCACTCAATAAACCTTATAGAGATCAAATTACGCTAAGCAGAAATTTTGGAAATAAATAACGATGCAGCAGAAATAAACTAAACAGCAGTGAAAACGTTTGTAAGATTCAGATGGATGAAGATTAGGCTTAGGACGTTTCTCAGGAAATCAATGAATGCAGATCAGTCGATTTATCAGGGTTCAGGTTTAAGCATGGTTCTTGAACTCGAAACATAGAATTATAATTAACCAACTTCCGTTGTGAGAATCATCTAAGTTAAAATCCTAGAATTCCAAATTCCTTTGCAAATCCTACAGATTTAAACCAGCTTTAATGCACAAGTTCGATATGTTCACAAAGCATCTAAACCAAATTCCTTTGCGAATAGCTACTTTGCTCACCCTAGATTCTTTCCAGTTATTCAATTACACTTCTGTGTCAATTAAGCAACTTAAGATCTAAGTTCTAGGTGATCAGTCCATAATTAGCTTTAAGAACAACCTATGGTGAAGAACTAATTAGATTATGAACTTTAACTAAATAAATTAATTAAACATCCAGAAAAAACCTTAATGAGAACCCTAAACCTAACAAGCTAACTACTCAAACATGGATACTGAAACAATAAACATGATTGAATAGATTGCAATAAGAAGATGAATAAAATAAATAAAGGGGTTCAAAATTTTCTCTATAAACGAACAGAGTTCAGACTTGTCTCCCCAAGCTCTCAAAATAGCAAAAGCCGAAAAAGTAAGAAGGTGTCTTGCTCGAAAATCAAAGGTCAGGTTCAAAAAAGACTAAAAACCCTATTTATATCTCTAAAACACGTCTTGGGCTTCTTTGGAAACTTTTGGGCCCAACTCCTTCTTCAAACAGGAAACAAAATCGCGTTTTACTTATTTCTTTTACAAGTGTCGAGCGTCACTCTCCATGGTGTCGAGCGTCACCAATGCACATGATTTGTCCTTCGCGAATTTGATCCTGATTTAGATCCAAAGTGCTCCAAAATCTCCAGTTAAGCTCCAAACGTACCTAAGACCTGTAAAGACCATTGAGCAAGAACACTTTGCTCCTCTCTGCACTTGTTCCTTCAAACCATTGAGCAAGAACACTTTCTAGAACCTGAGATCACTTAGCAAACCCATCAAAACATTCTAAAAACACTAAAGAAAAGATTAAAAAGACTATATACAAGGATAAGCTTGGGGTGTCTCCCAAGAGCACTTTGTTTAAAGTCACTAAGTTTGACTTTGTAAAACCTTTCTTAGGTTGGGTGAGAAGGAGCACTAATGCTCTTGAACATGTCAATTATCTGAAGCATGAAAGCTGAGCTCTGCTCCCTTTGAGAACCATCAGGCCCATTTCCCTTTAACTCAAGCTTGAGACCTTTTTGCATCAGCTCTTGAATACCATCAGAATCCTTGTCAATGAGTGCCTTTGTGAGACCGGTTCTGAGCTCTGCAAATAACTCTGATTTCCCATTGCAATCCAACTTGTACTTTACAGCTCCGTCCTCACATGTCCAAGGGGTGAGAGTAAAGTCTTGTGAGGAAAATTCAGGTTCAAGGTTCTTTTCTTTTGAATCAGATCTTTCACCTTTGCTGTTGAGCATCTCTAGCTCACTAAGTGTAGGAGACCATGTGAGGAAGATGTCTTCTAATCTGATCAAAGGCTGTGTATTCTCATCCTTATGACCATAGTTGATGTGGGCTTGTTCTCCTTTCTCCACAGCTGAAAGGGATTTAGATTCTCCTAAAACTCCAACACTTCCCACATAATGCATCTCAAGCACCTTGGGCTCTTCTATCTCTTGAGCAGCTGATCCACAAAATTCGGCTAAGGGAGGCTTGACAGGGTAAGAAACGTCCTTATCCACCTTTGTAAGCACCACTCTTTGAGTATCAAAGTCAATCCTTGCACCAGTTGTGTTAAGGAATGAAGTTCCAAGCAAAAGTGGAAGTTCCTTTGTCTTTTTCATCTTCATGACTATGAAATCAGTTGGAACTATGCACTCACCAACCTTCAAAGGATAGTTCTCTATCAGCCCATGAGGTTTCTTTGAGTAAGAATCGCCAAAAGTGATGGAAGAAGGATATTCCTTTAAGTTCTTGATCCCAAGTCTCTCCATCATACTAAGAGACATCAGATTTACACTTGAGCCTGAATCACACAAGGCATTCTCAACTCTGAACTTCCCAAGAGTACAAGAGATTGTAAATTTCCCTGGATTACCCAGCTTTGGGAGTGATGTAGGCTTCATCTTTGGTGAATCTAGGCTGGAGACATCATCCCTTGACTGTACTTGAGCAACAAGCTGGTCCCTTGCTTCAGCATCCCTTGAATTGTTCCATTGCTCAACAAAATCATTCCAATGCTGCAAATAACAAACTGAACAGGCCGCCCCTCCACCTTCTTTTGCAATGTCCTCATTGAGATCAGGTAACAAGCTCATAAAGTCCTCTATAATGGCGTCCTCTTCCTCTTTATTAGGACTGGACCCATCAGAGACTTGACCATAAAGAAGGTATTCAATCTCTTGACCAGCAGCTGAGTGATCATCACTTGAGTAGATGGCATTGCAATAATCTTTGGGGTTTTGAACAGCTTTACCAGCAAGAGGGACCTGAGTTTCTGAAGTGCAGATGCCTTTGTTCTTTCTAAGAGTCATAAGTTCAGAGCTTAATGTCTCCATCTTAGAAGTCAGGTCAATACACTTGGAATCTAGCTTTTGTTGTCCTTGTAAGATCTGTTGGAGAACAATACCGATATCAGGACCTTGCTGTGGCATAGAACCCTGCTGAAACTGTGGCTGACCGAATCCAAGAGGTGGAGACCTTGGTTGCTGAAAACTGACTTGGTTTGTGAAGCTGTTCCCTTGTGCCTGAACCGCTTGTGGCTGATAAGATTGTTGACCTTGGTACTGATTATTTTGAACAAAGCCTTGAGGAGGGTACCCTTGAAACTTATTCTGGTTCCCAATGAAGTGTAACTCCTCTTGAGCAATACCAGGTTCATTGACATTAGTAAAACAACTCCTCTCTTCAGCTACATAGTGTATAGGTTGCTGAGTGACCTTTACCAGCTTTGCAAACTTAACTTTCAACTCCTCTAGGGTCTTTTCCAGCTCTTGTTGTTTACTAGAACCTTCTCCTCTATAGCACCGGTCATAGTCTTCCCCATAAGTGTCTTGGCTCATGGCTAGGTTCTCAACAAGTTCCATAGCTGCAGTGATTTCTTTTGCCAAGAAATTCCCATTTGATGCTGTGTCCAGCTGAGTTCTGATCTTGGGAACTACTCCTCTATACAAAGTGCTAAGGAGAGAGGCTTCTGAAAAGCCATGATGTGGGCATTGAGTTGTATAGCTCCTAAACCTGTCCCAAGCTTCTCCAAAGGTCTCATTAGAATGCTGAGTGAAGCTTGAAATCTTGGTCCTTAGCCTGGCGGTTCTAGCAGTGGAGAAGAACTTAGACAAAAATGCTAACTTGCATTGTTCCCAAGTCTGTATTGAACCGCTAGGTAGGTTCTTCTCCCATTGGTGTGCCTTGTCTCCTAAACTGAATGGGAACAACCTGAGCTTGAAACTGTCTTCAGAGACACCACTGATCTTTGTGAGATCACAAACTCTATCAAAGTGATCCAAATGCTCCAAAGGATCCTCATTTGGCAGCCCATAGAACTTAGAGTTCTGCACCATGTTGAGCATAGAGGCTTTCACTTCAAAATTCGTGTTCTGAACTGGAGGAGCTTGAATGCCAGCTCTGTATTGGTGTGTATTGGCTCGGTCATTGTCTCCTACATAGACCAGTGGACGTTCTTGACGCCAGGGTGGGTTTGGGAAGGGTTCTTGTTGATGAACCCGAGGCCGGTCTTGGTTCTGATTACCCT